ACCCCGAAGGGGACTCAGGGCCGATCACAATGCACACATACATGGCAAATATTCAATGCCGTTTTAGACATACAAGACAGACAGATAGATAGAGGTATTTCAGCATTTTCCAACTCTGGCACCTGGAGATTATGCTCATTTCCAGCCACAGGGGGTGCTGTCGCTCCATCCATTGATGAGGCCTTTTTGACTGTAGAATTTCCCTCCTTGTTCTTTGATCACCAGCATTTTTATGGTGTCGTAAAATATTTATTTATTTTATTTATTTCCTATATTTATACCCCGCCCTTCGTGAAGGGAGAATACCTCCTCTCTAAAGAAGTGCCTAATTTCTCTACTCACAGCTCAGCTGCTTTCAAACTGTTTAGGTGGACAGTGAGCTTAGGTTAACAGTCAGGTGCTCAATCTGACTCAAGCGTCAAACTTGCCACCTTCCAGTCAGCAGTGATCTATTGCTGCTGGTGATTAACCAGATGTGCTGCAGCCCAGCTACCTGGAACGTCACCCAGTCCCAATCTACTTTCTCCTTACACATGATCTTAGAAATGATAGGAGTCATTTCACATCTTATTTCTTTCTTTGACAATTACTCCACACTCACTGGAAATTATCCCAATGAGATTTATGAGCTTAATTTCTCATACAAATTGTTTGAGATAAAAGCTTAAAAACGACCTCCCTGGTAGTTGATTTTGATTTCTGTGGAGGCGGCTGTGGACTAGGTACATACTGAGTTGTTGTTTTTAAATTGGCATGTTTCACGTGAATTTTCAATGTTTTATATTTGAGTGTATTATGTTACTTAAGTGTAGTTATTTTAATCAGTGTTATTGTTAGCTACTTTTGAGTTCCATGGGGAGCAGGTAAGGATCCTAAATTAGATCTTATTTTGTGGTAATTTTTGTTAATAAGACCCAATTGTAGCACCATCCAGACAAACTTTGCAGAGGATACTAGGATTCTTCTGTATTTAAACACTTTGGCCACTATTTTTGTCTTTCCAGTGACAGTATTTTAGAGTTTTGTTGTTGTTGTCAGTTTTTTGTTATATCTCACCCCTATGGTTGAGAGACCCTTGTTTTTATTATATCATATCACTATGGTTGAGAAACCTCCAACAGCGCTGCTCAGGGGACTGAATCTATCTACCTGCAGTGCTGTCCAGCTCTGCTCTCATTGTGTCCCAACATCCATTGAATAGATTGCATAGTGTTTCCAGGAACCAACATGGTGTAGTGGTTTGAGCATTGGCCCAAGATAATTGGAAATCAGTGTTCAAATCCCGGTCAACCATGAAAATCCACTGGGTGAACATAAGCAGGTCACATACTCTCTCAACTGGAGGAAGGCAAAGGCAAACCCCCGCTGAAATAATTCTGCCAAGAACACCCCATAATAGATTTTTCTTAGGGTCCCCATAAGTTAAAAAAATGATTAGAGAACTTGAAGGAACACATTTTTTTTGTCTCGTAGTCCCCTTGTCTTGTCCACAGAATTTTACAAGGAGTTAAGATGACCTCATCTTCAGTTTTCCTTATTTTTCCACTTTTTCGACCATATTCAAGGTGGTGGTGTTTAAAAAAGTAAAGAAATATAGGCGAGATAACAGTTACCTGTAAATTCCTGTGGATTAAAGGGCTTTTAAAGCCATGTCTAGAGGGAAAGGTTCAAAAGCTAGGTCCTCCAATTCCACTCCCTTATTGATATTTCATAGTCATTTGTCCTGATGAAGCCTCCTTCGTCAGCTTCCATCATCAGTGAGATCTCAAACAAGTGTGGGCCTGTCCATTATTTATGAGAACCATTAGAAATGTTGTATAATTGATTACTTTTCCTTTGGAAGTTCCATGTCCTACTAGAGAGACTAAATTACAAGTCTCTGCCCAGGCACTGGCAGTGGAAGACCGTCAGACTCTCATCCAGTTGAGAGACTTTTTCCAAACAACAAAAGCATGAAAATATGTTGCCTGCAAAATATTGATAGAAGCTCATTCTATGTGATGATATGTTCTAGTAGAAAACAAAACTCTGATTGTTGCTACAATACCATTTTGTCTGCCCAGCTAGTTTTCACAAGTATTTTCCAAGCTGTAGACCTAGGTATACCTAAAAAGTTCACCATGGATTAGGAAAAGGATTGAGAATGTCAACTGCATGTAAGTGAGCCATGGTGGAACAATGGGTTAAACCCTTGTGCTGGATGAATTTGCGAGACAGGGTTAGCTCCCATCAGTCAGCTCCAACTTCCCATGCGGAGACATGAGAGAAGCCTCCCACAGGATGATAAAACATTCGAGCATCTCCTGGGCAACATCCTTGCAGATGGTCAATTCTCTCACACCAGAAGTGACTTGCAGTTTCTTAACTCGCTTCTGACACACACAAACAAATTGCATGTAGAGAAATCCTGTGTGAAAGTGCAGACCAAGCTGCTCTCCTCCAAGGTAAAAGAATGACCTGTGTGGTCTCCTATCACCTAAAATGTCTCACAAATATTTCCATCTTCAGATATTCAAGCTCAGGGAAATAATTGGGGAGTGGAGAATCCTCAAAGCTGGCACAGGACAGTGTCACCTCTTTTTCAGCAACATACAAGTTCCCCACCTGTGTATGATGCATAAACAGGGATAAAATGGCAAGAGTAACTGGTGCAATGTGAATTTGCCATCCACAAAGCAACATGTGACATTGATAATCCCCTACCACCACAGCACACAAAGACTGACAATGTGGTCACCATTTCAGCTTTCAAAACAGATTGAATGCTTTATCCTTGAACTAGTTTAATGGGTAGCATTTTTAAAAGCCACAGAAAGTGTTGCATCCATATACGTGGTAATAATAATGCTATCATGAAGCACATTTCAAGTAAATTTCACTAGCAGTCCTCCTTGCCCTTGAACTTTTGACTGCTACCAACTCCTGGCCTCCTTTTTGAACACTGCTTCTAAAAGCAGGAAAAGGATATAGGAACTGGGTTGTTGTTCATATAGGAACTTCTTGCTGGTAATTGCCTTTTAGAACCAAAAGTGATGCCACATACTGCCCTCTTGTGGCAATTCAAAACTAATGCCGAGACCACTGTCTGAGGTCTACCCTAAAGCAGACATAGGCAAACTTGGGCCCTCCAGGTGTTCCTACCGGCTGTTAGGAATTGTGGGAGTTGAAGTCCAAAACACCTGGAGGGCCCAAGTTTGCCCATACTTGCATCAAATCCCATCTGATCTTGAATGTTAAATAGTCAGCACTGATTGGTAGTGAATGGGATACTGCCAGTGAATACCAAGTGCTGTAGGCTATTTTTCAGAAGAAGGAACTGACAAAACCAATCTGAGCATTTATTGCCTGATAAAATCCTATGAAATTCATGGAGTCACCATAAGCTGACTTTTAAGGTACATGCACACACAATCCCTTCCAACCACAATGTAAAATTGCCCAGTTTGGCTTCTATTCACTTTGTTTATCCAATGAAACATCTAAAATTATTTTGAAGCTTGTCAATAAATGGACTGATTTGTTACTATCTGTTTTCAACCAACAAAGGGGTCACTAAGTACTGTATTTTCAAAAGGAAGAGTAAAACCTGATGGCTGCTCTCACTCCCAGAGAGCCTACAGGATGGTCTGACATTTGTCTCAGTTTCAGGAAAGAGCTCCAGAGTGGCAGAAGAAACACCATATTATTTCATAGTCTCATCCATTCATTCAACCTCGCAGTGTCATCCTGACCAAGCAATTAGCTATCTGGATATGCCGTCCCACATCCAAAATGGGTTCTTGTCATTTAGTTAGTACAGAATGCATTTTGAAACAATAGTAAGGATTTTAAAGCAGTTTTGACAAAAATATGTAAACATTTCCTTAAGTGCAAAAAAAAGTGTTGTAGGGAATTTCAAATATATTGACATTTATATTGGAATGCAATACTTCTTTTGTAACCACAACCATCTTCTTCTCACCCAACCTGAGGTCCAAAATATTCTTTTGCTCCAAAAAGGCCCTTGGCATGTTGGAGTCTTGGGTGGTTACTATTTCATTTTTTTTATACTTTGGCCCTGGTGGAGGGAGGGGCTCACAATATTCAGGCCCATATGGGCCTAATACAGATGAAGGGTGCCAAAATACTCCCAAATGTATCAACGTTATCCCATCCATTACCTTCCCACCAAAGTTGTACCTATTGATCTACTCACATTTGCATGTTTTCAAACTGCTAGGTTGGCAGAAGCTGGGCGTAAGAACAGGAGCTCAACTTGTCCAGCAGATTTGAACCTCCAACCTTCTGGTCAGCAAGTTCTGCAGCTTAGCAATTTAACCTGCTGCAACACTGCAGCCCCATAAGGTGCTTTTTACTTCATTTTTAATATGTTGTTGTTTATTCGTTCAGTCGCTTCCGACTCTTCCTGACCTCATGGACCAGCCCATGCCAGAGCTCCCTGTCGGCCATCGCCACCCCCAGCTCCTTCAGAGTCAATCCAGTCACTTCAAGGATACCATCCATCCATCTTGCCCTTGGTTGGCCCCTCTTCATTTTTCCTTCCATTTTCCCCAGCATCATTGTCTTCTCTAAGCTTTCCTTTCTTCTTATGATGTGGCCAAAGTACTTCATCTTTAATATACATTGTTACAATAGAATCCCATTCTTTCCCAACCTTTATTGCATTGTTTACTGCAGACACTGCTGCAACCCAGTTTCAAAAGGCTATTTTTCTCCAGCTGTTGTCGCTCCTGGACTTGTAAGACAATTTTGCTGTGGATGCGATCATTGCTGAATACAGACTCATTAATACAGACTCACTAACCGGGCCAAAAAGGAACAGAAAAACTTGTATGATGATCAAGACTGATCCTTTCAATAGTAATTAGTTTGTTTGGTTTAAGCGGTGCAACACATACATTGTCCTTGTCATATTCAGTCAGGGAATTCAACTTTCCAATTTTTCTGCAATGGACATCAATCCAGTAGATGATCCAATGACAGAAATGAAAGGCTGACAATGAAATAATTATATTTTAATTAAAAAATGTACACACTGTATACAATTAACTGGTCAGCTTCTGGAAAACTCTCCTATCATAAACAACTTCTGTACAGTTAAAATCTGAATGTTTTTTTAAAATATAGTGTCTATTATTTGTAAGGCCGTAGGAATCTGGATACTTTAGAGCGCAATAGCCGAATGAAAGATCTTGGAAACATTTCCCTGGATTCCTGTGCTGTGTACTTGAAGTAGTTTTGTGGATGTGCCAAGACGTCAAATAGTGCCTTTATCAGTTTCTTATCCTGAAATAGAAAGGATAATTGGTTTTAATTGTCACATTACACAGTCTGAGAAAGCAATAGTCCAAAATGTATTTATTTATTGTTTACCACACTTGTACCCTGCCCTTCTCACCCCGAAGGGGACTCAGGGTGGCCTCACAATTTAATGTCACATATACATATACCTATCGATAAATAAACAAATGCATTAAAATCCAAACCAATTAAAACATAACATTAAAACATCAATTAAAACCACACAGTCCAGGTCGTATTCCAGGTCCAATTCGAATCGTCATCATGTTATTTTATAGTTTCTATAGGCAATATTTAATGTAGCTCCTGTTGGATATGGAGAAGGAAGAACTAAGAACCAGGTCACATCCTAAACTGGGATATTTGTATAATCTAAGGATGGAAAAACATCGCCCACAAGAAATATGCAACTGCATGTTTTAGCAGTTTATGAGGCACTCCGTACACGCAACATATCTGGACTGACATGGCACACAGAGGTGGAGGGGGGCAAAAATGGTTATCATACCACTGGAATTTTCCAAACCTGGTAGAATGCTATCACAGGTGACCCATGTACAGAAGTGATTATAATAATATGATTATAACTGTATTTGTGTTTGCATTGGTTGCCCTAAGGCTGGAGCGGCCTAGCTGAGAGGAGTGTGTTACCATGGAAACGATGCTGCAGAGGAGTGGGAGGAGCTTAGAGAAGAGTGTTTTTGAAAAGCGACAGTTAAGAGTCAGTCAGTTTTTAGGCTCAGAGGAGTGAAGAGTTAGGTTAGGAGGAGTGAACAGTCATGTAGAGGGAAAGTGGGAAGTAGAGAAACAGTGTTCGTGAATAGTCAGAGATTTCTTCAGTTAGGAAAGCTGAAGGGGAAAACCTTATCAGTTTCTTTAGTTAGAAAGAACTAACAGAGGCTTGTTTAGATCACTAGTTAAAAGAACTAGAGATCTGGTGTTTGATCACAGAAGAATCAAACAGGGAGACTATTCACCACAGAAAACATTGTTTAATAAAGTGCTTCACCACAGCAAGAGTTTTATAAGTTGTAACATCGGAAGTCTGAACTGTATCGCAACCAAGTTACATGTAACGTTCTCCAAGTATTTGCCAAGCTTAACATCAAACTGCAACCATACGCTTTGTTACAAAATAAACTTGTTCTCTTTGGTTTTTAAAACTGCCTCATCTCCATTAATTCTACGTTCGGTGTACCCAATCATACAAAATTACCTCACAACACAAACAGGGTGGCATCCAGTGGTATTAATACCAGAGCCTTTTACAAATCGGTGGCTCCTCTCTCCTAAACCTAAGCACCTCTTCGCAATTTGGTGGCGGCTCTTCGCAAATTAGCGGCTTCGTTACAAATTGGTGATAGTAGCTTTACAACCCATACTACATCACTGCAGTCATGACCGTCCTGCTTCCAGAAAGTGGAAGGGGAGACAGTTACACTTGCAAAGCAGTGTGTTCTTACCATGGGGTCCACCAATTCACAAGCAGGAAGCATCTGAGCCCTTTGTTATGCCATCACTGTATCTGATACAGAGCCAGAATTATCCCTAGACAATAGGGGGTTACTGTCTCAAGTTAAAAGGGACATTAATGCACAATTTAATGTCTGTTATTTCATTTTTCAAAAACACCTCTTGGGTTTTTTGCTTCCATTATCAACCAACACTCCTTAAGTCAGCATTACTAACCACTCAGGATTGCTTTCAGTGTGCCAGAAAAAGCAATGGTGATTAGGAAAGTGTTGTCTCTCTTTTGGGAAATATACCTGTCTTTATGCCTTAATCATAGTTTTTACTTTCTGTTTTAAATGTTTATGTCATCTTTTCTGCCAAAATATAGAACTCAAAGAAATAAATACCTATCTGCTTGCTCACTATTCCCAGGTTTATCTCCATTTCTATCAGAAGAACGAACTGTTCAATCCATCAGGCAGTAGAAAATACCACTATTTATTGTACAAGCAACTGACAAATTTCTTTCAACTATATGGATATATAATTTTACCTTAAGGATCTCTTGATGATTTTCTGATGCATACAGTCTACCATCTCGGACTATATCTTCTATTAGTTCCTGATAATCCTCTGTTTAGAAAGAGAAAATCATGACCACCTTTAGTTATTTCAAAAGAACACATATTTTCAAAATGAATAAGAAAGATTCACGGGTGTATATGTCCACAATTATGTATATAGAGTTAGCCCTCCATATCGACTGGTCAACATCCATGGATTCAGTCATCCACAACTTGAAAATGTTTTTTTTTAAATATTTTTTATTGCATTTTTGTGTGATTACAAGGAAAGTGGGGGAATAATTGTGGAGGAGATAGTAAAGTAGGAAATGATAGTAAATATAAAGTGTTGTGTAGAAAAAAGGTCTACACATAGACAAAAAAAAGGTCTCAAATCGTGTAACGGGGGGAAGAAAAAAAAAAGAAAAAATGGTGGACTTCCATCTGTTCTTTGAAGATCTGTATTTGTAACGATAAGAATAGAAAAAAAATGGAAAAGGAAATAACATCCAAATCCTTAGTCTGTGGATAAAATTGTAGCAAAAAAAAGAAAAAACTTTCATTTTAGGTAGTTCAATATGCTTTCCTGTAATACAGTTATTTTTATTCTATATTGGTAATTTTCAGGGGACGACCTCTATATTTTGATGTTTTAGATAGCTTCTCACCGAGTCCCAATTTGTATGTTTTTTCGGTTTTCCATCATTCGGTGTCAGCCAGTACGTTAGTTCATCCATGTTCATTATTTCTAATATCTCACATTGCCACTCTTCAATTTGTGGTGTTTCACTCTGTCTCCATCTTTTGGCGTATACAATCCTGGCTGCTATAGTCAGGTAATTAAAAATAATATCTTTATTTTTATCTCCTGTTATATCATACATTCCCAGTAAGAAGAACTCTGGTTCTTTCCTTATTTTTGTATCAAGTATACTTTGTATATTATTATGAATTATATTCCAAAAATTTTTGGCTTTCGGGCACGTCCACCACATATGGTAGAAGGATCCTATATGTTGATCACATTTCCAGCATCTATTAGATGCCTTCTTGTCGAACTTTGAAATTTTTTGTGGTGTGATATACCACCTGTGTATCATTTTAATTTGATTTTCTTTTAAATTATAGGAATAGGTGTACTTCATTTTCTGGTTCCAGATCTTCTCCCATTGTTCCAAACGAATTCGATGGCCTATATTTTGTGCCCATTTTATCATAGATTCTTTTATGTATTCCGTTTCTGTTGTCCATTCTAATAATTTTTTGTAGATTTTTGTTATTATTTTATTATTCATCTTCATAATAATGTCCCAAAACCCCTCCTCATTTCCAAAATTTGATTCTTTGTCCATTTTATAACAGTCTAGTATTTGTCTATAATTCAACCAAGATAGAGTAGTAAAAGTTTCTTTGATTTCCTTTTCTTCTTTCAATGTAAATGTCCCCTTTTCTAATCTAATTAGGTCTTTATAGGTAGGCCATGCTTCCCAGCCAAGTTCTCTTCGTTGAAATGCTTCCAGGGGTGACAGCCATATTGGTGTACTGTTGTAGAATCTTTTTTTGTATTTTTCCCAAATTTTTATTAAGCCAGCTCTAATGTAATGATTTGTAAAGTTTTTTTCAATCTTAATTTTATCGTACCACAAATAGGCGTGCCATCCTCGTCTTAAGTCTGCCCCTTCCAGTGTCAACACCTTCCTCTTTTTTAAGGTAGTCCAGTCTTTGATCCAACTAAGACAGCAAGCTTCATAATATGTTCTAAGATCTGGTAGTCCCAGGCCGCCTCTCTTTTTTTCATCTATTAAGATTAGTCTTTTAATCCTCGGTTTTTTCCCTTGCCATATAAATTTAGAAATGTCCTTATTCCATGTATTAAAGATACTCATATTTCTTATTATTGGTAATGATTGAAAGAGAAATAGCATTTTTGAAAGGATGTTCATTTTGATTATCGAGATTCGGCCTAATAATGATAGTTTTAGATTTTTCCAATTTTCCAGATCTTTTTTTATCCAACTTGGGGGGGTTCGGGGTCAGGGTCATCGTCAGAGTCGGGGACAGGAATCTTGCCCTCTTCGTGTCTCTGTCGTCCGGATCATCTGGTGACATGTCTCTCTTCAGGTCTCTCATTAGTCTTTTATAAAAAGTTTTAGCTTTTTCTCCTGATGTTGCCCAAATTCTTTCTTCTTTATATGTAATCATCATACCTTCTGATCTTTCCCATCTGAAGCGAATTTGATTTTTCTTTAATTCTTCAGCTAGAAACATGTATTTCTTTCTCTTCATTAATGTACTTACAGGATATTCTTTTAAGATAAGAATCTTTTTCCCATTATAGAGTTGGGGATTTTTGTTATTTTCTCTCAGAATTTCTTCTCTCAGACTTCTTCTGGCCAGATGGACTATAATATCCCGAGCTACCTTATGTTTTTTAGCATAACTTGTCGTTATTCTGTAGGATTTCTCCACGTCATCTGATATCTCCTCTTCCGTAGCTCCGAGTAGTTCAGCCAGTATCTTGCATATTTTACTTCTTGTATTCTCTTTTGGTTCTTCTTCTATGTTTCTGAATCGTAGTTGAAATTCTGTCTCCTTTTGTTCTAGTCTTTCCTGCCTTGCTTCCAATTTACTGCAAGTTGCCTCCAAACTCTCTACTTTTGTCTGCAATATGTCCTGTTTTTGTTTTAGTTTTTGTTCTTCTTGTTTAACCACATTGATGTCCTGTTGAAGAGAATTGTAATTTTTTTTAATCTCACTTAATTCTGTTGTGATTTCATTCTTCATCTCTAGCATTTTTTCTTGAAATTTTGTTTGATTTTCTTGAGCGGCTTTTTGGCTTTCAGAGATTCTTAGTATTTCCTTTAATATATCTTTTAAATTTGGATTGTCGGGGAGGGAATTTCTTCTTTGTGGTAATTTTGATTCTTCCTTTTCTTTTTCTRGTTTTGCCTTTGGTGTCGTCATTTTGTTTTGTATGATATGAACTCAGGTGATGGATTTCTTATTGTATATATATTTAATGTATATTTAATATATATTATTTAATTTATGTGTATAATCAATTGAATTTAATAATGTCCAGTAATGTTCAGATTAATTCATTAAGTATCTAATATATTTAGTATAATTAATTTGATTTTGTTACAGTAAGGTAGATCTTTAAGGAGAGTCTATATTCGTTCTATTTATATTTACTACTTTCCAATCGAGAATTTTAATTCTTTAATTCAGCTATTTGATCTGATAATTTATTTTTATTGTTCTTCCTGATCAATTTCCTGATTAGTTGTTGGGTGCAATCATCAATACTTCCAATTCATCAAATTTGTCAATTGCTCCATTCATTAGGTGTTAATCAATTGTTGTCACAGTTATTAGAGTCTCTATATCCGTTTATCCACTCTATTTTCACTTTCCCCCGCCTTTCCTTCTTCTCTTCTTCTGATGTGCCGACCTTCCGCTTCAGCTATTTACTTTCTTCTTTGTCTCCTTTATCTTCTTCTCTCCGTTGTCCGATTTTGAACACCTTCCTGTCCCTCGTCGCTTCTCGCCCCTCGTCCTTCGTCCCTCGTCGTCCTCGTCGTCCGCTCCGCTCCGTCCGCTTCGCCGATCCCGCTGTCTCCCTCCGTCTCCCGCCGCCGTCACCGTCGTCGTCCTTCTTCTCCGCGTTAGATTGTTGTCCTCCTCTGCCTCCTCAGTTCCGTCCTTGTTTGTTGTAATTATTAGTGTGGCTCCGTTTATCTTTTATTTTRCAATTAACTGTTATATTTATTTTTATTATATTTATCTTCTAAATTGAGTAATGTCTAGGCATCCTCTCTCTGGTTTGGTCCCTCTATCTTCTTATTTCCTGCTTCCTGTTCCTGTTTTCTATGATCGAGCCTCTTCAGTTAGTACTTCCTGTTTCCTGTCGCCATTTTGTTTGGCGACTCTCTAGCCACGTATAGTCTATTGTGAACTTGTTTTGGGAAGGAGGGGAGTGTAGACACAACAAGTCTTCAATCAAGGTCAGTACTTTTCCAGAATGGCGCCTTGTCTTTCTTGTCTTTCTCCCCCCCCCCCCCCTTATTTAAAACTCTTTAGCAAATCTGCTGTTTTACTTTGCTTCTTGCTTGGTATATTTCTATTTCTTTCTCTTTCCTTTTTTCTCCGGAGATATTATTTTATTCAATTCAGGGTCTTTTCCCAATCTATTGAGTTATTATTTTCTTCTCCCCCACGGGGGCTAATATTCTTTCCTTTCACAATTCCCAGGAAGCTAGGTGATCTTCAAATAGAGATTCTTATTTTCAAAGTACTTACTTTTGCACAGTAAACTTCTTTTCCATTTGAGAGTGGATGGGTCGGCAGTTTGCCGGCTGTATTGCCGGTGCTTGTCTCTTCAGCGACCCGCTTGCCCTGCGGGCACCAATATTCCCAGGTCTGTGGACCCTCGCCCTTGAGGGGAGGGGGTCTCCTAGACCATCGGATGGTGCCCTGTGGGTTTAGCAGTCCGTCAGGTCTTTCCCACCTGGCGGAGGGAGCCTTATGCAGGCTCTACCCGGTCGCGAAGGCAATGACACTCGAGAGCCCTCAGAGTGCCCGTCCTGCCACCATGCTGTCCACCCGGAAGTCAACTTGAAAATGTTTTTAACCCCCACCCCAAACTGCAATTCTTGACACATTTTACTATATCATTGTATGTACTGGAACTTGAGCTTCCATGTATTTTGGTATCCACGGGGATCTTGGAACAAAACCCCAGTGGATACCAAGGGCCTACTGCAAATTAATATATAATGAAATGTACAGCTTAATTTCCAAAATAGTGGTTTTTATATAGTCTGAAAGTCATTCAAGAAAAAAAGTATGCTATCAAGATTGAGGGACAAAAATTTTCCATACTGGAGTCTTAATAGGTCCACATCATAAATCATAAATAGCCTTAGAGAATTCTATAAACTCTGGCTTTGTGGCATTCTTGAAACATTTATTTTTCTAGAAATATCCACTCATAACGTTAAAAATAACCCCAAACACTCTTACCTCCCCTCTTTGATTTATTTGTATAATAAACAAAGTCTTTGTTTAAAAACATCTGCTATTTTTGTACAAAATGTGTGTTTCCATGGATCTGTGTTTCCATGAAGGAAATGAGACTAAATCCAGCCCCTCAAATTTGGAAGGAATCCTGTCTCCAGCAAAGAGATCAGAAAGCTGCCACTGACTACAGCAAAGCCAAAATTTAGCCCTTCAAGCCATACAGATTTCAAGCATTTGGAGTCCATCATGCCCCAACCAGACTTGTCTGCTCCTGGTTCCTAACCCAGGACAGTTCCTGTTTAGATGGGGAAACTGCCAAAGAGATCACAAGAGGGAGACAAAGCGGCCAAGAGTTATTTTTAGGGCCTTTGCCTGAAACACTGATTAGTCCCAAATTCAACTTTGAAGTGTGAGGCTATTTATAAATGGTGAGAAAGGACATTTCCTGGGATAGAAAAATAACAGTTTTGCCCTATGTCAGAAGATACAAATCAAGCATAAACAAGCAAAACAAAAAACCTCAACAGTATTGAAACTAAAAAGTACTCACATATGCCCATTTATGTAGATTTTTGTTCTGGCAGGTAAAATGCAATGAGACTGGAGATGGCATGACTAAAAACAGACATCCATGGCACCATAACCCCCTAAATAGCTTTTCTGATAATATACACAGTCTTGGGTTGTTGTGAGTTTTCTGGACGATATGGCCATGTTCCAGAAGCATTCTCTCCCGATGTTTTGCCTGCATCTATGACAGGCATCCTCAGAGGTTGTGAGGTCTGTTGGAAACTAGGAAAATGGGGTTTATATATCTGTGGAATGTCCAGGGTGGGAGAAAGAACTCTTGCCTGTTGGAGGCAAGTGTGAATGTTGTAATGGGCCACCTTGATTAGCATTGAATGGCCTAGAATAGGAATAAAATACAAAGCACATGATTGGAAGTATGCCTTGGAGATATGAAATACTCTTTTCAGGTGCACCAACAAATTATGTTTAAAGATAACACATCTGCATTATTCTTCATTGAAAATTTCCCCCAGTTTAAGCCTTTAAAATGTGGACTGTCAAAATCTAAATCACAAAAAACAGTATGAAGTATGAAATGTCCGTATTTCAGTTTCGCCTTCTTACCATCATACGTTACGTAAGGGACCTGGAACCCTTTGGCACTGTTTCCTTCATTTGATTTGAACTGGATCCACAGTTTTTTAGATCGAGAGGTAAAAGCTATGGGGCGTTCATAGGTCTGGCAGGTTTCATATGTGGTCACAGAATTGGAGGAAGCTGTACAAATGTACAAAAGGCAAGTATTAACTTATGGTTTTCCTTGTGAATATCAAAATGCTTCTTTTTTCCTGCTAAAGACCTACCAATACCATAACATTCCTTCCTTCAAAGATCTCTTGTTGGAAATAGCAACTTAATAATTTGTTTTGTATATGAATCTGTTTTCTTACTGTATTGTATATGTATGTTTTGGTATGCAGCTGTGCCTTTAGACTATGTTTCTTGAAGTTGTGGGAGGGGTTGCAGACCACATGATCAGACCTGGGACTGCTCAGATCTTAGACTCCAGTTTAGAACACAGAGATGCTATTAGACTTTGGACTGTTAAGAGCAAACTCATGTTGCTGTTGACGCCCTGTTATCTGCACAGAGAAACCACTTCAAATCTATCTGTAAGTGGATTGACAAGTTATGTGCCTGTATGCTGAATACATGAAGGTTGTGAGTAAACCAAATATGTTACTTTCAACCAAGTCTACTTTACTTTTATCTCTTGAGAGTGTGATATAGAAGCAAGATGTTTTATGGGAGAGTAGACTTTTGAGGCACTGAAAAGAACACTTCTGAAGAACTGCTAAATTCTGTGCACTGGCATTCTCTCCATTCATAGTAGATCAGAGACAACCAGGTTATCAGTCTAACAAATGAAAACCAAATTGCATTGCATATGTACATGTGGTTATATACCACTGAAGAAAAGATTTTACTAAAACAAGTTTTTGTCTCTTTTCTGGAAGAACATACTTTTACAAAAAGATATGATTTTCAAAAGATTGTGAAACCATTTTTCTCAAAAACGTTATAGAGATTCTGGTTTTTCGAAAATCTCTTCTTGCTACCCGACTACTAAAACAAATTATTATTATTATTATTATTATTATTATTATTATTATTATTATTACCTATAGATTATTTATTTCCTATTTACCTTAGTCACCACATGTTCTGCTACTGAATCTAGGTTATTTGAAAATATTTTAAGACTCTCTTTCTAGATAACGAATATGTTATGTTCCAATCCTCCATAACAACAGGCTCCAAAAGGGTGAAACAAAAAAAAATATTTTGGAGTCATGTCTCAGAAAGAAAAAATAATAACGGACCATATCTCAACACTTAAGCAATGAATAGCAGGACAATTCTACCTACATCCTGTCATTGGTCCATGATTTTTCTGGTGTTCAACTGCAAAAAAAAAACTTGATACATTTCAGATAATTCAAACACATTACTATTAAAAGTTGCCACTTTGGAGTTGTGTGCTCTTGGCTTTAAAAAGACCCACCCATGTGAAAAAGGAAGGCTTCAGTTCTTTGCATTAGACACATTGAAGCATAAGACACCTCCTTGCTCAAGAGACTCCCCAAAAGGTCCCAGCTTATTGTGCTGCAAGGTGAGTAAATCAGCTTATTGCAAGAAAAGACAGCTCACTGTCAAAGAAAAAAATCTCAATACTAGACTGCCACAGAATAATGTCTGATTAAACAGAGGCTGGGTAGCTATCTGTTGGGGGTGCTTTGAATGCGATTTTCCTGCTTCTTGGCAGGGGGTTGGACTGGATGGCCCATGAGGTCTCTTCCAACTTTAAGATTCTATGATTCTATGAAAGAGTTTGTACATATTTCTTTGCTCAGTAAAGCAGGCTTCTTAGGTATACAGCTGTAGCAGGTTCTTAATACCCATTTTTCTCACACAGTATAATATAGTGGCTAAGAGTAGAGAGTATGAATTAGGAAGTACAATGCTTGCCTCTGTCAGAAACTCACAAGGTGGTTTTTAACAAGCCAAATCTCTCTCATTCTCTGTCCGTTTGCACACGAATTCAAATCATATTGACCATACTTCACGGCGTTATTAGACGGATTAGAATTGAAAAATGTATGTGAAACTGTAAGACTTTTTTTCCAACAGAGAATGACTCAAAGTTGCCTTTCAAAGAACTTCCTTTCTTGAACCTAATATGTTGAAACGCCCCCTCCTCAACCCCTAGAAGGCATTTGATACCATTTTTATGCAAGTGACATGGCTCTTCAATGTGGATCTTGACTCTTGTTTTAGAGTTGGATTCATAAAGACTGTAAAGCAGACCAATGTGGAAGGGAGGGAGATGGTGAGAAAGAGAGAGAGAACACACACACAAACACCATACAGAAATCCAAGTACACATTTTTATTTCAACTTACAACTCTTTCTCATCACTAGATAGTCTCCACATTCATCTTCTATAGGCAAAAATATTTCAGGAACTACAATCAGAATACGGCGTTTGGGTGGTGGATTTATAGTCCAAGTACACTCAGTGTTTGCAGGGTAATTTCCTGGATAGTTTGGAGATTCAATGTATCCAGTAAAATCTCCAAGCTCACCACCGCAGTGCCTGTCTGGAAGAAAGAGTAGATGTTATCCATGGAGGAGAAGGGAAAGAACTAGGCAGGGCCACCAAAATGAACCAACACTATTAGGCCCAACAGCCTTGGCTCCATCAGGGAAATATTCATTAATTATTTATTATTTAAAATATTCATATTCTGTCCTTCTCACCCCGAAGGGGACTCAGGGCCGAGCACTGCATATATACGGCAAGCATTCCATGCTGGAACATAAAATAACTATAAATATACACAAACACTAAAAATGATGAAGTACTTTGGCCACATAATGGGAAGACAGGAAAGCCTAGAGAAGACAATGATGCTGGGGAAAATGGAAGGAAAAAGGAAGAGGGGCCGACTAAGGGCAAGATGGATGGATGGCATCCTTGAAGTGACTGGCTTAACCTTGAAGGAGCTAGAGGTGATGCCAGCTGACGGAGCTCTGGCATGGGCAGGTCACAAAGAGTCGGAAGTGACTGAGTGAACAAGCAACAACAAAAATACTCAAAACAAGTTACATCTACTTTGAATCAGTTGTTTAAAACAATTTCAAAACACCACGCTGACTCTATTATTGCCTTATTGTACAGCTTGGTTCCACAGCCAGGTTTTTAGCATCTTTTTAAAGGACAGGAGGGAGGGGCAAATCTAATCTTGCCAGGAAGGGAGTTCCATAGCCGAGGGGCAATCACTGAGAAGGCCCCCTCTCTCGTTCCTGCCAAACACATCTGTGATGGCGGTGGGACCATGAGCAGGGCTTCCCCAGAAGATCTTAGTGTTCACAGTGGTTCATAAAAGGAGATGCGTTCAGACAGGTAAACTGGGCAGGGGCCGTTTAGGGCTTTATAAGCCAGAGCCAGCACTTTGAAATATACACATGCCTTCTTCCCCAAACCATTAAGAATATATGGTTGGGAGAGATGATTCAAACTGAAGAAATAAAATCCACATATAAGAATACATTTCTGGCTATGAAAACTATGAAAACAAATGGTGACTTAAAATATTCATAAAATTAATAATGAAAGATAGTTCTGTCAAATTAGCTGGAAAATATTTAAAGCAGTGTCCAGAGGACAACAAAACATAGCAGCAACTGACAGTGGAAGTCCAACCCAGCAGGATCTATCCAAGAAACACTGGACCGGTTGCCAAGTGACTGGGAAAAGCACAGTTTGGCTTCTAAAAAGAAAATATATTTTTTAAAAAATAATCAGGACTTTTGATCACAAACCCATTCCTTTTATATAGATTATAGGTTGTTGTTGACCTGACCTGTTTGAAGAACAAAAACAAATAGTATCTATCTTCACTGCAGGAACACTCATACAGTTTGACAGAAAGAGAATGCAAGACATCAATTGGAAACCACTTAAAGAAAAGCACAGGACTCAGTGAAGTACTATTAAAGCCATTTGCACCGTGTGTGTGCCATTTCAGCTAAAGCAGCGTGAATAACAGCAAGAGCAAAAGTTTCTTTTGAAACTGTGTGTTCAACAACTCCTTTGAATCAAGAATCTCCCAGTTGCAATAACATCATGCTTTATTCTGCCTGTTTCTCAAAATATATACTGGAAAAATAATTAACTGAATGAGACATGTAAAAAGATAATCATACAATGGCGCGTTCTTGTATTATCATATGCAGCATGACAAGTAACCCTTCATCACACCATCTTATGCCAAACTCATAAGATTTGCCTGTTTCATGTGGCAGAAACAGATGCTGACACGTGTCATTTCCCCACGTCAGTGCCGCTCTCTCCTAGGACAAGCAGTGTCACTGGGGAACTTTCTTGTGTAGCATTATCTACAAAAAGGGTCACCAAAACAGCCCGAAGCAGAAACATAAGAAAGCATGCTGTGCTACAAAATGTTAAGAAAAGACACTGCATGGAGCTGATACAAAAAGGCCAAATGACATTCAATTCAGAAATTTTAAAGCCCATGTGCCTTCCATTTTCATATTTTTCTAGCTGATACTGTCACTTTCTTTTATGCAAACATTACTTACCTTTGCAGTGTGTTATATTTGTTGATCCATCATAATCAGTAGTTGTGTTTCCAGGACAAGAAATGCAGTAATTCTGTCCAAACTCAGGTTGATATGTGCCAACTGGACAGCGGATACATCGATGTGTAGTAGTGTTGTAGAAATGACCAGGTGAACACTGCACTGTAGAAGAGGAGAAGCAAGTGAGTGCATAGCAGGATAGCTTTGGCATATTAGGACATCATTTACTGTAGCTTTCCACTAAAGGTGTGAATTCATCAGCAGCTTATTAGCTGCACAGAAAATTAAACATACCTATAGCCTCATTATTATACATAATCACTGAATGCACGCAGTAGTTCTGTTGTGTGATATATTCACAACGTTTATCTACTACACATAATGAATTTTCAGTTCATGTTTATGCAGTAAAGTACTGTATATATGCGAGTATAAGCCGAGTTTTACAGCCCCCTTTTTAGGCTGAAAAAGCCCCCCTTGGCTTATACTTGAGTCAAAGTTATTTATTATCTTACTCTGTTGTTGTTGTTGTTGTTATTATTATTAATAATAATAAAAATAATAATAATAATAATAATAATAATAATAATGAGGTGAGAAGGTCGGTATAGAAAACTTTGAAATAAGTAATATTATTATTATTATTATTACATGTATTATTTTACTCTATTTATTATTGTTTTTATTATATTTACATTATTTTACTCCATCGTTATTATTTTCATTACATTTATTATTTTACTCTATTATTATTATTTTATTATTATTATTACATGTATTATTTTACTCTATCATTATTGGAAGGATACATAAGCATATTCACATGGAAGAAGGTTAGAATAATGGTTTAATCAGAGTTGGATAATCTTATCTTAAATTACAATGTTATGTAAATATTCAAGAACATTGAACCTACTGATGCCTCAGTTAATGTAATTTTATTGGTATCTATTTTTATTTTGAAATTTACCAGTAGCTGCTGCATTTTCCATCCTTGGCTTATTCCCAGTTTTCTCTGGTAAAATTAGATGCCTCGGCTTATATTCAGGTATATACGGTAGATACATGTACATTCATGTGTGCATCTTCTCATTAGGAAGTAATGTCCACACCAGAAATGTCTAATAGAAAATATGGCCTCCACATAATGAATCTCTTAGATGAAGCAGCCCTGTGGGTTTGACTGACTTGAATTAACTCTTTTCAACCATTGCTTGCCCAACAAGAACTTTTGACCTCGTATGACAGTCCTCAATACAATCATGTGTACAATGAAATCTGAATCCTGTCTCCATGAATGGACCTGGATCCTTGACTGCAGCCATTTTGAGAGAAAAATAACTCTGTTACTGCTAAAAGGTGTTACACTGTCAAAAGAAATAAAGATGACCGCATGTGCTTCTGGTGGGTTCTTAAGATCACTTGGCTCTTACCTTTAGTTTCACAATCCTGGAAAAAGGTTGCACTGGTACGTTTTGTCATCAAACCTCCACCACAAATGAAACAAGATGTGCGACCTGCGTCTGGCTGATATGCTCCAAAAGGACATGGAAGACAGGGCTTAAATCCATCTGAGGAATATTCCCCTGGTGAGCACAGCCCTGAGGGAGGAGGTAAATATACATCAGTATACATTATGAAATGTATGAAGCTTCTACAAATGCATTGGGACCTTATTTGGTGGCAAGTCCCACCATCAAAGAGAAATAGGAAGACAACCACAGACATTTCATCCATGTAAACAACTGAAACAAACCAAATTAAAAATAAGAATAGCAACCTGCAGTATGAGGCTGGAACAGTACCACATGGGTTTTGTTTTTACTGTGATGTTTTAGATTTTGTATATTGTCAATTACTAAAGTTTTACATTGTTGCAGCCAAAACTGAAATGGGGAGGCGACCCAGTGAACTCCCCTCCCCACAACTGAAAAAGTTGTCCAGGGGTCACCACATTAAATATTCTCTAGCTACTTTTATATTCATGTAGACATCTAATAGTTAAAAGATATAAGTAAAGGTAAAGATTTCCCCTTTACATCAAGTCTGGTTGTGTCTGGGGGGTGGTGCTCATCTCCATTTCGAAGCCAAAGAGCCGGTGTTGTCCATAGACACCTCCAAGATCATGTGGTCAGCATGACTGCATTGGACACTGTTACCTTCCCACAAAAGTGGCACCTATTGAGCTACTCACATTTGCATGTTTTTGAACTGCTTGGTTGGCAGAAGCCGGGCTGAACAGTGGGAGGTCACCCCGCTCCCCGGCTTTGAACTGCCAACCTTTCGGTCAGTAAGTTCAGCAGCAGCTTTGCCTGGTGGTGAAGCAATTTAACCCACTTCACCACCAGAGGGTATATGTCCTCCAAATATTTCCATCGATCTTATATGTTCCTCCCAATATTTCCATCTAGTTGTTTTCCCTGTTCAATCAGGGAAATAGTACTTGGCATCTTTATATCCTTGTTCTGAATGCAAAAGTTAAAATGGGAAAAGAGCAGCACTGGAATCATTTTATCTCCAAAGAACACATCTATAATTCAGTATTATGCCTCCAATAAAGTAGATTGATTACTACACACCTTAAAGGTTGTGTTAGCATAGCAAAGAATTGTGGTTGGTCATCCTATATTTACTTCAGCCAGCCTTGTATTGCAACCCCACTCAAGTCCCATATTAAACAAATGGCATATGCATGCAACTTCCTTTATTTCTCCCCTTATAATAACAGAATCAAAGAGTCATGGGTCATCAAGTGTAACCCATAGCTCGTTGTTGTTGTTGTTGTTCATTCATTCAGTTGTTTCCAACTCTTCGTGACCTCATGTACCAGCCCCCAGCTCCTTCAAGGTCAATCCAGTAACTTCAAGGATGCCATCCATGCATCTTGCCCTTAGTCGGCCCCTCTTCCTTTTTCCTTCCATTTTCCCCAGCATCATTGTCTTCTCTAAGCTTTCCTTTCTTCTCATGATGTGGCCAAAGTACTTCATCTTTGCCTCTACTATCCTTCCCTCCAATGAGCAGTCGGGCTTTATTTCCTGGAGGATGGACTGGTTGGATCTTCTCGCAGTCCAAGGCACTCTCAGAACGTTCCTCCAACACCACAGTTCAAAAGCATCTGTCTTCCTTCGCTCAGTCTTCCTTATCCGTAGGTGACTATGGGGAATACCATTGCTTTAACTATGTGGATCTTCATTGCCAGTATGATGTCTCTACTCTTCACTATTTTATACAAGACAACCTAAAGTATTCCCACCTTCTTTTATTATACATCCTTTTCAAGGGTGCAGACTGCTTTGTGTACAACACATACATGCAAAATGAAATGCAGACCATGTTTTAAATGTAGAAATAGTCCAACTCGATACCTGTCACTCAGTTTTTAATATCTTCTCCTCTGTTTCTGAATCGCTTTGGTATCTTTGTTTTACAACAGGCAGAGATAGCCTACTGGGATTGAATTATATACATATATTTATTCCCTGCGATTCTTTATTCTTTACATTTCTCTCTTCCAAATTTGCAGCAAGCTGATTACAACAATAGGCCAAGTGATTAAACTGTTCTGCAAGACACAGGATTACTGCCGCAGCTGTTTTGAGTATACTGTGAAGTTGTGTCCTTTTAAAGATCTGCTAAAACTGTTAGCTTTGGTTTATTGCGCCAATAAATCACCACACTGAATGGCTGTTTTTGTGAGAGGGGTTCAACTGGCCTTGGCTTCATTTCAGGTTATTTAAGTTTGTAGCAAATAAGGCATTAACTGGTCATGATCAGGGACGAGGAATTTTGTTTACAGCTAATGAACTGAGTTTTATAGGGAGCTCCACCTTGGCTTATGAATAAAGAAATAGTATGGACTTCTATGGGCTTACAAAAGCAAAAATGTAAATAAAGTATGTAAATAAAGAATGAGTCCATAGGGCATAATGGTGTAAGTGTCTCCTATAGCAGTAATCATGAAGGACTTTTGCATTATTCTATATGTGACCGAGAGCAATTATTCTTTGATAAAGGGCAATTTAATTAAAATAATCTAGTGGATATGCATTTTTACACTTCCTATAAACACTAGCAGCCATAATCAATGCACCATATCACTTGTTATTTGTGCTGTCAGTGAACATGGCTTCCATGTCTTCCTCTCAAAACAGTTTTTCTTTCGAAGGGCGCTTCCACACAGTCCTATATCCCTGAATATCAAGGCAGGAAATCCCACAATATCTGCTTTGAACTGGGTTATCTGAGAGTTTTCTTGGTTACATTTATTCAGAGGGGTGGCTGTTTTCGCCTCATCTGAGAGAATGTGACTTGACCAAGGTCACCTAGTGGTTTTTGTGGGGATTTGTAAAAAGGCACCATGATGTAATGGGTTGAGTGGAAAGGCATGTGTTGGCCGCTGATTGGTTGAGCATGGCAGGAGCCAGAATTCTTTTTTTTTTTTGCTTTGACATTTCCTCCCCTTTTCTCTTTTTTTTTCCTTTCTTTTTTCACCTCAGTGCTCCACACAGGAGCACAGGAGCCAGAATTCTGATTGGCTACTGTCTCTGGCTTGCTGCTGATACAAACAGTTTTAACTGCCACTTTCATCTTGGAGAGTGAGGAGAGTGCTGACTGGAAACAGCCAGGAAGGAAATGGCTGCCAACTGATCATTCCTAAGGCATGAAGCATATTTTAAGGACTGTTTAAAAGGACTGTTTATTTTCTCTGTTCTCTGTAAGAATTAAGAGAGACTGCTGTATATATTGTTGTTCTGTTTGACCTTTTGAACTGAAGTAAAGTTACTGTTACTCGTTACACATATCTGAGTGACACATTATTATACTTCAGGATATATTTTGGTTCAGAAACTGTGGTAAAGCTTCTGTTTATTTACATTCACAACCTCCAACAGTTTTCTATGATGGAGCAAGGATTCAAATCCTAGTTTTCAGAGTTGTAGTCCAATATTCAAGTCACTACATCACACGCAAAGGATCACCGCCTTGTCGGGGCGCTGGAGCTTGAGCACCTCAATGATGTCATGAGCGAAACCGTGAAGGGCCACCCAAGACGGGACGGTTGTGGCAGAGAGATCAGACCAAGCGTGATCCCTGGGGAAGGCAATGGCAAACCACTCCAGTATCCTTGCCAAGAAAACTAAATGGACCAGTACAACCAGAGATATGTCGGTATGCCATTGGAAGATGGGACTCCTAGGTCGGAAGATGGCCAAAATGCTACTGGGGAGGAGCAGAGGATAAGTTCAACTAGCCCCAGATGTGATGACGCAGCTAGCTCAAAGCCGAAAGGAAGGCTAGCGGCCGACGGTACTGGAGGTGAACGACGAATCCGATGCTCTAAAGATCAACACACCATAGGAACCTGGAATGTAAGATCTATGAGCCAGGGCAAATTGGATGTTGTTATTGGTGAGATGTCAAGACTAAAGATAGACATTCTGGGGGGCAGCGAACTGAAATGGACTGGAATGGGCCACTTCACATCAGATGACCACCAGATCTACTACTGCGGACAAGAGGAACATCGAAGAAATGGAGTAGCCTTCATAATTAATAAGAAATTCGCTAAAGCGGTGCTTGGATACAACCCAAAAAATGACAGAATGATCTCAATTCGAGTGCAAGGAAAGCCTTTCAACATTACAGTGATCCAAATATGCCCCAACCACAGCTGCTGAAGAAGCAGAAGTAGATCAGTTCTATGAGGATCTGCAGGACCTACTGGATAATACACCAAAAAGAGACATTATTTTCATTACAGGAGACTGGAATGCCAAGGTGGGAAGTCAATTGTCAACAGGGATCACAGGCAAGCATGGTCTGGGAGAACAAAATGAAGCGGGACGCAGGCTGATAGAATTTTGCCAGGAAAACTCGCTGTGTATAACGAATACTCTCTTCCAACAACCTAAAAGACGGCTTTATACATGGACCTCACCAGATGGTCAACACCGAAATCAGATTGACTACATCCTTTGCAGCCAAAGGTGGCGGACAGCCATCCAGTCGGTGAAAACAAGACCTGGGGCTGACTGTAGCTCAGATCACGAACTTCTTATTGCCCAATTTAGAATAAAACTAAAGAGATCAGGGAAAACACAGACCAGTTAGATATGATCTCACTAACATTCCTAGCGAATATACAGTGGAAGTGAATAACAGATTTGAAGGACTAGATTTAGTAAACAGAGTCCCAGAAGAACTATGGACAGAAGTCCGCGACATTGTTCAGGAGGCGGCAACAAAGTACGTCTCAAAGAAAAAGAAAACCAAGAAGGCAAAATGGTTGTCTGCTGAGACACTGGAAGTAGCCCAAGAAAGGAGGAAAGCAAAAGGAAACAGGGATAAGGGGAGATATGCCCAGTTAAATGCGCAATTCCAGAGGTTAGCCAGAAGAGATAAGGAACTATTTTTAAATAAGCAATGCATGGAAGTGGAAGAAGACAACAGAATAGGAAGGACAAGAGACCTCTTCCAGAAAATTAGAAACATTGGAGGTAAATTTCAGGCAAAAATTGGTATGATAAGAAACAAAGATGGCAGGGACCTAACAGAAGCTGAAGAGATCAAGAGAAGGTGACGAGACTATACAGAAGATCTGTATAGGAAGGATAATAATATTGAGGATAGTTTTGACGGTGTGGTGAATGAATTAGAACCAGACATCCTGAGGAGTGAGGTTGAATGGGCCTTAAGAAGCATTGCTAACAACAAGGCAGCAGGAGACGACGGGATCCCAGCTGAACTGTTTAAAATCTTAAAAGATGATGCTGTCAAGGTGATGCATGCCATTTGCCAGCAAAGATGGAAAACACAAGAATGGCCATCAGACTGGAAAAAATCAACTTATATCCCCATACCAAAAAAGGGAAATGCGAAAGACTGCTCAAACTTCCGTACAGTGGCCCTTATTTCTCATGCCAGTAAGGTAATGCTCAAGATCCTGCAAGGAAGACTCCAGCAATACATGGAGCGAGAGATGCCAGATGTTCAAGCTGGGTTTAGAAAAGGCAGAGGAACGAGAGACCAGATTGCCAATATCCGCTGGATAATGGAGAAAGGCAGGGAGTTTCAGAAAAACATCTACTTCTGCTTCATTGACTATTCTAAAGCCTTTGACTGTGTGGATCATAATAAATTGTGGCAAGTTCTTAGTGGGATGGGCATCCCAAGCCACCTTGTCTCTCTCCTGAGGAATCTGTACAAGGACCAAGTAGCAACAGTCAGAACTGACCACGGAACAACAGACTGGTTCAAGATTGGGAAAGGCGTACGGCAAGGCTGCATCCTCTCACCCAACCTTTTAACTTGTATGCAGAACACATCATGCGATGTGCGGGGCTTGATGAATGCAAAGCTGGGGTGAAAATTGCTGGAAGAAACATTAACAACCTCAGATATGCAGATGACACCACCCTGATGGCCGAAAGCGAGGAGGAGCTGAGGAGCCTTCTAATCAAGGTGAAAGAAGAAAGCGCAAAAGCCGGGTTGCAGCTAAACGTCAAAAAAACCAAGATTATGGCAACAAGAATGATTGACAACTGGAAAATAGAGGGAGAAACCGTGGAGGCCGTGACAGACTTTGTATTTCTAGGGGCAAAGATTACTGCAAATGCAGACTGTAGCCAGGAAATCAGAAGACGCTTACTTCTTGGGAGGAGAGCAATGTCCAGTCTCGATAAAATAGTGAAGAGTAGAGACATCAGACTGACAACAAAGATCCGCCTAGTCAAAGCCATGGTATTCCCTGTAGTCACCTACGGATGTGAGAGCGGGACCTTAGGGAAGGCTGAGCGAAGGAAGATCGATGCTTTTGAACTGTGGTGTTGGAGGAAAGTTCTGAGAGTGCCTTGGACTGCGAGAAGATCCAACCAGTCCATCCTCCAGGAAATAAAGCCCGACTGCTCATTGGAGGGAAAGATACTAGAGACAAAGTTGAGTACTTTGGCCACATCATGAGGAGACAGGAAAGCCTAGAGAAGACAATTATGCTGGGGAAAGTGGAAGGCAAAAGGAAGAGGGGCCGACCAAGGGCAAGATGGATGGATGGCATCCTTGAAGTGACTGGACTGACCTTGAGGGAGCTGGGGGTGGTAACGGCCAACAGGGAGCTCTGGCGTGGGCTGGTCCATGAGGTCACGAAGAGTCGGAGACGACTGAACGAATGAACAACACACATCACACTGCCTCTCTACATCATACCTGCCTTAGTTTTCCTTTACTTCCATTTTGTTCTAAAATGCAACACTAAATTCAATGAGACACAAGAACAACTCTGTAAGAATTATTATTTTGCTTCCAGGTGAACTTTGCATCTGTGCAAAGTTCCACAGAATTACTCTGCAAAAAACCCCCATTATTTTACCACATATGCTTGATCAAGACAAAACTAAGAAGAATACATCTTTCCTCACGACTACAGTAAGCCTGCAAATGCAGGCATTAGAGACAATCTAGATTAAAGCAAACACAGTAAAGCAACATGGAAGGATGTTATTGTCTACTTAACCTCTGGCATTGCCAAGTTTTTTGACGTCTGTGCTAATAGATACTTTCAGAATGTATGAAGGAGGTAGAGGCAACATCAATTCCTCTTTTCTGTTCCTCTGTAGGTTGCAACATCCTCACCTCCACATTCAGAAATATTGCGAGCTCCAGCTATTTTCTGGTTTCCTGGATTGTGAGGATTTGGACAAGGTTCGCAAGATATTTGACCTTCATTTTCTTGATAAGTTCCATTAGGACATAAAATGCAGCCTTCCTGTTCTCCATGATAATATGTTCCAACACTGCAGCTAGCTGGTAACAGGAGACAAAACAGTCAGTCACACTATGTTAGTGGACATTTTCTATGTTGTGAGTGAATATTTTATAGTCAAAGCCTCCAATCTGCATGATGTGGCTTCTACTTCATAATGAATGATATATTATCCTGTTAAAGCAAGTAACATTGTTTTCTTTGAACATACTTCAATACAGGAAGAATAGTATAGGCCAGGCAAGGGCAAAGTTTGGCCCTCTAGGTGTTTTGGACTTCAACTCCTACAATTCCTAACAGCCTCAGTTCCTAACAGCTTAAGTGGCTGAGAAGGAAAATGAAAGGGCCTGATGCTGTTAGGAATTGTGGGAGCTGAAGTCCAAAACTAATAGTAGATACTGCAATAAAGGTCCTGTCTGGATGGGCCCTAAGGTATAAGCAGGATTTATAGGATATATGCCCTGAACTCAGATTCTGTTAAAGGAAAGAACTCAAAACTTCTCCAAAGGACAGAAAACTATTTATTTAATGCATGCCAAAAGATACTGGAGATACTGGTGAACCTTTCTTCAGTGATACAGATGTAAACAATGCACAAATCTTTGCAGCCATCAAATGGAATTGGAAATGAACTCTAAACTCTTATGGCTTTTATTCAAAGTAGTATTTGTCCTCATTTATCATATTGAATATTCCAGGTTATTGTATGTGAAATCATGTTCTTTCACATCCTACCAAGGGATGATCAGGTATTCTCTATAGCTCCTTTATTATTATTATTATTATTATTAACTTTATTTGTACCCCGCTAGCATCTCCCGAAGGACTCGATGCGGCTTACACGGGCCGAAGCCTCAAAACACAATACAATAGAAAATATAACACAACAATAAACAAAGCAAATCAAAACAATTAAGCAAAATAACAACAATGACAATACATCAATACATCAAGACACTATTAAAACTTGTTCGGCCGGCGCAATGGGGTACAGGGTTAAAAGTGCTGAGATGGCAGGAGGAACGTAGGATTAAAAGTGCGGTGTGCAGCAACATTGGTTGTGCTAAAGTGCTTCTAGGACTTGGGATGGGGATTCCTAATCTGCGAAGGCACATCGGAACAGCCAAGTTTTTAGGTTCCTTCTGAAAACTGCTAGAGTAGGGGCCTGACGAAGCTCTTTTGGAAGGGCATTCCAAAGTCGGGGGGCCGCCACAGAGAAAGCCCTGTCCCGTGTCCCCACCAAGCGCGCTTGCGACGTAGGTGGGATCACGAGCAGGGCCTCCCCAGATGACCGGAGCGAGCGTGTGGGTTCGTAGATGGAGATGCGGTCACGCAGGTAGGGTGGTCCCAAACCGTTCAGGGCTTTGTAGGTGAGCACCTGCACCTTGAATTGGGCTCGGAAAATAAATGGCAGCCAGTGGAGCTCCTTAAACAGAGGGGTAGACCTCTCTTGTGTTGAGCTCCAGTTAGCATCCTAGCTGCTGCCCGCTGGACCAATTGAAGTTTCCGAGCCATCTTCAAGGGCAGCCCCACGTAGAGCGCATTGCAGTAATCCATTCTAGAGGTGACCAAGGCGTGGACCACCCCGGCCAGATCAGCCTTCACGAGGTACGGTCGCAGTTGGCGCACAAGTCTCAATTGTGCAAAGGCCCTCCCAGATACCGCCGACACCTGAGCCTCAAGTGTGAGCGAAGAATCCAGGAGGACACCCAAACTGCGGACCTGTGGCTTCAGGGGGAGTGTAACCCCATCCAGCACAGGTAGCCACCCTATACCCCGGTCCGGTTTACGATCGACCAGGAGGACCTCTGTCTTGTCGGGATTGATCTTCAGCTTGTTCTTCCTCATCCAGATCGACACAGCGGCCAGGCACTCGTCCAGCACCCGAGAAGCCTCCTTGGAATTAGGTGGAAAAGAGTAGTAGAGTTGCGCGTCATCCGCATAAAGATGGCACCCAACTCCAAAACTCCGGATGACCTCTCCCAGCGGTTTCATGTAGATGTTGAAAAGCATGGGCGACAAAATAGAGCCTTGCGGGACCCCACAGGTCAAAGGCCAGGGGTCAGAGCAGGCGTCTCCCAGCTTCACCATCTGGGTTCGTCCCTCCAGGAAGGACCGGAGCCACGACAGAACCGTGCCCCCAAGGCCCATCCCAGAGAGACGACCCAGAAGGATACCATGATCGATGGTATCGAAAGCCGCTGAGATGTCCAGGAGAACCAGCAGAGTCACACTCCCCCTGTCCAGCTCTCTGCGGAGGTCATCCACCAAGGCGACCAAGGCTGTCTCGGTGCCATGACCAGGCCTGAAACCAGACTGTGACTGATCTAGGTAGTTGGTATCGTCTAGGAAGCTCTGGAGCTGCGAGGCGACCACCCGCTCCAGCACCTTACCCAAGAAAGGGAGGTTGGAGACTGGCCTGTAGTTACTCAGCACCGTGGAGTCAAGGGAAGCTTTTTTGAGGAGTGGACGAACCACAGCCTGTTTCAAACCAGATGGGAAAATCCCTTGCTCCAACGATGCATTGATAATCAATACAAACCAGTCAACCAACCCCTCCCTGGCTGATTTAATGAGCCAAGATGGGCATGGGTCTAGAGGTGAGGTGGTCGCCCTCACAGCCCCAAGAACCTCCTCTACGGTTTCAGGAAGAACAAGCCTAAAAGAATCCCACAAAATTGGACAAGCAGATGCCTCCGTCACCTCTTCAGGCACTGCGATGGAATTGGAGTCGAGCTCAAGGCGTATCTGAGCGACTTTACCTGCAAAATGGTGTGCGAAATCGCGACACCGAGCTGCTGGGTCATCAGTGACCTCCTCCACCACAGGTGGGTGGAGGAGTTCCCCCACGACCCGAAACAGCTCCGACGATCTATTTGCTGCAGACGCTATACGGGTGGTCGTGAATGATTTCCTGGCCACCCGTATAGCCACGGAGTATGCCTTAAGAGAGGCTTTAGCCCGTGCTCAATCAGAGACGTCCTGAGATTTCCTCCATTTGCGCTCTAGCCCCCTTCTCGTATGCTTCATCACAGCCAGCTCCCCGGTGAACCAGGGAGATGGCCTGTCACGACGCAACGAGATGGGGCGTTCGGGTGAGATCGTATCTATCGCCCTGGACATCTCCCTATTGTAGAGAGTCACCAAGGCGTCGATAGAATCGCCAGGCTCCAAGGCAGGAAGAACCCCAAGATTCCTCAGGAATCCGTCCGGATCCATCAGTCTCCTAGGGCGGACCATTTTAATCTGTCCTCCACCCCTGCGGAGGTTAAGAGCAGCAAGTCTAAAAGTGATCAGATAATGATCAGACCATGACACTGGAAGGATGTTTTGATCTTCCACTCTAATCAATTCGTTGTCCGCCACGAAAACAAGGTCAAGAGTATGTCCGGCTTGATGAGTGGGACCAGATATTATCTGTGACAGTCCTATGGTCGTCATGGTGGCCATAAAGTCCTGAGCTGCGCCAGATAGGGTGGTCTCAGCGTGGATGTTAAAATCTCCCAGCACCACCAGGCGCTGGGAAACCAAGGCCGAATTAGAGACCACCTCCGCTAGCTCAGATAGGGAAGCTGCTGGGTCGCGGGGTGGGCGGTACACCAGCAGGAACCCCACACTGTCACGGCTCCCCACTTTCAAGTGGACACACTCGAACCCAGAAGCCTGCGGAACAGCGCATCTGATCACGGCGATGGATTGCCGAAAGACTACTGCGACCCCTCCTCCCCGCCCCCCTTGTCTGGCCTGCTGATGCACCCCAAAACCTGGTGGGCATAACTGAGAGAGATTTACTCCCCCCAGCTCGTCCAGCCAGGTCTCGGTGATGCATGCCAGATCCGCCCTCTCATCCAGGATCAAGTCCTGGATGGCTGCGGTCTTACCATTAACGGATCTGGCATTAATCAGCAGGACTTTAAGACCAAGGGGGCTGCCATGGAGCCTACCACTACCCACCTTTTCCAGGGTCGCAAAAACTCTGTTGCGCTTCTCCCTGGGATGTTGGTGACCCACAAATCTCCTCCCCCACACGACTTGGATGGCACCCCCTTCCTCCGGAACCTTCCCCCCCCCTACATGGCCGGGATCTGAGACTAGTCAGCTCTCAGAGGAGGAAGTCGGGCTAGGAAATAATCTCCCTTGGGCGTTAGGTAGGGGAGTTTCTGATGTTGAGGTAGATAGGGAGACATCAAGGGAGCTGAGTGGGCTGAATAAGGGAAGTGTTCTCGAGCGGAGGAGTGTGGCTGGCTGAGATAGGTCAAGAGTATCCCACTCATCAAGCTGGTCCCACTCATCAAGCTGGACATACTCTTGACCTTGAGCTCCTTCCAAGTCTGTAGAGTACACCATTGTCCTCCTACTTTCTATTAAAGAGTTCCTATCTTCAATATCTAGACAAGCCAAAATGTTCCTCATCTATTCAGAAACATTGGAAAAATGTTTTTGCTTGTGTAACAGTATCCTATAGGCAATATTGTTGGAGCACGTAAAAATCAGTTGGTGAGTGTGTTCACTGAAAAATACAAAGCACGAAGCTGATTGATTGGGCCATGCCCGAGAGGCTAGCCGAGCCTGGGAGTTTTGGAAACAGTTATATGTTTAGGCAGGAGCTTGCCAAGACAAGTTAGTATATGATCTGCTTCTGGGCTGATGGAAGGAGATCTTTCACATGGACACCCAAGGAACATTTGAATCTCTTTCAAGGAACATTGTGTGAGTCAATGCAACTGTTCACACGACTGTATATATGTTGCTTTGCATAACAAAGAGTAAACACATTTCTCTTTACTGAACATCTGCGTGGCATCTTTTCTCTACTAAGACAGTGTGTGGATTGGTAAAAACGTGAACTACGTGTTATTTACATTCCACCACAAATATGGTGAGTAAAAGAGAAAGATTGTGTGTGTGTTCACTGTAAAATGTCATGAAAGCAAGAGCACTGACCTTTCTTTGTGGAGGAAGCTCTAAAGAAAAGGGTTAGGGCTCAAATTTTTCAGCACAAACATTTGGGTAAAAATGACATTACCATGTTTACTAGTCTGGCCACATAAAACACAAGTGTGTATCAGGGTACAATCAAGTGCCTGTTTTCAAATCAAGCTCCAAGACTTTGAAATTGCAACACAACATAAAGAATCCCACAAGTTTTCTTCACTTGCTTTTTAGATTCTTTTTCAACTGTTTGTTTTCCTTCAAATGAAGTCAAGAACCAATCACCTTCAACAGACTTCATCCTATAAGCAGCATCATTGTCTGTCTTCAGTGACCATTAAAATCCTTCTCTTAACTCACAGGTCAGGGAGTGAAAGCTTTTCTGATGCAAAGGAAGAATAGGGGGAGTGAAACACCCACGGGGAGCCAGGATTAGGAGTTATAAAGACATTTAAAGGGTCTTTCCTTCTATTCAACTTGTTTAGCCTTTGAGTTTTTGATGCTATGGGAAAACACTATAGTGTCTCAATGACTTAAGAAGGTGAACCCCATAAAAGAGGTTGTGATCCACAACTAAGTATTCCCTGAAGAGCCATGCCCTGGCTGCATTAGAAACACAAACACACGCAAACCCCAGATAGAGGCTTGTTCCTAAGGAACCTCTCTATATTGTTTTTTGGTTTTCTGTTCTACTGGTTCGCAGGCTGCACTCATATGGGGAAATTATACGCATTAGGACTAAGGACTTAAGTCTATTACCCTGGAAGCAGCAGGTTGGCAGAACAGACAGCTATTTATCTTTGGTTTGGAAATTTTATTTTCCTCCTGGCACCTCTTTCAAGATCTTTCCATTAGAAAGGGAAGAAAGTTGTGAAGATGTTGGGAATCAGCTAAAAAAGAACCATTTTGAACAAACACTGAAGACAAAGAGCTCTCTGTGTTTACTTTTTTTGTCTTTTAAGAAAATAAGATCAGGCCCACAGAGCAAGATAATGTTCCTCTGTTTGTTAAAGGTTCACTTCAAACTACTTATAATGCAATTATAGTGGTGGGCACATTTATTTGTTCAAAGACACATTTTAAATACATACCTACTTATTTTTAAATGTACACAAGTTAAAGCACATACGATATAAAATACTCCTTGCAATGTGCCAAATAATATAATATTTTCTAAAACAAAGATAAAGCCTAAAACAACAGCATCAAGTATATTGTGAATTTAAAATCTGGGAAGGTCTTAGCCTGATGGGACATGCATGGTTGATAACCTTGTAAACACTACAACGAAATATCCACAATGAAGTGCTTTCTCAGATATTTTTGACAACAACTTTAGCCATGGAGGTGAAGGCTGATAAGAACTGTTGTCTAAATACATCAGGAAAGCAGAAAGGGAGGATAAAATTAGAAAGCAATTATCACTGTGTTATTATGAGCAAGTGCCAATCTTCCTCATTTTATGGAGATTTGTCAAAAACACCTAAGCTGGATAGTTTTGAACATGCCATAGTTAACTCAGGTGTCAGTTCATTAAACCCAGTTTGTCAATTCAGATGACAAAATTTGATTTTATTTTTCTTTGTGTTAGAAGCAACTTGAGAAACTGCAAGTCACTTCTGGTGTAAGAGAATTGGCCGCCTGCAGAGACTTTGCCCTGGATGTGTTACCATCCTGTGGGAGGCTTCTCTCATGTCCCCACATTGGAAGCTGGAGCTGACAGACAGGAGCTCACCTGTCTGTCACATAATCTATCTCACAGATTCAAATCGCTGACCTACAGGTCAACGGTTCAGCTAGCAAAAGGGCTTAACCCATTGTACCACCGTGGCGTTAGATGACAAGATAATGAAGCAAAAGCATCCAAACTCCTCTCTTTGGACACAGTATAGGAGGGGAAGAGTACACAAATCTAGTATTTACTGTGGCTCCACTTTGCTGAATTGGTCAATGTTAGTATGGAAACTGAACTGAGTCAGATTATATACATGCTGTATGCATAGAAAACATGAATCTGCCCCGTCAGTGTGCTGATTGAAACTTAAGAATTACAATGTGTTTCTGAAACTGTCAGACAAAATTGTTAGAAAAATTGAGACCTCCCCACCTTTCAAAGAATCTACGAAGTTTTCAATTTCTTAATCCTGCTAGTTCTCTCTATAGACTTTGATACTAATACTAATAATAATAATCTTTATTTGCATCCCGCTACCACTCCCCAGAGGGGCTCAGAGGAGCTCACAAAGGTATAAAGCTAAGAAAATACATAATAATAAAGATATAAGCAATTAAAATTAAATAATGAGCAATAAAACACAAATACATCAAAGGTTAAGCAAAACATGATTCAAATTGTATGTCAAGCATCACAATATTGTTCACAACTGAACAATATTATAATGCTTGACACACAATTTGTTCAAGGACCTGCTTCTAAATACTCTATATTTGCATTTGCTCCATTATATAGAGATAAATGAGATAAACTCTTGTACACTAAGTGTTATGGAAAACAGAAATGACTATGAAAGTACGATTGCATATAAAGTGCAAATGACAAACCTTGTTTTTGAAACAATGGAAGGGTTGATAAAGAGAACAAGCATTACTGATTCTCTGTATGCAGGTTACAAATGCATCAAATCAATGCATAAGATAGTGATTGCACCTACCACATCTGTTTTCCATGTGCCTTTGACCAAGGCCACAGAGCTCCTGTGTATCAAGGACCCTGGGAGATTTTCTGACCACATCATGATCCACACCAGAAAGGCGAATGTGGAATTGCTCTTTGTTGATTACCTTCCGCAAGGTTCTGATCGCTTTACGGAGTCTCTTCTCAGACCTTTTACGCACACAGCTCAAGTTGCATATCTCTAGAAAGGTATAGGTGGTGGTGATCAGGAGCAGAAAGCACTAGCATATAATACTACTGGGTTCGAAAGAGTAGTAGTCAGTGCAGTAATTAAGAATACACACTATATTAACTATGACAATAAATAGGTATGGTTCTGAGTTAGTTTTCAAGAACACCCAAAGGTTATTAATAGAGAACTCAAACATCTAGCCACAGATATTTTCTGATTTTTGGAGAAAGGGATATGAAAGTTTCAAAACAGGAGATACTTTTCTTTGCTTGTTTTGCATGAATATGAAAGTGAAAGATAGAAAAGTTCAATATCAATCAAACTGCAGCAAAGAAGCAAAACTTTTCATTTGATTCTGGGTTCATTTCCAACCAACCTGTCACCTCCTTTTGGTTTGTTTCAAGCTCAAAGTCTGCAGATATAAACATTTCTCTTGCTGCCTTCAATCTGCCATGATCTCCAAGAGCTTTCTTGCCAGAACTGCATGTCAGGTTTACATAGTGGAAGTTCTCTATTATTGAAGTATGTTTCTCTGTGTGAACAAAATGAAAAGAAACAAGAACTTGGCCATCTATGTTGTTGGGCAGTTGTTAAAGCCTGATAAATGTTTCTGAGAAAATGCTTTCGGAGCTGTATGATTAACTCCAGATGCTAACAACTACAAGTAATTGCCCTGGCACAATCTGGTATGTGGGCATAGTTTCAATTATAGCTTCATAAACGTTCCAAGGAAGGACTTCAGCCAAGAGTGCACAAGGCAAAATTCAAAAAGTGCTGGGTGGGGGCTTTGCACTGCTAAAATTAGTTTATTTCAAATTGCTTCCAGGCTCATTCCTTTTTTACCCATGAGAGTCTACTATGATAAACCAGATCTTCCCCAGCTGGTGCTCTCCAAATCTGTAAGATTATGATTCCCATGATTCTTAGCCAAACTAACCATTGGGTGTGCCATCTGGGGATTATGGGAAATGAAGTCCAACATATTTGGAGGATTGATGGTGAAATAGGCCTGATCTATATGCTCAAAGGTCCAGCTCTCTGTGGGCTGCCAGAACCTCAATCATTTTGCTACATGGTTACAAGTCTGAGACTACATAATCACCTTTAGTTTGTGCCATGAATGTGCATATGCATGTATCCATGTGGTCCTATTTATGCAGATATGTTATGGGATGGTGGGAAAGTCCTGTCAGTTCACATTTTGAAACCAACTTATCAAGTTCATACTTCTCGAGTCAATAGGTGAACTGGAAAGAAACTGCCTTTGTGATTCGCAGGTCCCTGGATTCTATGAAACAAGTTCTCTACATTAACAAAGAAAATTATATAAAATTAAATTATGTAGACACATGAAAACGTCTACAGGAATGCAAAAATAAAAACTCTTTGAAAAATGTGCATATTTAGGGAAAGTAAATAAAATAAAAATGTATATATTAGGAGAAAAGTGTACAAAAATCCTCATGAATTCTTATTTGAATTGCACTTTTTGTTTTGTTTGAGGTGGGTAGAATGGGGATGAATTGCAAACCCATACAGAAGCAGGATGGAACAAGTCTGAAAAAATGAAAAAACTCACAGAAAATAAAATTGACAAATTAATCCATCCTTTGTCACTAAAACAACTACCCATTGAGGTAGTTTCATAAGCAACTATCTGGCAAACTTTGCTTTGTGCTTTCACACTTAATCCAAAACAGTCTGAAGAAACCAAAGGGATGCCTATATACTGCATTTGTGGATTTTACCTCAGCTTTTGATTCAATTGACAGACAGCATTTGTGGGTAAAGTTGGCAAAGACGAATGCGGATGTGGCAAACTTTTCAATGGCTCCCCAAATAGGGGCTGAGATGATCTGATGCATCCAAGCAAACTAAGAAACATTCAAGATGTTGCCTGGATAGTTACACTAAAGGGCCCCACACAAAACCCCTTGCTCTAGAAAAGGAGTAACCTATGTAGCTCTAGATGTTTGTTTGGTTTTTATAGTGGCTTACACTAACTCTTAATGGATAATTAGAAGTTTTGGAACCGAGTTTTAAAAGTGCAATTGATTTCTGGAAGAGCTGCCAGCTGCACCCTGATTTCTGGTCATGCAGGGTGCATCTAAACTCCCTGCTTGGGAACCAGACTTAAGAAAAGTTCTGTAGCGCTTCATCTGCACCTGAGTCAAAGTTCTGTGTCTCAGAGGTTCTCAATCTGTGAGCCCCCAGGTGTTTTGGCCTATAACTCCCAGAAATCGCAGTCAGTTTAACAGCTGTTAGGAGACCAAAACAACTGGGGACCCACAGGTTGAGAACCTCTGCTCTAGAGGAACAAAGCAGGAAAGACCTTCCTCTCCACCTCTGGACTGGAGAAATCACAGAACTAGGGCAATTCCAAAAAAGCTTCTCAATGTAGCAAATATTGTCAGAAACTCCCACATCATATGATATATAAACCTCCCATCTTAGGAATCTGATGAACAAGCAGGAATTATGACAAAGTTCTGACAAAGTTGAAAAGGTTCATGTCTCTTTTTTTCTGCAAACTTTACTTCTATATAACCAAGCACCTACTTACGCTAAACTGTGTAGCCTTGCTCCAGCATGGCTCCTCTGTATCATTCCTTAATGAAGGTGGGTTAGCTGAAATGCTTTTAGTATTAAATTACAACTGGACCTCCATATTTGCAGGTTTAACTCTTGTGGATTTGATTAAAGCGGTCCCTTTTAGAATCTCTATTGTCCTCCAGAATTACTATCTATGATCAACATCTGGTGGACACTGGCTGCAGAGTTGCACATGGGAACCAAGAGATCCCTGGAGAAATGTCTTCTCAGGTTTGAGGTAAAGGTAAAGGTTTCCCCTGACATTAAGTCTAGTTGTGTCTGATTCTGCGGGGTGGTACTCATCTCCATTTCTAAGCCAAGAGCCAGCATTGTCCGTAGACACCTCCAAGGTCATGTGGTCAGCATGACCGCATGGAGAGTCCTTACCTTCCCACAGAAGCGGTACCTATTGATGTACTCACATTTGCATGTTTTCGAACTACTAAGTTGGTAGAAGCTGTGCCTAACAGCAGGAGCTCACCCCATTCCCTGGATTCGAACCACCAACCTTTCGGTCAGCCAGTTCAGCAGTTCAGTGGATTAATCTACTGTGCCACCAGGGGTTTTTAAAAAGTATATTTGTATTTTTCCCATTTTTGTGGGGTTCCTACAAAAACCACATGTAAGTGGAGAGCCTAATTTATAAAAATAATCATGCGCTTCTCCAGGTACATCTACAAACATCACCATTATCCACAGTGCATCTTAGCATGCCAAACACCTCATGCTATCCACATGTGTTGTTTCTAAATGGATGTTGGCTGTTCATCACAGTGTATGACAGTATGTGAGAATCCAGAAATACAAGAAAAAGACACAGAACTTGCTAGTAGCTCTTCGGTCAAATGAAAGGATGATATCAGAGCAGAATAATTTTGTTTAGACTAGCCATGTGTCTATTATATATGATCAAGATATAACAGTACCAAAGCTTTTAATTTACAAATCTGCAGATGACACCATTGTAGGACGTTGTGATCTACACTATTAACCTGTTTTAATTACATGTATTTTCATACCTGGAATTATGTGTTGCACAGCTTCTTGAAACATCTTATGTTTTTTCAGGTTACATTTTCCTTCATTAAATTTAAAGGTTACACTTGTCCTGATGGTAGAAAGATCTTTAGAAAGAAATAGTGAAACAGTTATTTTAAAATGAAAAAGGAGCATTTTGCCTTAAAAGCAAGTGGGTAACTCAGGCCCCTTCTACACTGCCCTATATCAAAGGATCTGATCCCAGGTTATCTGATTGTCTCCAATTATTTGGCAGTGGAGACACATATAATCCAGTTCAAAACAGATAATCTGGGATCTGACCCTGGGATATAGGGCAGTGTAGAAGGGGCCACTGATGACTTTTAAATTAGATGTCATCAACATTTAAGCAAATGAATAAAATTAAAATGGCATTCTGCTTTGCTCAGACAATGACTATAAGATAACACAAGTGAAAGCAAAGTTAGGCAGCAAGATAAAGTAAAAAAATAATTGATGTGATACACTGAAGTCATAGGAAACTGTGCCTGGAGCAGGTGAGAAATCGGTAAACTGCATGCCATAATTCACTCTATTCTAGATACAACTGACTTACACAGAGAGTAACGAAGTATAGAGCGCTTTAAAAAGACACTTCACTAATTCTCCCCCAACCCTTCAGCCCTGAGAACATTTAATAAGAGCTGCCAGCAAATGAACCCCCTATGTTGTGGACTCTAGGAATTTACACAAGACTGCTCCAGCTCAGGTGTCCAAAAACTAGCTAATGAAAGCCCTTTGAATGAGTTTAAAGAACATAACAACAACAAAAGAAATGTGCTGTTTTATCTATTAGTTTAGGCAATGGTTCTCAGCCTGTGGGTCCCCAGATGTTTTGGCCTTCAACTCTCACAGCTGGTAAACTGACTGGGATTTCTGGGAGTTGTAGGCCAAAACACCTGGGGACCCACAGGTTGAGAACCACTGGATTAGAGCTTCTGAACATTTTTCCATCTGTGACCCCTTTCCGCCCAAGACATTTTTATGTGACCCTGGTTATACAGGTATATAAAATAGGTATAAAAATCAAATATTTACTGAGAAATCAGCATTTTCAAGGATGGCTAAACAGACTGGTTTTTCTTTTTATAAAGTACAACTGCAGCATTTTCTGCAGAGTCCATTGTAAACACTGCATGTTGTTGCTAACAGATTTGTGTAATATTTACATGGCATTCAAAAACTTTTTACTGTTACAAGATTTTTCAAGAACTTAACATTGTCCAAGGGAATGCCATTTGGAGCCAGGACCCACAGTTTAAGAAGCGGTATTCTCAGATCAATTACAAAGTGTATCCAATTGTGGGTCAAAGGATGCTTTTTAAAAATAACTGTTTAAACTGCTTACACAATCTGCAAGCAACAGACTTGCTTTCTTATAACTTCATCACACTAGAGAATGAATCAACTTTAAATCTGGATGTTGCCTCCTGCAGAATTCTGGGGTTTGTAGTTTAGTGAGGAGTTTTTAACCACCTCACTGAACTACAAACCCCAGAATTCTTACAGTGGACTCTTCAGAAACTGGATTTAAAGTGGATTCATTCTCTAGTGTGATGAGGTAGTTAGAAGAGGTATTCCTCCTTTTTCTCACCAAAGGAAGAACGCCTCCTCTAAGATGGTGCCTGCTACAACACACAAAATCAACAAATAAAAAACAAAGATAAGCATTTTGTGCAGAACTATAACTTCTGACAGATAGTACATTCCCTGAACAAGATTTAACTTGCTGACAGCTAAATGGCATCCCCCTCCCACCTTTTAAACCAACAAGGAAACTTATTTATCAGATAATTACCTAAAATAGCGGACTCGTTTGAATTCTGTTTTTTCTTCTTAAGTGGAGAAGGGCTACCGCATTTTAAAGTGTAGGAACCATCCAGGCCTAAGAGACAGATCATAAAGCTATACAATAAAACAGAAACACACGCTAAAGCATTGGTGAAATATAATATTTAAAACACTCTCATGTCTAGTGCCTCAAGGTCACAAATACTGTAACCTTGACTGCTTACATGAGGTGATTAGTTGACGTTGGCTTCACTAGCAATTTGGACATTGATGTTTTTCCGTCATTAACTCTGGAACCCATTGCTTTAAAAAGTATTAAAGTCTCTCATTAGATGGTGGCAGTGAAAGACTTTTTTGGTATTACAAATGACCCAGGAGTAGTTCTAATAATTTATGTGACTATTAAGGAGGAAGTAATAATTACATGTATCCTTCCAAATATTGTATGTACTAATAATAATAGTCTCAGTTATGTCTATGCTTCATCCCAATTGGCTCCTTACTCCTCATGAACTTCTGGTAGCTTTCGGAGGGTGGAGAGAGTTCTCCCTCTCTGTTGTCCTAACACATTGGAGAACCATTTAGCAGAGCACAGGAAAATGTGGGAGATATAGTGCTCCAAAGGTTTTCTCAACTATATTATGCCAGTTGGCCTACCCTGTTCACAATGGGCAGCCACCTGGGAGTCATACTGATAGCACAAGGCTGACACTCAAACTGACTCAACATTTCTGCAAGAATTTCACTTCATTTTGTTAAATGTCCAATATGTCTATATGTTTTATGTTGATGATGGCCTTACCTCCAAGTAGAGGCCACTGCTGCATTATGAGACAATTCATAATCCTGAATAACTCTATTAGTTGGCATACTGCTAGTGTAAGAGTAAAACATTTTTATCATAATTGCCGTGCCAATATTTTAAAAAATCTACAAAATCCAACCATGCCAACTGAACATCTGTGTTCTAGTTAGTTAACCTGGCATTTCACTTTATAAACATTATATGAACACAGTATACTTTCAATATTTTATAAATCAGGTTATGCATAAAGAAGGGCTGCACTTCATTTCACGGGCTCCTGCCAAAGAATGTTTACAAAGAAGAGCTGACACAAATTTGTGAAGGGCATAAATACGACTGAATGTGTATATAAACACATTTGAATTGAATTGAATGGCTGTTGCTTTTAAGACTTTCCAAAAGTTGCATTTTTGTATCCTCCATTTAGGATGAATAATGTAACACATCCACTTTGTTCTACATGACTTACCAGAGATGAAATGGACCTCGGAGGAACAAATTAAAAAGCACCTATCACTTCCACTGTTCTTACTGCAGTGCAGAGATACTTTGGGTAAAATGACATCAGGCAAGGACCTTTCTATTGGGCAAAACACAGACACTCACAGAAGAAGAAAACTAATTGCCGGCACAGTTCTATAATATAAACATGAGCCCACACATTGCTACACAACCAATTATCAGTCTGCACCCTTATTATTAATAATATGCAGAGGAAAAGCACAAATGCCATATTTCATTTCTTTTTTCTGTAAACCATGAAGTATTTTTTTATGCAGACAACCACAAAAGTAAAAAGAGTCCAGATTAAAAAGCATAGGAGAGAAAGCATCAAAGACCCGAAAGTATCTCCTGTTTTTTTTTTCCCCATTGGCTTTGACAGTAGCCATAATGGGCAATTAGCAACTGCAGGCTGGAGACACAAAATAGCTTTTTTAGAGAACTGAGTACAGCTGAAAGATGAATAGCTGTAGTTCATGCTAAATTGACTTAATTCCAGTTTGCCTCTGGTAATCAGGCGCTACGACATTTATATTGTTTCAAAACCTGGTTAGCCAGATATCAAAGTGAGAATCAGTGTCTCGGAGAAGTATTCCCCCTTTCTGACTTTCCACATTTTCTGTGTCACAACCTAGAAATTAATTGGCATTGTTGCCACTTTATGTCCACAAAATGCTCAACACTGTAAAGGTATGAAATATTTTGTTTGTAGCATAAAAGTGAAGTGTTTATTGTGGTGCCTCCACAATGTTGATCGAATGTAATTCCTACAATTAATCAATTTCAGTTGCAAGTTCTATCATAACAAAATATAGTAAAGTCAAGAGGGGTATTTGTATACTTCTGACAAGCATTTGGTAAGAAACACATGTGCACACTATGGGAAGTGCACCTTCTCTCAAACTGCCTTCAGTTCTCTTTTAAAATATTGTCTGTCTTCAGTCATCGTGAGGGGGGAAAGTTAATATAAACTGATTTGTTCAATGGGATTATGCTGTCAGAATTTCCACAAATGAATGGCCTTTAATCAAACCATAGTCTCAAAATGAAAAAGGGAAAAAATAGAGCTTTGAATCTTACCAACACAGTCCTTTTTGTTCCAGTGTAATTTGTGACCAGCATTACAGTGGCACTGATAAGTCCCTGGTGCATTTATGCATGTATGCTGGCATCCTGCATTGTTGATACTACACTCATTAATATCTAAGGGGTGAAAGAATAAAGAAAATGCTTTCAGAAAAAGACTTGTACTCTGGCCAACATAAAGCTGCACAGGAATAATATACACAGAACTACATAACCTAGACCGGTGGTTCTCAACCTGTGGGTCCCCTGGTGTTTTGGCCCACAACTCCAAGAAATCCCAGCCAGTTTACCAGCTGTTAGGATTTCTGGGAGTTGAAGGCCAAAACACCTGTGGGCCCACAGGTTAAGAACCACTGACCTAGAGCATAAATACCTAATGAGAGTAGTTCCTGGAAGCTAAGCAGGGTCAGTCTTGGTTAGCACTTGGACAGTGTGTTGTTAGCACACAGGACTAACAACAAATACCAGGTTCTTTTATTTCAGAGGGAGGAATTGGCAAACCACCACTGTGCATTCCTTGCCTTTAAAACCCCATAAAATTAATGGGATCACCATAAGTCAACAAGTGACTTGAAGGCACAAATGCACAAGGTGACTATATTATGCAGAAAAGCTTTTGGTAGTCTGGTAACTCTTGCTACATTTTTTTTAATTGACATAAATAAAAGAACTCTGGGCCTAATAGGTGAGCTTAGATATGGGGCCTGAGCACCCTAAACCTATATAGTAAGATCTAACCCAACTTTACCCAGGGGAAATATTACTGATTGCAAGCCCAGAGTATAAGATTGCAAACTGAGTTGGGAAGGGATGGTTCTGTAGTATGCAAACACTCAACCTGAAGGTTTGGGTTCCCTGTCTTCCACCCAAGGGAATGCTCACCAAGACTAGACCTTCTCTTGCAATAGATATAATTTTTATTTGGATTGGGATGAACCCATATGTGTAACTCCCACTGCTTTCACATTTCCTGGCTGCCTCTTCCATGCTCTGTTTATTACTTATTTATAAGCCCTTAGCATAGCAAACCCATAGCTCCAGATGAGAGGCTGTACCTTTTTTTAACGACACCATGTGCTTAATATCTCTATAGGCAGGTTTATGACTACAACATATAGAGGTAAACCAGTTACTTTTCTGTTTACAGTTGCAAGAGATTCTAATTTATTTGCCTCAGAAAATAGATACATCTACTTTCTCCTCTTTCTTGGGAAAATCTACTGAATAGCAAATTTTGTTTATCGACCAAAAAATTATAGACAACTTAATGTATTGTCGAAGGCTTTCATGGCTGGAATTACTGGGTTGTTGTAGGTTTTTCGGGCTGTGTGGCCATATTCTAGAAGCATTCTCTCCTGACATTTTGCCTGAATCTGTGGCAGGCATCCTCAGAGGTTGTGACCTCTGAGGATGCCTGCCACAGATGCAGGCAAAATGTCAGGAGAGAATGCTTCTAGAACATGGCCATACAGCCCGAAAAACCTACAACAACCCATAGACAATTTAATTTTAAAGGTAAGTACCCTGTACTATATTATGCAACCAATAAACATCCTGGTGACAGCCATTCTGCCAAATGCAATTCTTAGTACCTAAATGTGGGACACAACTGTTGGTTCTAACAGTCACAGCTGTAATAGAAGTCAGAAGGGGAAACTGCTTAAGCAGAAATATAGCATGAACAAAGTCAGATTATAAATCATGTTGACCCAAAAGGAAAACATCTGAAGTAACTACATCACTGGTTTTAAAACCAAGATTTCCATTCAATGTCACAATCAAGGAAGTAACACTCAGTTCTTGTGGGGTTTTTTTCGGGATATATGGCCATGTTCTAGAGGCATTTCTCCTGACGTTTCGCCTGCATCTATGGCAAGCATCCTCAGAGGTGAGGTCTGCTGGAGCTGAGGAAAAAGGGGGTTTATATATCTGTGGAAAGACCAGGGTGGGACAAAGGGCTTTTTGTAAGTTGGGCTAGGTGTGAATCTTTCAAATATACAGCTCCAGCAGACCTCACCTCTGAGGATGCTTGCCATAGATGCAGGCGAAACGTCAGGAGAAATGCCTCTAGAACATGGCCATATAGCCCGAAAAAACCCACAAGAACTGAGTGATTCCGGCCATGAAAGCCTTCGACAATACAAGGAAGTAACACTTCTACAAGGACACCAGCAATGTGTTATCTATACTGACCTCCACAATGTGTGAAGCCATAGAGTGTGTATCCTTTCTTGCATGCACACTCAAAAGTGCCTGGATGATTGATGCACATATGGTCACATGTCCTTTCAAAGGAACATTCATCAATGTCTGCAGTATTTAAGGAATACTTTATTATTTCACTTCACGCAAAGAAGACATTTACGATCTTGAAAAAGTGATGAAAAACAAAGGTAAACTAGCACTTTACAAAGACACTGAATTTGTTAACATCAACAAATGGTTCATCAAGCAAAGACTGCAAACCAAAGAGTTGAACTGCTCTTTTCCCATTGATTTTTATGCTTTCTTAGCGCATATCTAAATGGACAGGATAACCCCTGGCAAGCAAGATTAAATCTCATGCCATCCACATGATGTATTACAGCCCTTCCAGGCAACCCTATATTCCAGGATATCAAGGCAGAAAATCCCACATTATCTGAGTGTGGACTTAGATAACCCAGTTCAAAGCAGATATTGTGGGATTTTCTGCCTTGATATTCTGGGATATAAGGCTGTGTGGAAGGGCCCTCAGCCTTTATCGCCCCTAAGGAAAGCCAAGGCCATTTAACACTGTTTTGTCCTGTATTAAGCAATGTTGGGAAATGCTCTGGAGCCATCATTGACATTTGCATTAGTGGCCACATCTTTCAGAGGCCCCTTCCACACAGCTGGATAAAATCCCACATTTTCTGCTTTGAACTGGAATATATGACAATGTGGATTCAGATATCCCAGTTGAAAGCAGGTATTGTGAGATTTTCTGCCTTGATATTCTGGGTTATATGGCTGTGTGGAAGGACCCACAGAGGGAATGAGGGAAAGGAAGGAGCAATCCCCTTCCGCTCCTTAGGTCATGCTGGCACCCTTGCACACATCAGCTATGTACTCCACAGTAACCCCAGGTTTCCTGTCCATGTAGATACATGTTTTGACTACTGAGAACAAATATTATGTTTAGATGAACTCAAGCCAGCTCCACAGGTTTACTGAATAGCAATACCACAAATGCCATTTGGCTCACATTCCTGTTTCAATTACATTTGTTCAGTACTAAGCTAAATGCCATTTACTAGTAAGAAATAAAGCAAAAATTGTTAATTTTTTCTCACTGAAATTAATGGAGATAAAGATTATTAGTAACAAAGGCTGAAGCCACATGAAACACATTCCACAGAAAGCACAAGATTATTTCTGAATTATTATGAAGATCTCACTAGGTGTGCACACAAAAAAGATATGTACCTGCAATTATTTCAAGTGGCATAAGGAGTGTGCTGATGAACAGATACCAGTTATATAATATAGAGAGAAGCAAATTCTTTTGCAGTTAAGTCATTTTTTAAAAGAAAAATACATTCAATTCAGGATCGTTATTTCTGGATTACCTTAGCAACACATGATGTCTACTTTCTGAAACCATTAAAATCGTATTTAATTATGTATTGCTTTCCAGTGTACCTACCTTGACATAATTTTTCATCAGATAATAATTTAAAGCCTTTTCTACAGCTGCAATCAAAACTACCAATTGTGTTTCTACAAAAATGATCACATCCGCCATTATTGGCCTGGCATTCATCAATATCTGTAACAAAAAAAATTGAGAAGGACAAGTAAGATGAAAAACATGATTTTCTTTTCTTTACAGACCCCAACCATGAGGCTTAAAGCTCTTAGACTATCATCAATATTTATATATTGCATCTAAATTCTTAGAAGCCACCAATCAAGTGTTTTAAAATTATAATAAAATGTTTTGTTTTGTTTTTTGTTCTCTGCTGATCAAACTAGTAATTCCTAAACAGAGTACCTAGGCTCCGTCTCAAAATTGTCTGAGAGGAAAAATGCAAAGCTATCTTAAATTCGAGATACCTAAAACTTTTTTTTTATTTTGATCTACCATGCTTCTTATGAGTTATTTGTGCACTCATTTTAATTGCTGTACCACTTGTATACTTATTTGTATTTTCTTCTATTGCTTTCAAACCAAACATTGCAACATGGAATAGGCAAGCATGCAGAAAAATAAAAATGGGAGAATAGGCTGATCTATACTTCTGGGGCATGTTTACTTTTGTGTTTTAGACCTGTGGGCCTTCCTGAATAATCAAATACTTGATCAATGTTCTAACAGTAAGTGAAGTGTTTCCATCTACAGCCCTCTACCAACAGATGGCATTTACACAGATGGTACTATATTAGCTCAATTCCATGCAAACAAAGAGACTCCTCTCAGTAAAATATCATCTACAAGTTGACAAGAGAGGTGATTAGATAGGACTGAATACAAAAAAGCAAACCTTTTATGCACACCTTCTAGACCGTCTGAAAATGGAAACTATCAGAATGGCCACTGGTGAATCGGAACTAAATTTTCCATTTCAGATTTTCCTTTCTCATTGGCTTAGAACAGGAATGGACAACTAGAGCCCTGCACATATTGCTGGCCTATACATATAATTATAATCCTAGAAGCCCCAGCTAGCATAGCTAATGATGAGGATTGGGGGGATTGCAATCCAACAATATCTGCATAGTTTTTTTCTGCAATGAATCACTTGCAGACAAAAGTATTGCATACACAATAAAACATGTTCTACCTTTGCATGTCTTCCCATCGAACTGAAGTGTAAATCCAACAGGACAGCTGCAGTGAACACCTGTAGAAGTGTCCTTACAAGTGCGATCACAGCCACCATTATTGACTGCACAAGTTTCTGAAGAAATAAAGAAAAATAGAAGAGAATTTAAGAGTACCATGTGGTATTTGAAGGTCAATGTAGTCTGGAAATCACCCACTCTACTCTCCCAGCCATGGTGCTGCTTCTGGTCTAAACAGGAAAATTGTGGTGACGGCTACTTTGTGATTCAACTTGCTGCAGTTATTAGGCTCTCCCAGGATGGATCAAGCTCTCACTTTAGTCAATCCCTGGAGACCTCTTAAAAAGTACTGACTCCCTCTACTCTTCCTGCCACAGTGCTGCATTTGGTCGGGATGAGAACATGGCAGAGCTAGTGGCAAGCAGTTCCCCTTTGCCATTCATTCCATCTTCAAGCACAAATCTTTGTCACTACATACTAGCTCAGAAGCAATAAGGAAATCCCCCCCCCCCCCACTAATGGACCCATCAGCCATCAAGATGCTCATCTGTCTCTCCCTTTCACCTTCTCTGCTCCCACTTGGTTCCTAAGCCATTTATTTTCTTCCCACTCTCACCCTACTGCATCAGCTGCTCCCAGGAGAGCCTCTTAAAAGCACCAAGTCCCTCTACTCTTCCCACCTTGGTGTTTGGTGAAAGCCATTCTGTCTGTATGTATTATGTTTATTACCTTTGAAAAGTGAGTTCTGAAAAGTTTTGTCTTCAACCTAACCATGAGTCATATTAAAATCCCTAATTTTGATCCTAAAATCTGTCCTCATCTTATACATGAGTTCGACTTGTACACAAGTACCTACAGTAGCTTCCTTTCTAAAAATGAATCCATATGCAAATGCAGATTTAAAGGTAACTATAATTGCAGTTGTAGCTCAAGTAGAAAGCAACCATTTCTCTCTGCAAAATTATGGTTGTAATTGCATACCTCTGTGACAGTTAACAGAAGAAAAGAGTATGACATATGGTTCCCATAGGCACCACTCAAGCGAACACACTTTAGCCCTGCCAAGAACATTACATGCCAAAAATGTAAGTAGAGGGGTGTTTACAAAAGCTGAAAATAGCTATGGGCAGAATCTAGTGGTGGAACTCTAAGTGTGGAACTAATCAATCTAGCAAAAATTGAGAAGAGTGACCCCTTTCCCCACTTCAGCCCCCTGAAAAGCCTTCCAGGGACAGACTATGCCCATACAGCCACATCACACCAGAGCATGGATACACTTTAAATCAGGTTTCTGCCTCCTGCAGAATTCTGAGGGTTTTTTTTTTTTTGGGGGGGGGGGGTTCATGTCAGGAGCGACTTGAGAAACTGCAAGTTGTTTCTGGTGTGAGAGAATTGGCCATCTGCAAGGACATTGCCCAGGGGACGCCTAGATGTTTTGATGTATGGGAGGCTTCTCTCATTGTAGTTTAGTGAGGTCCAGGACATGTCTGGCCCAGCAGTTTAAAGGCCACTCCCTAAACTAAAAACCCCAGAATTCTACAGGAGGCAGAATCCAGATTTAAAGTGGATCCATGCTCTTGATCAGTGGTTCTCAACCTGTGGGTCCCCAGGTGTTTTGAACTACAACTCCCAGAAATCCCAGTCAGTTTAGCAGCTGTTAGGATTTCTGAGAGTTGAAGATCAAAACATCTGGGGACCAACAGGTTGAGAACCGCTGCTCTAGTGTGACGATGTCCTTAGGTCATGGAAGCTACAATATTTAAATTGTAAAATGAGAAATGGTATTTCACATAGCAAAATCAGGAATGCCATTGCCATCAATAAAAACTGAGTATTTTTACCCATGTGCAGTCGTCTCTTCACCCTCTTGTCCACGTCAGTTCCTGCAGTGGCATTGTTTTCAGAGATATCTGTTGCAATCTCATCTCTCTCTTTAAAATTGAAAGGAAAAAGAAATATGAAAAATGGATCTGCATGCAGTGCAAATATTCTTCCAGGTAATTATATTATGATATAAGTGAAGAAAACTGTCTAGCAGATCATACCACTGATTCACAACTGTGGCCTAAATCAAATTGCTAGCCCCAACTAGAACAGATTTGCTGAATCAGTAGTTCAATCCTAAGTCAACACTTACTTAAATCTCCTCCATTTTTTTCTTCCCTTAGGCCAGGGTTGTGCATATTCCAGATCACAAGGGGCATCACACCATCGTTCTGAAATGTTCAGTACTGTAATGGTGTGGGTATAGAAGAATCCCTATTTTTACCGAGAGAGGATTATATTCCTTGTTGTTGGGTGCCTTAGTCATTTATAGTGACTCTAATGTTATGAATAGCTTTTTCATAACTTATTGCAATTTTCCAGTAAAAGAAGGGGCATCATAACTTTTACAGAACAACATTTAGACATAAAGATTCTATGTAACTTCATTGAATTCACAAACAACCTAGTTACATTGGCTAACAAACAAACAAAAAGGGAATTACATTTTTGCTCAGCATTCACATTACCCATACACATTCATTCATCCTCATGCATACATCACCATTTCACCTGCTGTTTTCTTGTAAATCTGTCACTTTTCTAATACTTCCAAAACTTCTAAAACACCGAAATGCACCCTCTTTCCCTAAGAACATGACTCCAAAATCACACTCCTTTTTCTTTCCTTGAGAAAAGGAGGCAAGTGACCGGACTGTGTTCCACTGCAGATCTGCCACTCCCAAATACACCATCTCTCTCCTCCCCAAGGAGCAGAGCATGGCGGGTGAACAGCATCGTTGTCTGGCATACTTTTGCTCCAAAGTTGTAAATGATGTTTTTCTATTTTGAAACATCCTGACTCTATCTCTTTCTGGCAGATGTTGAATTTGCATAATTGGTGTTGGTGACCATAAGGCTTGTGTAGACTTCCTTCTTAAGTAAGAAACCTTGTAAACATTTCCTTAACTTAAAGAGCCATTGTCTCTGATTAAGGTAAACACGTTGTTTTTCCCCAAAATTTCAACAGTGAATCACTGTCACAATTCTCATCAACAACTTTTAATTACAGTTCCTGAGTGTAGTTGTTTTCCAGACCTGAATATTTTAGAATGGTGTCTCCAAAATTATTAGCTCCCATTCATTCATCTTTCATACAATTCCATTCAAATCATACATAATATTTATCCATGACATTTAGGTAAGCCTATCATGGTGTTTTCTTGGCAGGATTTCTTCAAGGAGGAGGTGCTTTTCCCTTCCTCTAAGACAGAAGGTGTTTGTTTTGCCCCAGGCCACCCAGTGGGTTTTCATGGCCAAATGTATATTTGATCACAGGTCTCCAAGTTCAAACTCAAACCATTACACTGCATGCTTAAAATAGTTTTGTTTTTTTTTAGAAAAATACTGTGTTTAATCTCTGAACTTGACTTGTATTTTAACTAAATTTTTATTCAGTGCTAGTTTGAGCCTACTTTTGGAAGAATCCAATAAATATGAATCCAATAAATAAAGGCATGAGTAATATGCGTTCAGAACTACTTTCCTTCCAAACCAAGAAATTAGGGTTGTCAGTTTGAAGAATAAGTTCTCAATATGTATCAACTTCCAGGGAAAATATTAAAAAGAAATCAGTCATCCAAAAGTGGCAAATGTCTGGTAAGGAAAATGTAGGATTATAGCTGAAAAATTGTAGCTGAAAATAATACAAGTGCTCATGTACCAAGACAAATTTTTCCATTGGGATGTATTATGTATTCCGGATGACATCCACAGATAGGGCCAACATCTGTATCTTCACATGAATGCTGACAGCCACCATTCCCATGGTTGCAAGTCACTGGAAAGAAAACAGACTGCTGAACTTGAGAAGTATGGTACTTAGAACGTTTAAGAAAATGTGCAGTTGAGAGAATGCCACTACCTTACATATGTTGTTTTTGTCTTCTATATATCTGGAAGGCCTATGAGTTATTTTAATTTTTAAGAAATTCACCTGCTGTATATGTACTTGGACATAATTGTGGAGATTGTTTCCAAAAAGTACCAACTCCATCTAAACAAATGTTATAGGAATTGGGAAAAACTGTCCTGAGAATATGCACTCTTTAAAATAAAATTGTCCAAGTCCTGGACCAAGGTGATTTGATACATTTTGATAGTTTTGATCTGTACATAATATTTGACTCCTAGCCAAGAATGTGCTGCCACCTATCATCACTTTTCAATTTTTTTGGATTTGGTACCTTTTTGAAACAAACTTCGCAATTGCCAGCACAAAATTAATTACAACCAGGGACAGGAAACAGATCCAAGTTTTATTCACTGGCATTCTTGTTTCTAATAACTTATTTAATAGAATATGATATAATCAATTATAATATTCATTACACTATAAATATTTTCATTTAAATGGTTGAGGAAATGCAATGAACAACAAGTATCACAAGTCATCAGCAAGCAATATTTCCAATATTCAATTTCAAGAATTGCAGTTTCTCTCAGCTGAACATCACGAGGAACTGACAGAGAAATCCTTCAGGTGCCAGCTCCAAATTACCGTAACCTCAATTAAGTTCAATGGGCCTTTTTCCCAAGAAAGCAGTCATAGGCTTCTAACTTTTTTTTTTTTTACTAGAAAATCAAGTTAATCCACAGTACCTGAATTCAATGCTGGGCACAGTTTATAGCCAATAATAATCAATTAATACAAGATAAAGACTTTTTATAGATGGCGATGTCTGGCAGACTCTTAAAAAAGCAATAAACATGTGATGGCGTATTCTTGGTGCAAATAAAACATATGTCATCATATCAACCTTAAATCTGACTATCTTTAAATGGTCAACAATGCTCTTCATTCATTTTCATGTTATCAGGGTTTATTCAGCCAAATGAGCTTTTAAGTAACATCATCCTTGGAAAGGAAGCCTCAGTTTCACAACTAAGAATAGAAATGTCTGAATTCTACTTGCTCGCTTAGGGAAAGCATGAGGTAAGTGTAAAATGTTGCATACAAATACAGTCTCTCTGGTTTCTGGCCAGTTCAAATCCAGGTCTGCATTCACAGGCCACTCCTCCTTTTGGTGCTTCTTTGCAGATATGTGCACAGCCATGATCTTTATTCATACAGCTCAAACCTTCTGCAAAAACAGTAAAATGGATGCATCAGTGTTCTCTGTGCCTACAGCAGATGACACATGCTAGATACAGCATTTCAATAAGCACCAGATAATCTTGAAACCATCTGAACAAAAAGATCCCTGAACAAAAATTTATACAGCAACTGCTGAAGCTTAATATGCAATATCCCTATTACTAAGTCTATTCTTATTTTTTAATCTGTCATGACTATAAGGAACACAAAATGGCAAAATGAAGGCATGACCCAATTGTATCTTCACAATTTTATTGCAAAATAATCAGGAGAAAGAAGAAAAATAGATAGGTAAGCATACTGAGAACTATTCATAGAAAGGGCTAGACTATACTGCACCACATAATACTATGAATGTTTCAAATATACAAATTTGCCTTCAGCATGTACTGTATAACTAATAATTCAAACAAAGGGGAATCTGCTAACAGAATGTTTGAATCTGAATAAATCAGTAGATCAACACTGTCACCCAGATTTCCAAAGAGATTTTGAAGAGGAAACTGGGTATCCAAAAAGTCCTTGTCAACTGTGGACACGCCAACAGCATGGGAAGATCACAGGATATACATGCAGGTGTTGCCTCTTTTTCAGCAAACACTAGTAGATATAGACTCTGTCTCCAGGCTTTAGCTGTCCAAAGCAAAAGAAGTCTTAGTTTGAAACTGAGCAGATTATTGTTGGTCTGATGTTAAACCAAGCTCTTGGCAATATTTCTTTACTTGATAATGTTTTTGCAAGGTTAAAAACAAGGATAGTCTCAAACTTGGGACAAACGTGTATGTATGTCTGTAAGACAGAGGGAGAGGAAACTGAATATCTGCAAGGTTATAATCAGGTCTCCCACCCAAACTGGGTGGATTCATTACATCACTGCATTCTCATCAGTTTGTATTCTCTATTCTCAATTCAACTTTCTAACCTCAGAAGTAGGTCCAAAGCTAGCTATATTTAAGTGCAGTTATAACATAGTACCAAAACTATGGTACTAATGCATTAGTCACTTTAAAGCCACTTCACATTGTACATAGAAATATAGTTCCAGGGTGGCCAAATGTGTCAAGGAGATGCATGCCATCACACTTTAAAAGGAAATGCAGAAGTCAACAAGCTCTGCAGCATTTGCCCCAATCACTGGTGTTGAGAAGCACTCTAGAGCCAGACTCTCAAGCCCAAACTGAAATGCAAGAGACCCCCTCCCCCTCATTGCTCTTGGAGAGGAATGCCAACAATCCCTGAGCCTGGTTACAGCACTGGGCCAGAACACTATTCTCAAGTTCCACACTCCATGGAGTTGATAGACCAAGGATAGCAGCATGCCTGACACCCAGAACCCTTGAAGAGCTAAATGAATATCAGGCCCCAGGGCTGTGGGCTATCCCTGAATGGATTCCCACTTTGCAAGGAGTGAAATATCAGTGGGAGTTTCGGGAGCTTCAGGACTGGAACATGAAAGTCTTCAGGCCCTACCAGATCACACTGCTCACTTGGAGCTATCCCAGGTACTGCACCATCTAGCCTGCCTGGCCATGCTAAACTCGTGCATCTTGCTTTCTCAGCACCCTTCACTCCTCTTCAAAATCAGCCACCCCAGGCATTACTTAAACTTGTGGAAGCAACAACTTAAAAGTAGAAACATTATTCATTATCTTTTGTTCTATTTTTAAATAACAACCAATTTGTCTGTTTTCAACATTGAATTGAAAACAAAGTAAACATTAGAATATTTTCAGAGTGAGTAACCAACTATTACATCGCTGTTGCTGTTGTGGTTAATGTCAATTATAGATCTCCCTTCCTCAGAAATGCTCATGAGCGTTTCCTTTTGTTATTATGAAACCTTACCAGTAATCCCACATTTAGATATTCTTTTTAAATTACAATAACATGTTACACATTATTCACAAATAATAAGTATGGTAACAGTCATTCATTAAACAGCTGTCCTTCTTGAGGAATGCTCAAGTTGTAGTATAGTCTCCATTATTTTTGTGGTACAGCCTCCATTATTATTTTCCAAAAACTGCCAACTTCAACGTTTAATAAAATTGGCAACCTTTAGAAAATAACAATGAAGACTGTAATATATATGCTAAATGTACTATTACCACCACATCCATTGATATGTTATCACTTTGCGCTGACTGTTGAGCATTCATTATCTTGAATTCTAAAATCCAAAATACTATCTTCCTAAGGAAATTGCTGCACTGTGAATGTCAATGAACCTATTTTCTTGCGTGAGACAACAGCCACACAAAATGCTGCTGAAAACTCTGATTCATCTGAAGATTTTAAACTTTGTTTGTTCCTGGAAGCAGATGGGTGAATTTTTATAAAAATGATTGCATAAAAAGCCGTATTGTTGGTTCTGTTGCTACATCAAAGTCTCACAGATGTTGTAGACCACAGCACCTATCACTGAACATAGAAAAAGTGTGAATCAGATGAAATCTGGTTGGACTTACAGCCAAGTGTTTAGATTTATCTGCAGATCAGTTCCTTACTAGATCTCTCTCATCTTTTTGTGCTGCAGGCATATTACTATTCCAAGAAAATAAACAGGAATTGGCAATGTGTTCCTGAAGTTCTGTAACATTTCAATCAAGCCTGTTCTCTTCTTAACACCCCTGTTTTTGCCTCCAATAGACTTTCTTGAAGAAGGCGGCTTTGAGCAACAAAGGAATAGTTGCTACTTTGCTTTGATTATTCTGCTCTACTGGCTTCTTGATTCCTTTCCCACAGTGAGAAAACTAACAAGACAATGATGCCTTCTACCGAGCAGAATACACAAAAGATGCAAAGATCGCCAAGGGAAAACTGGCAATCACTATTATGCTGTCAGTCAGGCTCTGTGCACCACAGAGCACCACAAATTAGCCTTATTAACTCCACTGTTTTGTGGCATTTGAAAGCTTCAGCATGCCTTGTGATCTGTCTGTTAACTAAGAGGTGTTTAAAAAGCATTAAAGAGAATTAACAGCTTAGCTTCTGCTAACAGTGTAACCTCTTTGTGCACATTCAGAGACCAATGGAGACATCATTCATTCAGGTACTTTGGCAAAGTTCACTGAACCCACACTCTTCAAATACTGAATTGGTACTTGCATAGTTCTCCATGCGGAGAAAAATTTGAACTCCTCATCTGAGAGCTATGGGAAGAAAAGAAGGCATTCCAATGCATAGCATGCACACTGTTTAGTGCAATGCACTTGGACTGAAAGGCAGTTGCTCAGATATTCAAACTGTTATTTATTATGATTTTCATTATCTATGGATAGATATATAATAAAAGCAACACAGGTGAAATGGCGTAATCAAAGCTAAGAGTAGAACAAAAAAATTGAAAGACAGTTGTATCTGCTCTTTGGGCTTTTTCAGAAAGAAAAGTTGTATTTGCTAATTATATTAAGTTCTTCTTACAATCTTAGACCTATACATAATGATTAAAAACCTGGTTTTGGTCAAGTAAACAGAAATATAAGAAACAAGGCTGGAGAAGATAAAAGAGAGAGAACAGGCGGCAATGAGGGAATATAGAGTTACGTTTATCTGTAGAAGCTGGACAAGGAGATTGATTTTTCAAAAAAGCAAACAAACACGCACTCACACAAATGGCTTGTTTAGACTCTGAGGAGTTCATTTAGCAAGCAGATGACACACAGTTTCTATACTGAGACTATGCCGCCATTGGTGTTGGTATTACTGTGAGTAACTGTTGCACAGTGTTGACACAGTTCATCCTATCTTCTAGCAAAAGGTTACCAAAATATAAACATGTAGAGAAAAAGAAATTCCAAATCAATATGGCATTTGACTACCATAATTTCTGGGACTATCCAGTTGATTTAATGTTTCCACAGACAGAAGGAATAGAAATGATAAACTGCACAGTAGAAATAATAACATAAAACTTGATTCTTTGGAAGATTAAACTAAATTATACCAGCTGGATGTTAAAGTGGCTAAAATTATGTTGACACACCTAAATCAATTCAAAGTATGTAATCTATAATTATCTACTATAAACACATTGCTAGGCGTTTAAAGATGGGTGCCTACAGATGAGTAACATTAACATGTGCTAATTTATACTTATATATGGAGCCCCCGGTGGCACAATGGGTTAAACCCTTGTGCCAGCAGGACTGAAGGCCGACAAGTTGAAGGTTCGAATCTAGGGAGACCGCGGATAAGCTCCCCTGTCAGCTCCGGTTCCCCATGTGGGAACATGAGAGAAGCCTCCCACAAGGACGGTAAAACATCAAACATCCAGGCATCCCCTGGGCAACATATTTGCAGACGGCCAATTCTCTCACACCAGAAGTGACTTGCAGTTTCTCAAGTTGCTCCTGACACACACAAAAACTTGTATATGAAAAAAAAATCATGGTTGTATTTTACTTTTACAAATGCCAAAGCCAGTCAATTAATTCATGTCCAAATAAAATAATTGTGCAATCAATTTGTATGCCAACCCCCAGATCATCCCAAATCAACCACTTATCTTCAGTTACAATTAACTTTTCTGAACAGCTATGAAAAAAAGATGTTTAAAAGAACAGGTTTATTACTTTTTTGCTTCATTTATACCCAGCTTTTCTCACCCACATAAGCGGCTTATAACTCTGGCAAGATTCAGTGCCACTTAAAACATACTCATAAAACCTATCCCATATACTAAAAATAGTTTAAACAGTTAAACAATGAAATACATAGAATCATAACAGATTAACATATAAAGTTTGCGGCTATCTCTTGGTTTTTAATGTACTGTATTTGTCAGGAGGTAAAAGAAAGAATAAGAAAGATAGGAAAAGGTGAAAAGAAAATCAAATTTGGTAACGGAGAAAATATGAAGGACGAAAAAGGAAGCATTCAGGGTACAAAAAAACCAAAGGGAGCCTAGAAAGATAAAAGGGAAAAAGCAGAGGAGGAGACAGATGCAGAACATGTGCCTTTTTCCTGTCCTCAACTCTACTGTTTTTGTGGTTGTCTCTACTTTATAGAGACATGCGCCTCTCCACTCCACCCAACCTTCCAACACACAGGCAAATATCTAGTTGTACTGGATATGATGCCTTGCATTTTCCAGACAGGGCATTATATCTGCATAAACATACGTCTGTGTGTTAGAAGTTGGGGGGGGGGGTTGAGAGACATACACATATCACAAGAGAGCAACAAACACACAAGAATCTAATGCAGGGGTCCTCAAACTAAGGCCCGGGGGCCGAATGCGGCCCTCCAAGGTCATTTACCCGGCCCTCGCTTAGGATCAACCTAAGTCTGTAACGACTTGAAAGTACACAACAACAACAATAATCCTATCTCATCAGCCAAAAACAGGCCCACACTTCCCATTCAAATACTAATAAATTTATATTTGTTAAAATTGTTCTTTGTTTTAATTATTATATTGTTTTTAAGTGGTTTTTGCACTACAAATAAGATATGTGCAGTGTTCATAGGAATTCTTTCTTTTTTTTCAAATTATAATCCGGCCCTCTAACAGTTTGAGGGACTGTGACCTGGCCCTCTGTTTAAAAAGTTTGTGGACCCCTGATCTAATGCATATTCAGAAACCAAAAGAAATTCATGCCCAAATAATTTAACCATTTAGAAAGGCAATGAACCCATATTTTCTTTCTTCCCAATTCAGTTCTCCATATTTCTCTTCTTACTATACCCTTCTCTCCATCCCTCCCTCCCTCAAAGCAAAACAGACCCTACACCACTCACCTAGCCTTAGTGAAAGAGTTCAATAAGCCATATTTCACATTCATTTATACATAGGATTTCCAGAGATTTCATACATTTCAACTATATATTATTTTCCACATTGCCTACTTAAGATACACATTTGTACTGTGTGTCTTGCATTTTTGTGTATACGCATACTTATTTTCACTTCAATTTCTCAATCCATAAAGGAGGGCTCGTCTGTTAACTTACTTACTTTCCTTTCAAATGTTGTGTTTATTTAAGCACAGCTTCTATATTTATCTTAAACTTTCTAAATCTATACATTTTGGCTGTGTAAAATACTAACTAACCACAGCTTCAGTGGAAACTCCCTGACTTAAAACTACTACTTTCAGGTTATTGCCCCAGGGGTACCTATAAAACTTTTATGCATTGAAGCCTCTCATTTGGCATCAAATTTCATTTCTGCAAAGTGGAGTTATTTCCGTTCTCTAAAACTGGCTCCTTTGAAACATCTCTCCTTCTCCAAACATTGAAATCATTTCAGATAGCTTCACAGGGATAGGTAGTACTTCTGTTTTTTGTTTTAAATACCCCTTTTCCTCTATAAAATACACTCTTCAAATGGAGCGTATCGACCTTTGTTTGCTTGGATCTTCATCCATGAAATCTTACAAACAGCATCTGACAGAATGTAACTAGAATATCTGCAATCTCCTCTCTTACTCTTCCCCCTTAAGACTCTGGCCATGCTGACTTCATGATTTGAACATTAGGCCATCCTTTACTTTGCCTCCTCCTCCTCCTCTCTCCAAGTACTTTTTGTAAGAACTAGTTTGATAAAGAGATCTGGGTATCTCAAAGGCTTGCACACTATCTTGTGATAACGGCTCTAGACCATACTAAGGCAAACCTATCACAGGATTTTCTTGTCACAATTTGTTTGGTGATGAGAGGGTTGCCATTTGTTGTCTTATAAGGATGAGAGGGTGTGACTTGCCCAGAGTCAATCTTTGGATTTCCATGGCTGAATGGGGATTTGAACCCTGGCTCCCAAAATCATAGTCCAACACTCAAACCATTATGCCATGCTGGCTCTCTAGAAAGACAGTTCATAGCAAGTAGCATTGCCAGAATGAGAACTAACATACATCTTAAATCTTTAATGGTTGTATAAAGGAGGAATTCCATCAGGCACTGTCTGTCATATAATGAAGTGACACCACATACCTGTTGGAATGAATTCTTATATACAACCACTGGAAGATACAGCAGCCCTCCCAGTTTTAACTCTGCCAAACCTAATAGGTAGTGGTGGGTTATGGTTAAATAGGATAATGCCATTGGCCTTATAGGAGATAGTGTATTATAATGGTTTCAATGTTGGACTGTGAGTCTGGAGATCAAAATTTTATTCCCTGCTTGGCCATGGAAACCTACTGGGCGACTTTGGATGAATCACACATTCTTAGTCCCAGAAAACCCTGTAATACCGTAGGGTGGTAGTGTCAAACTTGTCTCCACCCCCAGATTTTTGGACTTCATCTCCCAGAATTCCTAACCATTGGACAAGCTGGCTAGGGATACTGAGAGTTGAAGACCCAAACATCTAGAGAAGCACAAGTTTGATACCTCTGCCTTAGGGTCACCATAACTTGGAGACATCTTGAAGGCATCCAACAACAACAACATTAGCCTATGCTGAGCAGCACTGGCCATTCAACTCTCTACATGGTGACAAAACAGCTGCTTTATGCCTTCAAAAATATTTATCAGTTTCCCTTAACTCATAGTGTCTACCTACTGATACCTACTTTAAACATAATGCTCAATACAAAAGCAAGAACACAAGCCTGGGAGCTGTTCTGGTGTTAAACGCTGGGGGTTACACAGTTAGTGTTACACACAAACCAGGCATGTGGGAATTGTACAATGGATTTCTAGCATACCTAACAGAACTTAATAAGGGACCCAGATGAAAAGCTTTACATAAGAACACAGGAAGCTGCTTTAGAATGAAACATATTAGATAATCATTCAAAACAGTATTCTTAAGGCAGCAGCTTACCAAGATTGTAGACAGGCATTTTTCTAACCTTACATGGAGATGTAGGATTCAAACCCATATAAAACAGGACTCAAAAGACTTAGTACATTTAAATAAAAGTAATCACCTAGCAAATCTACTAGAGCACTAGAGTCGGACTTCTTGGGGAAGTAGCAGAAGGAGGAACCCAAGAGGTAGGTTTTACCTTCTGAGCGATGAATGCAGGTGTGTTGGTTATCACTGAGGAAGAACCCATCATTACAAGAACACTCATAGCTGCCCACTGTGTTGACACAAACATGTTGGCAGCCTCCATTGTTAAGCAGGCACTCATCTGTATCTGAAAAGAGAATAAGTAGAGGATTGCTACTATCTATTTTTGGTCATTAAAGCTGCATAGAATATGTTAATTAAAATCAGGACAAAAAGGCACACAATCTTACTATCTTTGTCTCTAGACACAACAGAATCCAGTAATACAGTTAAAATTTACATGATTTAAAAATATTTGGACATGCTTACTTAATATTTTCTGATGAGCTATTACGTAGAATTTTACACAGTCTAATGGCAAAACCTAAAATTGTAATGGCTGCATAGCTTTCAAGGTTCCAGGCTGTTACTTTAAGTCTACCTATTCTACAACAATACCTTTACATTTTTTTGTTCATTTAAAGGTGATGAATCCTCTGCCAAAAGGACAAACAGAATTAACATCTGCATAAAATACAAATGGACTTTGTTTAACCTTCTTTTGTCTGAAATAATAAATGCAGAAGTCTAATGTACAATGCTGGATCTTGCACAATACTAGTCAGCAGCTGGTTAGTCTTAAGGAAACAAGCAAATAACAGCAGAAAAAGTTCTTGTGTCAGAAAATCATCTGGAGACCAAGAGTAAAGAAGAACAATTTGCCATGTAAGGTCTTGCACAGGGACAGCCATCAAGAAGTCCCTACCTCAGCATTTCTCAACCTCGTGTCCGGACCCCTGGGGGGTCATGAGGGGGGTGTCAAAGGGGTCACCAAAGACCATAAGAAAACACAGTATTTCTGGTTGGATCATGGGGGTTCTGTGAAGGAAGTTTGGCCCAATTCTATCGTTGGTAGGGTTCAGAATGCTCTTTGATTGTAGGTGAACTATAAATCCCAGTAACTACAACTCCCAAATGTCAAGGTCTATTTTCCCCAAACTCCACTAATGTTCACATTTGGGCATATGGAATATTCGTATCAAGTTTGGTTCAGATCCATCACTGTTTGAGTCCACAGTGCTTTCTGGATGTAGGTGAACTACAACTCCAAAACTCAGGGTCAATGCCCACCAAACCCTTCCAGTATTTTCTGTTTGTCATGGGAGTTCTGTGTGCCAAGTTTGATTCAATTCCATAGTTGGTGGAGTTCATAATGCTCTTTGATTGTAGATTAACTATAAATCTCAACAACTACAACTCCCAAATGACAAAATCAACCCCCCTTCCCCCCACAACCTCACCAGTATTCAAATATGGGCGTATTGGGTATTTGTGCCAAATTTGGCCTAATGAATGAAAATACATCCTGCATATCAGATATTTACATGATGATTCATAACAGTAGCAAAATTACAGTTATGAAGGAGCAACAAAAATAATTTTATGGTTGGGGGTCACCACAAGATGAGGAACTGTATCAAGGGGTCACAGGATTAGGAAGGTTGAGAATCACTGTTCTAGCAGTTTACTGCCCCAACCAGTGAATCGTTTTACAGATACTGCCTTCATGTTTTCAAACATACAGCAAAACTCAAGGAGTGTTTCCTTTTTTAAAATGAAAACTGAGCTTCTCAAGAATCAGACTTTTACATGCAAGAAAGCAGAATCTGTTCAAAGCTCTATGTACAAAGAATTGGTGTGGGGTGTTACATTTGACTTCTTTGATCACTACACTCTGCCAAGTACTTGCTGTAGGCAAGTGTCGCCACTGTCCTAGAAGACAAGTAGACTTCAGTCTAGTTGCCTCCTTGGATCCCATTTGGAAGTTGCTAGTCACAAATTCTATGGCAAACCTAAGGGTCTGGCACTGAAACATCTTTAGAGTGGGATTTTCCTACAAGCAGCTGCAATCCTGTAATGTCTTCCTCCCTAAAATATTTTTAGGAAGGATATGAGAAAGACAATATGAATGAAGTTAATTGAATCTCACAGAGAATAACATGGGGAAACAATTGTGACCTCCTAAGTCTTGAGTGATTGCTCAAATTAGTCATCAATTCTTTAGAAAGCAAATGCAAAAATATTTTAGGTTTTGCAATGTCTGCTATTTTGGCTTCCTGGCAGAACTGTCAAATAGCTCTCAAATAGGGTTATTGCATTGGGGAAAGGATATGTGTAAGAGAAAGAGTAAGAGAAGCATGGGGACTGAAGCTTGGTATGTAGTTTACAGGAATATGCAGATAACAACTTGACTAATACAGAATCCCTGCCAAAAAAAGAGGCGGATAAATCTATTTTTATATAATAAAAGCATTTTGTGACAGTGAACTGACTCCATGAAAGATAAAAAATAATCAACAGCTAATAGTGTGGGCTTTATGTTGTTAAGAAGAGCAATACAGGGATATTTTTTTTGTCGTGTCAAGAGTGACTCCTGGTGTGAGAGAATTGGCCGTCTGAAGGAACGTTGCCCAGGGGACGCCTGGATGATTGTGATGTTTTTATCATCCTTGTGGGAGGCTTCTCTCATGTCGCCACATGAGGAGCTGGAGCTGATACAGGGAGCTCATCCACCTCTCCCCGGATTCGAACCTGCGACCTGTCGGTCTTCAGTCCTGCCGGCACAGGGGTTTAACCCACTGTGCCACCGGGGGCTCCTAATACAGGGATGGAGGAGGGGGAAAGGGGTAGAAGGAAGAAGGGGAGGTATTGAAGAAAGAAGGGAGGGAAGGAGAAAAGAGGAGAAGAAAATGGAGAAGAGGGGAGGAAAGGAGGAAGAAGAAAAGCAAGGGGAAAGAATGGAAAGAAACGAGGAGGAAATTTCTCTCTCGACGAGATGAAGCCAATGCCCCCCCCCTCCTTCCACTGCTAGGCCAGCCATCCTCTTTCTCCCTCTTTCCTTGAGTAAAAGGTGAGCAAAATGTAATGGCAGAGCTTTTTCTCAAAGGGGCATTTTGACTCCTCCCACTAATTGCATAACCATTTCATTTTAAATCAGAGAACAGGGAGAATTCATCATATTACAGAATTGGCCATTTTGCCCATCTCTATGTGGATAATTTACAAAAAAAAAAGTCATTTGCCAACCCACTTAGAAAGTGTTGGAAAGGATAACCCTTTAAGATACTTAAAAATGCCATATCTCTTACCCTACATTTGAAGCCTATGACATGTGATGAACATAGTATGTTGCCATATCTTAAGTGGATGGCTCAGTAGAATTTAATGAACGTGTGAAGTGGTAAATCAATTCTGTCAAGATAACCCCATGATAGGGTTGCCGTAAGTTAGAAATTACTTGAAAGCAAACAGCAACAACCCACAGTTCATAGAGAGCAAATGCCAAATGATTAAAACAAAAACCAGTTTAGAACATTTCAAACTACCATTGTCCAGTCACGTCACTGTTTTAGACCTCCTGAGAAAGTGTAAGGTCTAAATCCAATTGTTAGCTCCAACTACAGTAGAACAAATACTGTATATCAAGTAATCACTTGTGAAAATCCCTTTGATTCAACAGGTCCACTCTAGTTGGGTCTAGCAATGAGATATGGTCCTATATGCTTTACTTTGCTGGTATTCAACATCAGTGTTGGCACTTTTTGTAGCAAATTCCTTACCGAGACAATTATGGCCATCTCGAGCCAACATGAAGCCATCGTAACACACACAGCGGTAATTGCCCAGAATGTTGAAACATTCATGCACACAGCCTCCATTGAAGTCATTATCACATTCATCAATGTCTGGGGAATAAAGCAAAAGACAATATGATGGATGTCTGCTTATTTGCTGCATACAGGTCATGACAAGACTACCTTACATATATGCTGATAACAACTACAATCCTACGTTTTCTTTAGAAGGCAAAGGTGACTCAGATTTCATAGAGTAGAAACAATATCTCATAATAACAAAATATGTTTAACTCCTTCTGCATCAGTCCCTTATCTTTTACTTTTTTTCATAAGTGCAGATGAGCAGGTCTTGCACCAGATCCTGTAACTTGCATGAGTTAATCAGAGAAGAGATAATCACTACTTTCGTATTATAAGAAACTTTATTTTTATCCCGCCCCATCTCCCCATAGGGGACTTGGAGTGGCTAACATCATAAAAGGCAAGTATTCAATGCCAACAAATAAATACATGCACACATAACTTAATAAAACGTAAAAAAACACAACAGTAATTAAATCATTTAAAAATCATAATTAAATAATACAACACAGCACCACACTAAACAGTACAAATGATGTTAAAAGCCATATTCCTATTCTATTCCATATTTCTTAAAACCATTAATAATCTAACAAAACATAGTATCAGGAAGTTCAAAACTCTTAATGGTTCAAGATAGTTGAAAAGACTTTCAGTGGCACCTGTTGTATCACAGGCCTCCTTCCACACAGCTGTATAAAATCCCACATTATCTGCTTAGAACTGGGTTATATGGCATTGTAGGCTCAGATAGCCCAGTTCAAAACAGATGTTGAAGGATTTTCTGCCTTGATATTCTGAGTTATATGGCTGTGTGGAAGGGCCCACAGGATATTTTCCCACAGAGTGGGTGTCATACTGCCACCTTATTAGCCTCCCTCAAGCCATCAAAAGTTCTAGTGAAACTTTTTGAACCATCGTCATATCAGATTACCACTGAAGTCCTGTACAAAAATACTCACATCCAAAGATCCTGACTTGTTTTTAATCATACTCAGAACTAGAATAAAGTGATTAGAGGAAAGCCAGGCCACAGACAAGCCGACAGACAACATGGTCTCCCACTCTGTTGTTTTGGGGACACCTGATGCCACTTTCCATTTCCACATTACACTAAAGCTGGAAGAAGGAAAGAGCTGCATGCTAACCACTGCTGCACTGCCAAAATTTGTTAGTCACTGAGCATGGCAACCAATAGCTTCAGGAAGGCAAACAGGAATCTCACCTACTGGAAGGTATTTACCCCTGGACATGAAGGATGGTCTAGATTTTAGTTAGGCTAATGCTCACTTTAGTTAGGTTGTTTGGCATAAAGTATCTTTAATAAATTAGTCCTAGCATACTATTTAGCAAAACAACTAAAACTGAATTATTTATTTTTAGGAGAGAGTGTACACAGTTCCATAGTTTCTCCACATTCCACATCTTTCAAAATAACAACCTCATCATAAGAAGCTATCCCAATCTTGCTAATCTTCAAAAGCAGTGGCAAAATTGGTTGTTTGGGGAGTAACAAATGCATTGGTGTTTTACTTATGTTCATGATAAATAGATTAATTTATATGTTGAACTTTACAAATTGCAACCAAGTTTTACTAATCAGCTCTGCCTCTGAGCAATGAATTTCTGTGGGAGAGCTATACAAGTCTCACTAAAAAGGATACTGATCAGAATCACTTATGAATTCTTTCTCTTAACTCACTTTAAGAAATTACATCCAAAAGGAACAGTGAGAAAATGTCAGCACAGCAACAATAACAACACCAGACTGCTATAGATGGCTTAACATGCACTCTTGTTTTTAAAACTTTAAATTATGTTTATAAGAATTGTATTCTGTGATGTGTACAAATAATGCAGACTCACAACCTCTGAGGATGCCTGCCATAGATGTGGGCAAAACGTGAGGAGAGAATGCTTCTGGAACATGGCCATACAGCCAGGAAAACAGGAAAAACAGGAACCCAGATACCCCATGTTTCCATCTTTGCTATTGTTTACTTGGATTCGACTAATAAATGCATCCAGTGTACATAAAGCTACAATGCACATACCTTCACACATTTTCCCCTCTCCACTATAGCCTGCCTTACATGTACACTTATATGACTTTGGTGTATTTTGACAGATTGCATCTGGATGGCAGTCATCAATCCCTTGACCACACTCATCAACATCTGTGAAAAGAAAAATAAAATATACAAGAGTGAAAATATGTACTAACAGGGGCCCACAAGACATCAGTCTACCAATCCAGTACTTGATTTTCTAATCATAAGATGCTTATGTGTGTGTAAATGCCTTCAAATCACCTGTTGGCATAAGGTGACCTCATGAGGCACTAATTTCAAGAGAGCCGATATGGCCTAGTGGTTTGAAGGTTGCACCAGGCTTCAATTCCCCACCCGGCTTCAACCGTCAGCCCTATAAAACTCCATAATAGATTCACTATACCTGAAAGTGGGTCAACAGAGTTGTTAACACACTCCTGACGTCATCCACCACTAGAAAAGTTTTTTTTAGCACATTGACACTAAAAATATGTTTCAAAAAGGAATTCTGATCTCCAACTACCTCATATTCTTGACATTTATATTGAACTGTCTATCATGAACCCAAAATTGTATTTTCTGGTCAGTCAGAATCAATGAAAATGTATCACAGTACATTTGAAGTTGGGGTTTGTGCTCTAATGTACCTCATTACTTGAGCAACACAATTTTTCTTTCTACTCACCTGATTTGTAAAATGAGATGTATAAAGTTATGCACTCAAACTGTAGATTTAGAGATACACATATTGTATGAATGCTGGACTGGGACTCTATGAAGTAACATAGTATGAACATGAACCACCTTTTTCCCACTGCCCTCTGCTGATTGAACTGGAGGGAGATGGGTTGTGATTGATAGTTACCCAAAATCTCTGAGTATTCCATGTAGCCTGGAAGCATGTTAATATACTGAATTAAGATTTCTGGTTACCATAACAAAGATTTATTTATTCGTTACATATTTATAATACTTTTCATTTAATGAGCTCAAGTAGCTACACTTGATTTCCCTTATCTTCACTTTATTTTCACAATAATCCTGCAAAGTAGATAGATTTAAAGATGGGCTCAAAGCCAACCTTAAAAACTGTGGCATAGACACTGAGAACTGGGAAGCCCTGGCCCTTGAGCGCTCTAGCTGGAGGTCAGCTGTGACCAGCAGCGCTGTAGAATTTGAAGAGGCATGAATGGAAGACAAAAGAGAGAAATGTGCCAAGAGAAAGGCACGTCAAGCCAACCCTGACTGGGACCGCCTTGATGCCCTCACTGCAGGAGAACCTGCGGGTCAAGAATAGGGCTCCACAGTCACCTATGTACCCACCACCAGGACACCACACTTGGAGGACAATCTTACTTGGACAATGAGGGATCGCCTAAGTAAGTAAGTAAACATTACATTACGCTGACTCTTTAAAAACAGCTATTTGCAGTTATACAGAAAATGCTGCATTACAGATATCTGGCAGGGTGCATAAACTGACTGTCTATATTTAGGGAGTCAGTATACTGTATGGAGTATTTTCCAGATAACTGCAACAGGCTCAATGTCTACAATAACTTGGATACACTTCCATACAGCAACAGGAATGGTGATCCCCCTACTCAGAAAAGTTCAATTAAGAAGAAAAAATGTTCAAGTCATTTGGATTTCAGTTTCTCAAGAAGTAAGATTTTACGACCATGACATCAGTGTCATAAAGTCTGAGCTTCTGACATAAAACAAATCACTAACAAAAAGGTTCTATGGAAATAAACATTTAGTTGGGTCAAGAAAGTCAAAATCTCAACCACAGGGGCATTAAACTTTTTCTTTTCATTAAACAGACTGTTATTCAATACTGCATGGGTGTGCTTTACACACTTCCAAGTTTAGCTTTCCACACTGAAAAGCAAAAGTCACATTTGGCATGAATCCTGAAACACAGTCAGCACACACCTTTCCACAAAAAAGAAAAAAATACAAGGCATGTTCACAGCTGAAAGATCTAGCAAAGATTTCAGGGCATAATGCTTAGGAAACTTGAGGGCCTTCCAGACAGGCCCTATATCCCAAGATCTGATCCCAGGTTTCCTACATTAAACTGCTACAATCCCCACTGCTAGATAATCTGGGATAAAGAGAAAACTTGGGATCAGATCCTGGGATATAAGGCCTGTCTGGAAGGGCCCTTAGAGTGCAATAGCAAAGTGGGTGTGAGCAAGACACTGCCCTCCAGAAGTCGTTGGATCACAGCTCCCATCATTCCTTGACCCTTAACCAGAAGCAATAGTGAGATAGGATCAGCGATGCAGTCCAACAACACCTAAAGGGCCACACATCATCTACTCCTACAGAAAAAGGCTGGAATACACAGCATGAACCTGCAGCAGAAGAAATATGTATAGAATTTGAGTAATTTATAGTAATTAACAGGTCAAAAATAAACTTGATCAGAGGAGACAGCGACAAAAATTAGCAACAAATAAGAATATAGTCAGCCTCTAGCTATCCATCTATCAGATACCTATAAACAGCACTATACTTTATCTAAACCAGTGACCAGGAACCACTTGACCACTGTGGGCCACTGTCCAACATTAGTACCAAAAGGGTTACGAATCAGTTTTGGCTCAACTTTAGATTTGGTTTGGTTGTTTTGGGTGCTGATTGAGAAAATTGCATCAGATAGACCACATCAGCTCTAGTTTCTGATCCAGAACAAATGCCATCCAGTACTGGCCATCTGCTTATCCACAAAAAAACATATTTAATAATCTAGAGCTGATGTGGTCTATCCAATGCAATTTTCTCAATCAGCACCCCAAATAACCCCAGGAACAGGCTAAAAAACAAAGACACCAAGGAGCCCCCACTTCAAGGCACAACATGGACCAGCTCCAATGGGGGGAGGGGAGGGAGGAGGAGGAGGAGTGTAGTCAGAAGGCTTGTTGTCACGCCTTTAGTGGGTAGTCAGCCTCTCCCCTCCCGACATCCCTGTTGCCTCAGAACTATAAGAGAGTTTCACAAGACCAGTTGTTCTCATTGCAATGGTGTAGTAATGGTGAGGCTACAGACCATATTTAGTTCTTGAGGACTACTGGTGGTTCACGGACCACAAGTTGGGAACTACTAATCTAAACAGTGTTCACTATACATACTGGCTAGCACCCCAATTCTCAAAAGATTATCTTATCTCAAATGCTCAGAATCTACTTGGATATTTTTTCTTTAAATCCATAAAGCATTTTCCAAGTGTTTGTCACTCTACCATCTTGCCTATAACAAAAAGAAATATTGCTATTACAACATGAGCACAAACATCGCATTTTATTTCAGAGTCCTCTACCAAAGGTACCAAAAAACCTACTAAGATTCAAGGCCACCACAGAAAATTTTATCTATCTATCTATCTATCTATCTATCTATCCGTCCATCCATCTATCTATCTCAACACACTGGTACAGGTATTATTAAAACCTATTTCCATATATGTTTACTTTACAAAAAGGCTTTGGAACTTTTTACAAAGACACACAAAATGTGAAACAGATGTAACTGATATACGTGTGTGTATATAAAATTCAAAATGGAATGAATGGAAATTGACAAGTTATTTGTTGTATTATATGGCAACCCCCCCCCCCCCACATACACACACACACACTTTTCTCAAAAACTGTTTTTCAGGATAAACATAAATCAATGCAAACGATGGCTTCAACCATCAGTGTGATAAAAGAGTAAGAACAGCTAAACTTCATATTCAATCTAGCAAATATATTCTGCTACATAAACGACTTTCTTTTTATGTTTTAGTGTTTTTGGCATAAGCTTTACTACTTCTGTTTACTTTCAACTAATCTTCAAAAATGCTTTCTATCTTACAGTCCAAAATTGCATCCTATATGCCATGTTATAAATCAATTAAAGCCCACCCAGAATGAAGCCACTATTTTTTCCAGTTGAATGTTTCATTTCTTTTATGTTTACTCACTCTTCCTCACCTAAAATATACCACAATAATTCAGTTCTGAAAACTTCCCTCAATTGTAAACTTTAGATGCATTCTCACCACCATAATCTATTCATATGTGTATGGGGGTGGGGAGTGCTTTGATTTCTTGGACTGGGTAGCCTGGGGTTTATTCCACTCTATGATTCTCTGATTCATGAAATAATCCAATTTTAATTAGATTTTTAAACTTTTTGAAGAAAAAAACCTGAGAGTTTCAGATTCATTTTCCATTAGGAACAGAAAATAAGTCACAAACGAAAATAATTTTAAAAGGCAAGCAATCTTACTCACTAATGAAAGCCAAAATAAAAATATGGAGGCCTAAATTGTATTTTCCTGACTGATAAGTCTCTTCCTGTGGTCTCTTCCAACTCTTATGATTCCAAAACATTCCAGCAGATAGTGTTACCCCATTACATCATTTGGATTTACAGAAACTTGAATGTAACATTTATCCCTCAATTTGATTTCATAGGGCTTTTTAGCCAATGAATATTCAGAGGTGGTTTGGCCAGTTCCTTCGTCTGAAATACATCTTACAGCATCTGGTATTTGCTGGTGGCCTGCCTCCCAAGTTCTAACCAGAATAGATCCTGATTGGTTTCCAAAATCAGGTGGGATCTGTTGCTATTTGAATATTAATCCAATGGATGTGTGCTAATGGTAATGATTTATTTATTACTTATTTACTCAGGGGCGGCTCAACCCATTACGCAAAGTAAGCACTTGCAGTATAGTTGATTTTGCCCAGGGGTGCTCTTGAGGCGCTCTTAGGGGAAAATAGACCTTGACATATGCGAGTTGTAGTTACTGGGATGTATAGTTCACCTACAATCAAAGAGTATTCTGAACTCTACCAATGATGGAATTGAACCAAATATGGCACACACAACTCCCACAATGAACAGAAAATATATATCTGTGATTGGTTGGGGGAGTGTGGTGCCAAAATACTGTTTGCTTACCGTTGAAAATTACCTAGGGCCGCCTCTGTTTTTAGTATATTTATATACCACCTTTCTCACCCCAGGAAGTGGGGGAGGGACTCAAGGCGGTTTACAACGTATCAATGGCAAAAAATCAATGCCAACATAGATGTAAAGAGAAAAATCATAGTAACTACATACTCTACAATCCTGACATTATAAAGCCCAAGGACTTTACTCTCCCATTCCTGCCACTGAATTTTGCACTTTCCCTTAGCTCTAAGAATTTAGCACAAACTCAGAGCCCTCTGAACTCAGCACTTTTATTGCTCCCATGGTACTGCTTTCATGATGTTTTATTGTGATATGTTTCTATTTGGTTTTGTTTTGTTTTTATTTTAGTGCATTACGTTTTAACTCTGTGCTCTCTGAGCTTATCCCTTTGTAAGCCGCCCCAAGTCCCTTTGGGGAGATGGAGGCGGGGTATAAAAACAAAGTTATTATTGTTTATTATTATTATTAACATATAACTATAAATTAAAATCAAACCATTAAACATGAAACATAAACATTTAAACATTAAAACAAAGAATTAAAACATCTTAATATAAATATTAAAATCCAAAAATAGTACACCACAACCATTCCAATTGTCGTTGCACATATTTCCTAATTGTTCTTTGCACTGCATTGTTTTACTGGCCAAATCCTTGGTCCCACAACCATATCTGTTTCCTTTCTAAAAGCCAGGAAGAAGGGTGCTGATCTAATCTCACTGGGGAGAGAGTTTCAGAGTCCAGGAGCCACCACTGAGAAGGCCCTGTCTAGAGTGGGTATCTGGAGTTTAGATTCCCAACTCTAGACCTAGAGGTGCTTTGGGCTTCAACTCCTGGGTGTCTTGGCCAATGATCAGGGATTCCGGGTGCTGAAGTCTTACTGGGCTGTCTAACTTTGCTGGGAGCCACCAACCTGGGACTTAGGGCACTTGGGAGACAAAGGATAGTTCTAGATTAGTATCTGCTAGGATGCAGCTCTACACTGTATGTCCACATGACACCCCTATAATTACAACAGTGATGGCTCAATGCTATGGGATCCTGGAAGTTGCGGTTTGGATTCCATACTACTGAGCCCAGATAGTTAAAGGGATGTCAAAATGCATTAATTCTACAGTGTAGACCAGACCTGGGCAAACTTGGACTCTCTCTCCAGGTGATTTGGGCTTCCTAACAGTTTAAGTGGCTGAGGGGGGAAAGAAAGGGGCCTGAGGCTATTAAAAATGGTGGGAGTTGAAGTCCAAAACACCTGAAGAGAGGGCCCAAGTTTGCCCATACCTGGTGTTTGTTGTCTTATACAAACTCTTTCACCTTCTCTGCAGAATGCTGGCCCTTCACAAACTGCATCTCCCAGAATTCCATAGCACCGAGCCAGGGAGCTTCAAGTGGTGTCAAACTGCATGCATTCTGTAGTGTAGATGCCCCCAGAGGCAGCCAAAGCTTTTGGAAGCTCTAAAACTGCATAATATTATGCATGCATTGTTTATTTACTACATTTATATACCACTTTTCTCCCCCTAAGAGAAATCAAAGCGGTTCCCAACATTATAACCTCAATGCTGTACATACATGTAAAAAACAAAGGATAATAGCAAGACAATAACATTTAACTATAAATTAACCTAACTAAATTAAAACATAAACCTAAAAAAAAATTAGGCATAAAGCAGAAATGTAAACATTGATAATGCAATAACGTTTATATTTAGTAAACTAAAGGTAAAAGTTTTCCCCTGACATGAAGTCTAATCATGTCTGACTCTGGGGGTTAGTGCTCAGCTCCATTTCTAAGCCAAAGAGCCAGTGTTGTCCATAGACACCTCCAAGATCATGTGGTCAGCATGACTGCATGGCGCGTCGATACCTTCCTGCTGGAGCGGTACCTATTGATCTACTCACATTTGCACATTTTCAAACTGCTAGGTTGGCAGAAGCTGGGGCTGAGAGCTGGGGCTCACCTTGCTCCCCGGATTCGAACCTGCAACCTTTCAGTCAACAAGTTCATTTATATTTAAACCCATTTAAAACCTATATGTTGTTGTTGTTGTTGTTGTTGTTGTTGATATTCCTCCAAGCACTCCAGGGCGCAGGCCCGTAGCCAGGATTTCGTTTCGGGGGGGGGGGGGCTGAATTTTTTTCAGGGGGGTTTCGGGGGGGCTGAGTTTCGGGGGGGGCTGAGTCTGAGTGAAAGAGGGTCTACCCTAGCAAACCTTTTGTATCATTACCCCAATACCCCCATGCATATGGGATATATTGAGTATGGTGATCAGATCATGATATGAATAAACATAACAGTTTAAATAATGCACCAATAAGGCCTTTTCGCGAACCACCATGAAAATTTCGGGGGGGGCTGAAGCCCCCCCCCCCCCCCCCCCCCCGGCTACATGCCTGCCAGGGCGCATCTCCAGTTAGTACATCCCACTAGAGAAAAGAAATCCACTGAAAATCCAGTTTCTGCAGAATTCTGAGTGCTTGTAGTTTAGGGAAGAGCCTTTAACAGGCTCACTAAACTACAAACCCCAGAACTCTGCGGGGGGCAGAAAAGGGATTTTAAGTGGGGGTTTTTTCCCCCTCTAGTGTGATGAAGTGGCTGCAGGACGAATGGAGTTCCGCACCACTTGAACTGCCATGGGAGTCATGGGAGTTGGAGTTTGGGGAGGCGCCCGCGCTCTTTTTGGCAGGGCAGGCGAGAGAGACCTTGCAGAAAGGAGCGCAACTCCAACCATTCCGTTGCACTGAGCCCTAGCACTTCAAGCCGTCTCCAGCTGTAGTTAGAAGCCCCTCTCCGGTGGGACGGAAAGTGGGAGACTCACCGGCGAAGAGGGGCCGGCCTCGGGGGACCGCCGTGAGGAGGAGGAGCAGCAGCAGGAGCAGGAGCAAAGAGGGGCGCCGGGACCCCATCGGTCAGCTGGCGCGCGCTTCCCCCAAAGAGTTACTCCTGCTGCTGGCGGGGATGCTTTTGACTCGACGGGTGCCGCCCCCTGGGGCCCAGCGCCGCGCGCCCCAGCAAAAGGAGGGGTCTGCGCGCAAAGAGTTACTCCTGCTGCTGGCGGGGATGCTTTTGACTCGACGGGTGCCGCCCCCTGGGGCCCAGCGCCGCGCGCCCCAGCAAAAGGAGGGGTCTGCGCGAGCTTGGCCCGCCCCCTCCCTCCCTCGCTCCCTCCCTCAGCGGCAGCCCCCCCTCCACCCACACACATACCCGCGCGCGCGCCTGCCTTTCCCCGTTCACTTGCGCCTGGAAGGGCTCGCGCCCATGTACAGCAAAACTTCTCTTCGCACCAAAGGTGAAGGAGAGACACTCCCTCCATCCCAGCTGCAATGGAAAGAGTCATCCCTAACCACCAGATATGTCTTGTCGAAGGCTTTCATAGCCTGAATCACTGGGTTGTTGAGATACTACACAAAAATTTAACATGGGAAGAACTCAAGAAGTTTAAAAATGGGTAAATAAAATTGACCCTTTCCCATTAGAAACCTTGGAAAATAAGGACAAGACATTCAGGAGTCATAGCAGAGCACCTGATGAACCAACCTGGACACAGCATATTATTTGAGAACACAGAAGTGCTGGACCACTCTCACAACCACCATGTCAGACTACACAAAGAAGCCATTGAAATCCACAAGCATGTGGACAATTTCAACAGAAAGGAAGAAACCATGAAAATGAACAAAATCTGGCTACTAGTATTTAAAAAAAAAGCTCAAAAATTACAACAGCAAAACAACAGAGGGGAAACAAACAGGCACATAAAATTACTCTCAACAAAAGATTCCCCCAGGCACTTCCAAGCCATTGAATGCTAATCAAGGTGATCAGCTGAAACATTCACAACTAGCCCCAGCAGACAAAAGTCCTTTGTCTCACCCTGGTCATTCCACAGATATATAAACCCATTTTTCCTACTTCCAACAGACCTCACTACCTCTGAGGATGCTTGCCATAGATGCAGGCGAAACGTCAGGAGAAAAATTGCCTCTAGAACATGGCCATATAGCCCGGAAAAACCTACAACAACCCAACAATTCAGGAGTCTAATTAGGGTACTGCAGGAAAATAGAATCAAAAGGATAGGGGATAGATACTACACAAAAATTTAACATGGGAAATTTTCTGGTGGGTGTCCCAGAAAAAAAGGCTCATTCTTAAGTTAAATTTGCATGTCTGTTAGAACAGGTACGTTGTGCTGTCAAAGGCTTTCATGGCCAGAATCACTGAGTTGCTGTGAGTTTTCCAGGCTGTATGGCCATGTTCCAGAAGCATCCTCTCCTGACATTTTGCTCACATCTATGGATCTATGGCAGGCATCCTCAGATGTTGTGAGGTCTGTTGGAAACTAGGCAAGTGAGGTTTATATATCTGTGGAATGTCCCAGGTGGGAGAAAGAACTCAGTGTATATCTAACTGCAAGCAAAACATTTCTGCTGAAACTCTGCTCTCAAGTTTTATAAACGGTCATTCTGGTGTCAACCTTGCAGATGGTGTCACCCGGTGTGGTCCACATCCTCCTTGTGACACCAGCACTGCCTTGCCCAAGGTCCACAGTAAGTTTCAGTGGCTGAGTGGAAGATTCAACCCTTCCTCAAACTGCACTGATTCTCCTGAGAAGGTGTCATATTTGAAATGCTAATTTCAATGTAAAAATGGTCTCAGCTTTGAGGGAGGGAGGCAAGCAGAGGCCATGGAGCAGCCTTAGCTCTGGCCTCTGTGAGGCTGGCTTCAACCACAGATGGGCGTGCCTTTCTTATATAATTGTGACATTCTTCTATATGGAAATTCCTATCATGTGGGAAATTCAATTAATTTCTGCTGTCATTTTCCAATCTAGAGACACAGCTGTGGTACCAAAAGGAGAAAGGGTGGGGAAAAAATGTAGACTAACTGGTTTTTATTTTAGTACAAGTTAAACATCTTTTACCCAGAATTCTGAAATATGAAAGACTCTGAAATCCAAAATTGTCCATATGCATAGCTGAGGTAGTGGTGTCTTTGCTTTCTGATGGTTCAATACACAAACTTTTGTTCATGCATAAAGGTATTCAAAACATTGTATAAAGTTGCCTGAATGCTCTGTGTATAAGATGTATATGAAACACAAATGAATTTCATGTTTAGACTTGAGTGTTATCTCCAAGATACCTATTATTTATGTATATGCTAATGCAAGCATTCCAAAATCTAAAAAATCTGAAATCCAAATCCCCTTCTGTTCCCAAGTTTTTTGAATGAAGGATACTCAACCTGTAGCTATAAAGCCCATTCTTTAAATGCAGTACCAAGAAGTGGAATGAGTTCACTTCAATTTTGTTTGTAGAGACTAATTAAATTGCCAACATAGACATGAAATCACCATAAAGATTTGTACAGGGTAAATGTTCTCTTCTCCTAGCCCCTACCCCCATTGTTTCTACAGGCTGCAAAACTAATTTCCCTCCCATCTTTGCTAGAGATACTCAGGGATCTTTTCTTGTTTCTCTATGATTCAGTCTCAATATAGCTCCAGTATTGTCCCTATGCAGGCCCCCATTCCAAACCTGAATCTCCAAAAAACCTCTGCAATCTGTTTGAATATGTCTTCTACACTTCTTCCCAACCCCAAATTTCTGATCTTCCCCTTAGAAGGCAGCTCTGAATATATTTATACCTCTGATCAGAGAAAGTGCTAAAAATTATTCAGGACTTGTGGTTCCAGGGTTGCTTGGATGTGCTTGTTATCTAGAATCAATTACACTTTAAAAATGTGTTTGGTAGCACAGTGCTTCCACCATATTGCTTATATTTAAGTATCTCCTGCTAAGACGCAGGATAATTGCCATTGACAAGCGCATGATGACAGGATAATATAATATGAGAGGCAACAGGCAAAGTGAATTCTAGTGGTAGAGCTATAAGATAGATCTCAAAGGTAACAGAAGCAAAAGAGGGTGAACAATACTATCCTGGCAATAAATGGAACAGGAGGTACTCAATACAGAGTACGTAACATTTCGGGCTATATTGACCACTGAATTGATTTCATATGCTCCTCATCCTGATTTCAAATATCTTCTTCAAGGCACCAGTTCCGATCTCTGCAAGAGTGATCCATCCATTCTCCTAAATTACACTAGAATAGGGAGTAAGTGGAGAGAGACATGTCTATAGAAGCATTGGTGGTTTTGGTTCCTATGCCCTCAATGGCCTGAGCAATTGCTATCTCCCTCAGTCAGAAAAAAAAATAACTATATTTGGGCTGATGTCCAGAAACAAAGAGACATTTCACTTTGTACTGTGCCAAAAGCAATAAGAAGCTGTCATAGAAGGCATATTAGATTGCTCCATATCATCCAACTGTCTCTATTAGGCAGGGACAGTCCACTTTGTCAGCCCCTTTTTATATGCCCCAGTTTTTCTCTCCTTCACCCACACTGTTCCTTTGTTCTTAGCTTAGCTCAATGGCTGCAAACCGAATGCAAAAGTAATTTGCACTCCGTTAACTCTGCAGGAAGAGAAGATTGGAGAGTCAAAATTTTGCCTTCCCCAGTAGACTCAAGCAAAATCAAACTGGCACATCTTCTCCAAGCTTGTGTTCTTCCTCATTAACAGAGTTTGTTATCTTTACCGCATGCTGATGTTGCTTGGCCATGGTGGGTGTCCCAGTTTTCATCTGTGTAATGTTGGATAGGATGTCACTGTAATTGGCTAATATTAGGAGAAATCTTCATGACTGTTCCATGAAATAAACCATCTGTGTGATGTTTAAAATTATAACTGGGAAATTTGAAGGAATGCAGTACCCACTGCACCTCAAAACTGGAAAGAATATATATATGCAAGTTGTCATGCCAAATTTCAGAGAAAAACTCCAAGTAAGGAGATTGCTAAAGGTAATGAAAAAAAATGGGAGAAAGCCAGTCCTAATTCAACAAGATATTTCAGTTGACCACTTTCTATTGCCATCCCAGAGGCACTGCTCAGTTTCAAGTTAAAAAAATTACTAGATTCCAAGTGACTTTCTAGAAATAAAAGGAAGGTTTATCATCAAGACCTCATAGCTGGTGCTTCAAAATATGAAAGAATTATTTTTGCCCAAGTGGCAGTAGTAAGTTTCAAGTCAAACTGCCAGTTGACAGGGTTCTTAGAAGCAAAAAAGAGTGCTTTCCATAGCTAGAATTTAAAAGGTGGAGGCTTTCTGAGGCAATACTGCTGAACTTATTAAGGCAGGAAAACAAGAGAGGGCTGAGGAAAGGTATTGCTGCTGAAATGTTTGAGACAGGCCCCTACGTTGGCAGTCTTTAGAAAGAACTTGAAAACCTGGCTGTTCCGATGTGCCTTTCCAGAATAGGAATCCTCCAATAACAAGTCCCAGAAGCACTTTACTAGAAATTAAGATTGCTGGCACGCTGCACTTACCCCATAATCCTTATGTATCACCTGTCACATCAGCACTTTTAATCTGTACCCATTACTCAGGCCCGGCCCAGTTTTATTGTATCCTGTTGTATTGTTTATTGCTTGTTGTTTAATATTACTTTAACTGTTTTTAATTTGCTTTAGATTGTGTATAGTTATGTTGTGTTTTGAGGCCTTGGCCTTTGTAAGCCGCATCGAGTCCTTCGGGAGATGCTTGCGGGGTACAAATAAAGATAATAATAATAATAATAATAATAATAATAATAATAATAATAACCCTCCTAAGCTGGTGAGGGCAGCAAAAAGCACCAAAAAGAGCAGAAGAAAACAGGAAGGAGCTCTCCACGGCATTGCTGCTAAGGCTCCTGATGCCAAAAAAAGAGGGGGGAAAAACCCAAAGGGGTCTCTCCATAGTAGTGGCTGGTAGTGCTATCAGCTCAATAATGAAGAACCTCTGGCTCCTTTCTCAATAACGAGAAAATCTTAAACCCCACAAACACAGAGAAAGCTAATCACTGTGTATTCTTCATTCTGTCATCAAGTACCTGGAGCAGATTATATGTTGCAGAGATACAGAAACCATCATTCTATTAAATGCTAGCATAGGGAATGTAACATTGTGTAGGAAAGTTTTTTTTAAAAGATCATTACAGTTTTATCTGCTCTATGTGCAGTTGAATACTGCATTTTTAGCGTAACTTTGAAATGATATTTGTAACATTTTTGTAAGCAACTATTACTTTACTTTTTTGTGATATGTCAGGAAAATAATTCTGTTGTATTAACATTAACAGAACTACAAAACCAAGACCACCACAAGTGAGATTATCCACCAGACAGAATGAGAAAGTGCAGGCTGCATCATCTGATTATCACCCAGTTTCTATAAGAATCTACTCAAATAAGAAGTGTGTTTTAGCAGTAATAAAACAGATCAAGGCAATAATGACATGAACACAAGGAAGGTAAAAATAGTAAAATTTAATACATGTGCTATATTTTTAAGTTAATAGAATAAAAATTACCACAAGATGTAGGAAATAAAGAATAATGCTACTTGGTGAGGAGAAGGACAATTGAAAACCTTTTCACTGCTCCTTCTGTTAGAACCTAATGTCTAAAATAGCTTCTATACAGTGAATGCCTCTTAACACAGAGGTTGAAAGCCCTGTATGGTGTATCTTAGTGTTTTCCCAACTAAGTCTGAATCATCTAGATTTTTAGTTGAGAATTCTAACAGGAACAGTTGACCTAGGCATTCACTAGATTGCTCCAGTTGGAATTTACTATTCAAAAAGCCCACAAACTCTGAACATTTTGAGGATGAGTTAATATTTGTACACAATGTTCACAGGCATCTAGTCCTTGACAAAATATGAAAATTAGCACATTAAGTCTCAGCTTTTCCAAAGAAATTCTAATATGTGCTCTGCCTAGGAAGTGGGGTTACCAAGAGGAGGGCAGGAAAATCTGATGCGGCATTAAGTTGAATAGCAGCATAAGTAAGTCACAGTAAAACTGACTTTTCTCATACTCAACTCTAAATATTTGCAGCAGCTTGAGTGCTTATCATGCTGTTATAAAATTGTGCCAAGTATTGTAAGATCTTTCATAGTTTTGTGAAACTGTTATGCCCATTCCTTTGTATGTGTATACAGTTCCAACAATTCTTGGTTCAGATTCTTAGCTATCACATAGTGCATAACATAGTTTAGAATGATAATCATAAGTCTGGGGGACTGTAACATAAATACATTGAGTTAAAGGCAGATCCACATTGAGACATATTGTGGGCTTTTTTATTTCAGGGGACTGTACTATAATTAGATCCTGACCTGAAAATACAATAGACATGTAACAGAGCCTGTTAAATATATAGGATTCTTCCCCTCCCATTCATTTTTAAGACAAAGACAATACAGCATGATTAAAAGTTAAATAAATAAATGCTAGTTTAAAAACACATGTATATTTTTCTCTGTGCAATTTCGTACCCATATGAAAAAATATTACTGATCTCTGAAGATCTGCATGGTTCACTCTTCCAAAAACCTGAAAAAAATAATACTGACAACAAAAATAAAAGAAAAAAGATTTGCTAACAAATTCAGTGCTTTGAGGCTATTAAAAACAATATTTAAACTTTTAGTTTTCTTGCAGTGCAGCAGTGACCCAAAATGGAAACGCCACTGATGACAATGAAACTATATAATAAATATTAGTTTCTAAATTGCTTAATGATCTTTAGTATAAATGGAATGTGTTAATGACACTTTGCAAGATACAGTTGGAAGGCAGGTTCGGAGAATGTCGAGAGCTCACTGCACCATTTTCTATGGTAAAGAAAATTTGCAGCTTTAAAATAAGCTGCACAATACTCATTATCTAACTCTTTCACATGAAAGTGTGTAGAAGCAAATCAGCAAATAAATTCTAAAAGTAATTTATAATTAACATTTCTTTTCTTTTTATACATTGGATGTACAGCTTCAATTCATATTTTTGCACTCTATTTGAAGCTATTTTACCCCCAGACGTTGTGTCGAATGACGTGAATGTTTGGATGCAATACATTATAAGAATTTTTGCATACTAATAATAGTATGTTTCTTGTTGCTTTTTTTAACACAGTGCTTGTAAATCAGATGCCAATTCCTTTAACAAGGGATGCCTCCAGTGTGATGTTGAATTCCTGCAAAGTCTGAAGCACACGGATCAAAGAATTCACTAGAGTATGATCCTTTATTAGTGCTGTGTCCTCATACATCTGAGCCGTGATGGGGCAATCTGCAAGCAAGGCAATCCAATGATGCAAAAGGTGGTCTCTGCAAGAGAAATTTTAGAATTCCAAAACAATATATTAAATAGATTTCCTCCTTTGTAGATAAACACACAAAGTTTTAGCATTCTTAAAACCTAGTGGCCTCTTGCATATTAGCTACAGGCCCTGGTCTCAGAGACTTAGAGATAAGCAGCAAGCAGATGCTCACATACACCCCATTCACACGTGTCCTTTCCATATTCTCCCTCATCTGCTTCTCTCTGGCCTTTGCCCCATGATGCCGATTTGAACAAGGGCCTTCTGATTCCCAGATGATCAGTACCCAAGCAAGCCTTCTGATTAGGTCACTGTTTCTAAGAATGCTCCTCTAGATGGGGGCTTTTGCCAGCAGCCTTCTCCTTTAGGAATCAGAAAAGGTTCCAGAGAACAAAACCCCTTTCATAATAATTATACAACTTGGAAAGAAACAAAAGGACCAAAACTGACTGACCTGCAGCCCCCCAAAACATTCCTTGAAACTGTGACCCTATCTAGAGCACTTTCCTGTCACTGTAATTGGTCATGTTATCACGAATTGCATAAAATACCTGGCTCCAAGGCACACCAACATCTGAAACTTGCCATCTTTCCCAATGTTTCTTGAAGTGTTATTGATGGCTGTGACAAAGCGGCAAAAAATCCTGGCTCTTTTCTGCCAGTTTTCTTCTGGGACCAGTTCACTCTGATCTAGAGCTTCATAATAGCCTTGTGCTTTTTCTGAAGAAAGACAAGTGACATTAGACATAATGATCAAGTCAGTATACATTTTACAATGTCCTCATATAAGGGTATCTGGTTAGTTATGTTGGCATTATAAAGTTAATTTAAAACACTTTGCTTTGGTTCAAATAATCTTAGATTCATAGAGTTGGAAGAAATCACAAGAACCATATGGTCCAAAGTCTTTACATTCATATTTAATTGATGAAATAGTTAACAAAAAAATGTAAAATGTTGATAAATTACTCATGAAGTGCTACCATTTCTGAAAGTGGTATTATAAAAACTGAAATCCAACATTGCGCTTTTAAAAAGAGAAGGCATTTACTCATCAAATAGTTTGAATATACATATGGATAGAACTGCATTACTCTTTGGTTATTTTTATTATCATTATTGTTAATATCCTGCTTTCTCTCTCTTAAAAGAGGTGCAAGGCAGCTTAAAGTTCTCTATACTCAAAGTTATCTATACTCACCTAGAAAGTCCCAAATAAAGACATTTTTGAAGAGCCGAGGAGATTTAAATCCATGTTGAAACACCTGTTCAAGAGCTGAAACAAGGCCACCTTCTCCACAAAGCAAAAGTGTCAGGCTGCCTCTCTGCCATTGGAATATAGAACACATTTTAAAGAAATTATTATGGCTAAAGTCTGTTCATTTTTCATAAAAACAGACAAAACTACATACAGTAAAAATGATATAAACTTTGCAGTATCTTGCACTGACACAGTTCATCAATTGCATACATCAGAAAGAAGCTCAAGAAGAAGACTCAATAGCAATGTGGCAATAGGTGTGCATCCTGCTCTTTTTTATTTTCATACTGGACTAGTTTCATCTTCTTTGCCTTTAAAGAATTCCAGAAACTCAAACTGCAACAACCAGACTTCAATCTGGTATTGAATTATTCCAGTGTATAACGAATTACTATTTTAACTTCACTAGGTATATGTGTTATGCACGCACTTCTGACATGCAGGAAAAGCACAATCAAAGCACCTCCTGAGCGGTGGGAGAGAAATAGGGTTTTGAAAGCAATGAGGGTGGGGGGAGAGAGAGATGAGAGTTTGGGCTGCAAGGAAAAGAGCCTGGGCAGTTAGGGAGGCAGGAGAGAAAATGCCTGTGCCCTGCAAGGATGTTGCTGCTGCTGCTGCTGCTGTTGTTTTGACAGCTCCAAACTATAATTTTCCTGCATTTCTCAGGAGGAGAAAAGAGGAGGAGGTGGAAAGCAGCATGCTGCTGCGGCACTCCTCACTGTCACTTGTGGAGCCCCAGCGGCTCGGCAGAGTACCTGCCCAGGACTTAAAATCTGCTGTTGAGTCTCTTCTGTATCTAATACAATCTCTGCAAATGAACATAAAGTGTTTGAAGTGGTGGTACCACAGCTCCAGAATACTTAAAGCAGAAATTTATTGTTGTTGTGTATCTTCAAGTTGTTTCTGACTTACAGTGACTCTAACGCAACTCTATTATGGGTATTTCTTGCCAGAAATTTTTCAGGGGTTTGCTGTTTCTCTGAGGTTGCGGAACTTGTCCAAACTCACCCAGTGGGTTTCCATGGCCAATCAGGGATTGAAACCCTGGTCTTACAGTGTCCTAGTCGAACAATGAAATCAGTACACCGCACTGACTCTCTAGAAATTGATTAGCCTTCTCTTTATTGCTTTTAAGGCAGGAACTGGAAGCATGTTTATTATAGAATGTGTTCATGTATGGTCTTAGTGATGGCAATTTTGAATGTTTTTTATAGTGAACTAGCTGTGCCCTGCCACGCGTTGCTGTGGCCTATAGTAAAACTTATCAAAGTTGAGGTAGATATCTGGACTATTATGAAAGAGAGGTACCTACCTATTCCTTCCCTCCTTTTCCTCCCCCTTTCTCTCCTTTCTTCCTTCTCTACCTCTTTCTTTCTTTCCTTCTTTCACTACTTGGTTTCATCCTTCTCTCTTTCCTTCATTCCCTCCCCCTTTCTTCCTTTGCCTTTCTTCCCTCCCTGTTTGCTTCCTTCTTTCACTTTTTATTTCCTTTTATTTCACCACCATCATAACAATAATGCAATGCATTGCCTCTGGGACCTGACACCTCTCCCATTCCCCCAAGGGTCTAATAGGAATAATAGCATAATAATAATAGAAATAACAACCTTTACCCGCCACGTGTTGCTGTGGTCAACCTTCCCTCTTTCTCTCCTTCTTTCCCTCCTTCCTTCCTTCCCTCCCATCTTTCCTTCTCCTCTTCCTTCTCTATCTCTTTCCTTCCTTCCCCCTTTTTCTTTCTCTTCTGGTCTCTTTTCTTCCTTCTCTCTTTCCTTCTTTCCTTCCCTCCCTCTTTCTCTACATCTTCCCACTTCCTTCACTCCCTCTTTCCTTCCTTCATTCCCTTTTTTCTTTTCTTCTCTCCTTCCTTCCTTCCCTCTTTTTCTTTCCCTCCCTCTGTCTCTCATTTCTTCCTTCTCTACCTCTTTCCTTCCTTCCCCCTTTTTCTTTCTCTTCTGCTGTCTCTCTTTTCTTTCCTTCCATCTTTCCTTTTCTTTCCTTTTCTTCTTCCTTCTTTCTCTAACTTTCCTTCCCCCTTTTTCTTTACCTCCCTTTCTCTTTCTTCCTTCTTTCCTTCCTTCCTGTCTTTCCTGGATTTTGACAGGGCGGGAAGGGGGGTGGGGTTTGGAGGTGGCGTGAAGTAAAAGGAGGTAAGATTGGGGCAGGGGAGTGATGGAGCGTGGGGTTGTGTATGTGTGTGCGGCGGGGGGAGTGATGGAGCGTGGGGTTGCGTGTGTGTGTGCGGCGGCGGAGGGAGAGTGGGGTTGCGTGTGTGTGTGCGCGGTGGGGGGAGTGATGGAGCGGGTTGCGTGTTTGTGTGCGGCAGCGGGGGGAGTGATGGGTTGCGTGTGTGTGTGCGGCGGCGGGGGGAGTGATGGAGCGTGGGGTTGCGTGGTGTGTGTGCGGCGGGGAGGGGGGGTGGGGTTGCGTGTGTGTGCGGCGGCAGGGGGAGTGATGGAGTGTGGGGTTGCGTGTGTGTGTGCGGTGGCGGGTGGGGTTGAGTGTGTGTGTGCGGCGGCGGGGGGAGTGATGGAGGTGGGGTTGCATGTGTGTGTGCGGTGGCGGGGGGAGTGATGGAGCATGGGGTTGCGTGTGTGTGTGCAGCAGCGGGGGAGTGATGGAGCGTGGGGTTGCGTGTGTGTGTGTGCGGCGGCGGGGGGAGTGATGGAGCGTGGGGTTGTGTGTGTGCGTGCGGCAGGGTGTGTGTGTGTGTGCGGGAAGCGGCGCAGCGGGGCTTGGCGTGGGCATGGCTTCCGCAGAGGGAACGTTGGCCGGAAGGCTGTGTGCGCGCGCCAGGGAACTTGCGGCTGGGCGCCAATGCGCATGCTCAGTTGTTTTGCCGTTTTGTGAGTGTGTTGTTGTGTTGTTTTTCATTTTGAGTAGATATGTTTGTACCTTGTGGGTTGTGTTATGGGCATGGGAATTTTGGTTAAGTTTCATTGGGGCTTTTTTGAGTTTTGTTGTTTTTGAGTTTTGTTGTTTTGCCATTTTGTGAGTGTGTTGTTGTGTTGTTTTTCATTTTGAGTAGATATGTTTGTACCTCGTGGGTTATGTTATGGCCATGGGAATTTTGGTTAAGTTTCGTTGGGGGGGTTTTGAGTTTTGTTGTTTTGCCGTTTTGTGAGTGTGTTGTTGTGTTGTTTTTCATTTTGAGTAGATATGTTTGTACCTTGTGGGTTGTGTTATGGGCATGGCAATTTTGGTGCAGTTTCGTTGGGGGGTTGTGGAGTTTTGCTGTCCCGTTGAACTCTCCTAACAGATTTATATATATAGATGGTTTTGAGGATATACTTCTCTTGATTGTTTTCAGTGACAATATTTTCTAGTAGGCTTCCCAAATGCTCTATGAGCAAGAGCAAATTTACTAATATCACAAATCATCACATCAACTATTACCACTTGGGGGCAGTGGAGAGAGAAAAAGAAGCTCCAAATTATCTGAGAGAACACCTGATGTCGATTCATGCAACTAGTATATTATTTTAACAAACTAAATTTGAAGACAAGGGTTAGAAAAATTTGAATGCACTGCAAAAGTTTCCACCATGCTCACATGCAAATTCCCTGAACTTATTCCTTTCTCTTGGGTATAATGTTGCCTGTGAATTTTATCACATTCAGTGTCAAATGTGAAATAAACCCACTTATGAGTTTCTGATTGATTAAAATTGGCACAAAAATAACATCAGCAGCAAGATTTTTCATTTGGCCAATTGCAATTAATCTCCAATCATCAAGTCAATTTGTCCTATCTGTGTCACCTATTGTTCTGAGCCACCAGTGTCACCAATTGTATCTATGGGTTTTCATAAGGTAGCCTGAATATAAGGAAAGTATTATCAAGCTCTATTAGTATTATTTAAATTATCAACAAAAACATATCATCAAGATTGGGAACCACACAACACTCCATTATCAATATCCATTATCACTAAGAGTGGCAATTCTCACCTCTTTCTCTGGCTTGTGGAAGTGTTTGACAATTCCATTTACTGCTTCACCAATCGATTCTTGTATCTGACCTGTGTTTAACTCTATGCAAAAAGAAAAACAATTAATTTTAAACAATATTATCCATTATTACACAAATAAATTAAGTTACACTTTTAAATCAAGACTGGAAAAAAGAGAGGTTGATACTGTGAATGACACCATGTTACAAAATGTAACAATTTTTTCTGATCCTGGTTTGAAAGTGTTATTTCCTGTTTAATTGTGCAGTACTTACTTTGAAAGTAGTAGTTATACTCCAGAAACCTCATTTTTATGGCTGCCACAGACTATATTGAATTGGCTGAGACTCTATGAGATATTCATTGAAAAACTATAGCAAAATGTGCTGCAGGATGTCACACAAAAACAATTTTTTTGGAGTTTTTATGATAGAATCACTTAGGAAATGACATTTATAAGCTGGGGACAAAAATATGTTTCATAATGTAATCATTCTAGGAAAGCTAAAGGCAGAATCTAGGATCATTGCATTAATCCCTTGTGTCAGCGAATCAAGGCTAGAGTCCTAAATTCTAAACTTGTATTAGTTGCTCCTTTCTCTCTCTCCTATGGTTTTGTTATACAGTCATACAAGGTTAAAGCTATTCAGATGCAGATTTTAAACATTAGAAATGGTCAGACCTTCCATTTCTTTTGCTGTGGTTTTGTTTAAATATAGCCACGGGTAAAGATGGACTGCTTCTTCAGCTTTTCTAGAATGATCATTCATGGTAATAATCAACCTCTCTTTCTCAGGAAGCCAGGTCCCTTAAGGGTGGGAGTAGTGACTCAAGTCTTGACCGATGTTTGTAAATCAGACTGTCCAAAGACTGTCTGGCTTGACTTAAATTTATCAATTTCATAATGCCTTTTGAACATTGATGGCTCTTTCCAGCCAGCTATTTTGCATACGTATCCAAAGAAGATGTTATCCTGTAGCTGTTGAAGTCACCTTTGATCTAGTCAAATGTGCCCACATATAAAAAGAAACAAATAATGTTCCTACACACCTAAATGCTTTTATTCTGTCAATATAGATTTTCACAGACCTTCTGACAGCTAATAGATGCCATCTTTTTCTAATGCATGTATCAAGTTTGGACAAAATGTGAGTAACTTTTCTGAAATCTGATACAGATTTTGAGTTGCAGAACAAATGACACCCTCTGTTCTAAATTGCCTGGCCTTTTTTTACTTCTTTTATTTGATACATCCCAACAATCAACAACATTTTGCCATACAGGACTTATTTCAATACACATTATTCCAAAAATAAATATTTCTTAAATGACATTCTATACATTTCTTAGTTATGTATCACCCAACAAACCCCCCTCCCCCCATTCCCCCCACCCCCCTGGAACAGCAATTCTAAATCATGTCATTGCATCAATTTAACCGTGTGGGAAGCCTGGTTCATAATGCTGTATCTGTCGTCTCCGTCTATTTTGTCAATTAACACAGACCATTTCCTAAACCAGTCTTGTTCTATTTGTCTATTTATATACTTGTTTTTCCTTTGATTGATAAAATCATTAATTATATATTCTGATAGGTCCACCAGGTTTCCAAATCCCATTTTGTATCATCTCTCCATCCCCGGGCTATCATGGCCTGTATTGCGGCTGTCATATATTTTAGGATTTCTGTCCAATTATTGTTATCTTCCTTTACCTTTATGGTGAGGGACATGAATCTGGCTTTATCCCACATTAATTCTTTCCCTATTATGTCTTCCATGACTGTCCTTATATTACCATAATAGTTCTGAATGTTGATACAATCCCACCACATGTGGGAGAATGAACCGATCCCCACACAGTTGTGCCAGCATTTGTTTGAGACATTTCCCATAATGTGTGCTAATTGGGTGGGGGTTCTATACCATTTGGAGATTATTTTCCTTTGGGTTTCTTTGATCCTCAAATGTTTAATTTTATGAATATTTTCAATCCAAGACCCAATTAATTTCTCATTGAAGCTTTCCTCTTGTTTCCAAATTTCTATAAGGGTTGTTTTTGTTTTGTAAGTTAAGGTGATTAATTCCTCACATAGTAGCCCAATAATCCCTTTGTCGATTTCTACTTTCCTTTTAATTATGCTGTAAAGTGGGGTTTCTGCTACTTCTCTTCTTTTCACAGCCTGAGCTTTACTGGACAGGCCTAACTATGCTATCCAGTTTCCTTGACCGCATTTGTCTTTTATCTTATCACACTTTATTATTTCCCCATTGGGTTCCATGAGGTCCCCTATCCTTTTGATTCCATTTTCCTTAAGTGCCCTAATTAAATTCCTGAATGTATTGTCCTTATTTTCCAAGGTTTCTCATGGGAAAGGGTCGATTTTGTTTATTTGTAATTTATTTTGCCACTTTTTTCCAAATTAACAACGTTGATAAACAGGGGCCGCCTTTTAAGTTCTTTAAGTCTTTTCTGTCTATTCTCTCTCCCATATACGTTCCCCAATACTATTTGCACCTTTGGATCTATTTGCACAAATTAATTCTTTTATTATTCTTTTAAATACAGAAAAATCCTGAACTTGACTAGTCACAAAAGATGGCACTGGCACTGGCACTGATACTGATCCCCTTGCCTGAGCCTGAGCCTGAGGAAACCTTGTACTCAAAGATCCATAAACTTCTCCTGTGCTCTGGCCATGGGGCCTGGATTTCAAAAGCTTATTTTTTTTCTTCTGAAGAGTTCAGTGTTTCAGTAGTATCTGCCTGATTGCCTAGCAAAATACCTGTGTGCTTGAAACTGCAGCGTTTTCTGAATGGCTGGAAGTTCTCCTCACTCCAGTCCCTGCCTTTTGCATAGAATCCTCTAACCCAGTGGTTCTCAACCTGGCAAACTGCCTGGGATTTCTGGAAGTTGTAGGCCAAAACACCTGGGGACCCACAGGTTGAGAACCACTGCCCTAACCTGAAGTGAAGCCCTAGAGACCTAACCAAGCTTAATTTTGAGTTTCTTTTCTCCCTCTGAGATGATTCAGTAAGCCTTTTGCCTTACCTTTTTTTTGCTTTTATTCTTTCTAACTGTCTTAGATAATAATGATTTAGATTTTTAAAACTACCACTTTTGAATCAGAGAGAACCTTCTTCCTCATATCGCTCTCACTAGATACCATAAAAATCTTTAAAATTGATTCTGCAGCCTGTTCAGAGCTATGCATCTCAACACACAATGGAATCTCAGTAGCACTTTTACTTAACACTTTCATGATCTGAAGCCTATGTGCTTGCATGTATTTGAGCGCTTTGAATGGAAGTAGTGTTATTATTTACACTTCCATGCTCTGAAACTTGTGTGTTGTATTCCAGCAGTTTTACTGACATCTCCTTCATTCATCCTTTTGTTTTTCATACAGCATAGAGCTCTTTTTCATTCTCAACAACTTCAGTAATTTTATCTTTCTTTTTAACCAAGTCTCCTGATAATGCAATGATTATTAACTATCTACCTATGCTCTAAAATGGTAGAATAAATTCTGTAATGAGACAAAAAGAGAGAGACAAAATAATTTTCAATCAACTGGCAAGACAGGAGAGGAAAAGCGGAATGAGGGGAGAGAGAAAAAAGCTATCGATAAAACAGTTTGAAAAATTGATCTCCTGCTTTCATCAGCTGGAATGAAGGATTAACTCAATTGTTGTGGATTGTTCTTTTAAGCTCCCTGAAAATGTTTCACATTACTTTTTCTATGGCATTCTAGTTTAGTAAAAAAATACATTGCTGCAGCTTGCTTACATCTATGTATGTATATTAGTGACCCAAAACGGCTCTCTCTCTCCAATCACCACCTGCATAAACTCACATAATGGGGGAAGGAAGGGATGAAAAATATGATATTAAAGCGTGCACATGTGGAAGAAATTGATCTTTATCAGTCTCATCCCAGTCTGTTTGCATCAATTTGTTCTTGCTCCATGAAGAATAGATGTAAGCCAAGCACACTGACCAGGCAGAGTTTTACTAGGAGGTTTCTGCTCTGGACAAGGCACCTCTTTTTCTGGCACTTGAAAAGGAGGAAGTCCTCACTGGTGAACGTGAGACAGTGCCTTGTTTTCTCCCACTCATCATTAACGGTATTTTAGCCCATCGTTTCCAGAGATATTAGGGCAATATACAATAGGCAAACTAAAGTATATCACAATATGATGCAATAAAAGTATATAACATCACAATAAAAACAATGAGCACAAAAACTGCCTTTTAAAAGGGAATGAGTGAGATCTACAAGAAAATATTAGTGTGGAGAATTCCTGCTTAGGGCCTAAATCCACTACCTGGTGGCAATGCACTGTGAGGAAAATTATTTCAGGCAAGGATGTTCAATTTATTTCAGGTTGCATAAATGAGCCCCAGAATTCCTACCATAGATTTTTCTGAACTAGTTTATTTCATCAGTAAAGACATTTACTAGTGAAAGGCAATTACAATTTGCCTAGCTTACTTGGTTTGTTGTTTGGTGATATTGTAACAAATCTTCTGATCATACTTGGGGACTGTTGCAAAGGAGGTGTTCTGCACTGCCTTTCATCCACTTCTGTATGTGATGTCAGCAGTTCTCCCACCAGGATCCTCTCTAAACTGCCATCATCCATCCCCTTCCCAAGCCACCTACCACATGGAAACCTGAGGATATAAAAAATCCAAAACACTGCACATTATTTATTTCCAGAATAATGCCTTAAAATAGATTACAATATGGTTGTTATTGTATGTGGCTTTAGTTATGTATTCAAAAATTTCAATTAAAATTGCTCAGGGCAGTTTATAACATGACTTTGGAGGTGTCTATGGACAACACCATCTTTTCAGCTTAGAAATGGAGATGAGCACCATCCCCAGAGTCAGACACGACTGGACTTAATGTCAGGGGAAAACCTTTACCTTTTTAGAACATATTAAAGGCTAGCATGGATATGTCTTCACATCCTTTTCTAAAAACAGCAGCAATGAGAACTGATTGCAGCTCTGTATAATAACTCCCTCCCTTTCTCTCCACACACACACACAAACATATATGGCAAGTTCTATTTAAACACATTTCTTAACCTTGCACAAGTGGGCCAGAGTAAAAAAGAAATTATATTAATGGTTACAAGAGAAGTGATTCTGTAACTAACTCTGATCTCCAAGAAGCTACATAGACTTCCTACCAGAAATAGACAACAAGGTTACAAATCGCAGTGACCACGAGGGGAAACTGAGAAGTTCCAAGGAATTTACAGTAATTTCAAACGTCAATTTTAAACCAATCATATTTTAACTTATTTTCAGTTTCCCATAATACATTCTTATTATGGTTGACGTACATAAGAAGGTATAGTAAATCATGCTCTGAAAAAGTGTCTATTGCTTATAGGTAACATTTATGCCTAAATGTTTTGTATAATATTATTACCTCTTAATCTGGAGCAAATGGACAAGAAAAAGAGAAATTAAATCAATACTAATTTGAGCAGATTAGCCAAAAATGCTGAAAATAAACACTGATGTCCCTATATACAACTTTTAAAACATCTTTTATCATTCAGAACAACTGGATTGTTTAAAAAGAAGTAGGAAATTAATTCTGTCACTTCCTTTATAGTATTTAAAACAAGGCTTGCTATGGGATTCAAAAATTTAGATAGGTAAATACAATCTGAAATTATGCTTACTTGTAAGTGTGACCTGTGACTTCATTTCTAACCATAACATATTCCACTAGCCATTTGGCATATAATCCAGAATTATCATGTCCTATTTGTACAGTGGTAAGCTTTCCCAGGTTCTGACACTGAAAATTAGAAAAGAAATCTACTAAATATAAACAGAAAAAATCAAAGAGGATAGAATATGACAAAATGTATAGCACACTTAAATATAAACTCAAAAGTCATAAAGCAGATGCAATTGCTACATTTTTTAAAAAGTTTTTAAACATTTTCTTGGTAATAAAACTTTCAAAAAATATAGAGAGGGGTATCTTAGTTTAGTGGTTATAACTGTCTATGCTGATATATCCCCCCCCCCCAAAAAACCCCCAGAAATATGATATTTACATTACTGCATACTCATGCATATTCTAGAGTTTTCTGTTTATGATGTTCATGCTCTTAAGGCATACCTCAAAAGTCATCTCCAATGTATTTCTTGGAACCTGCAGGACTCCTGTTTCACCAAGCTCTCCTGAAATGCATATCCAAGGATTGGCAGTGAACATTGAGCCACCGAGTTTTTTGCTAGGAGCGATCAATATATGATACGGGATTACTGTAAAAAATAAGAAATAATCTAGTTGATGTAAGTTTCAAAAATACATTAAAATACTCTTATAATGCTGGTTTGTCAAGGAAAGAGAAGGCTGTTTATCCTCAGTCAAACCATTGGTCCATCTAACCTAATGCTGTATTTCTGTGTGGCATCAGTTCTCTGGGGTTTCTGTCAGGATTCTTTTTTTTTTCTTGTAGCTGCACCTCTCATGTATTTTCTACAGATCTCCAGCCCAAATATTAATGACTTAATCCCACTTAGTTTTCAAACTCTCTCATGGTACCCTTAGGATAAGATACTCATGCAGGTAAGAATTGATAATTTTCTAGTTTCGCTCTGCATATCACCAAATTGTTGGGCAGTTGATGCCTGAATCCAGACTTATGTGCATGGCAATAATCAATAAAAGCTGTGGTCTACATTGTTCTAAAATATGTGTTGTGTCATTTTCAAGCAGAGTGGAGCTCACCTTTAGCAGACACTGATATGAAACTAGAAATTACCAGGTTCAGCCACATAGGTAAATGTCCCACAGTAAAAAGGTAAGGTACACATAAATCTATGACCAACCATGCCCTTGCAGAATGTTGGAAATGTGTTTCTGATTTGGCCCCTTCTCTTTCCATAACATAGCTGATTATCAAACAGCAAGTGTGCTATATCTAAAGCATGATTACTTCCTTGTGATATAATGCTACAAGAACTTAGATTCTACAATATCTGACTTTACTGCTAATTTTTCTTTTCTCAATATACACATGTCTCCAAATATCTGCCAACTAAGGATAGTATTTTGTGGGAAATTGAATTCAGTCCAGAAAAACCTGAAGCAAAAAACCCTCCCTTTTATTATTTTTGAGTAGTGAAAAGTTATACTTACAGATTGTTGTAAAAACATTAGTAAAACAAAAGTAATCAACTGCATTGAAGGAGAGCAGATGATAAAGAAACTGTTCTTTCTCATCATCACACCGAAGGAAAGCATAGCGTTTGTAGAGTTTTCTGACAAAAAGAACAAAAACAAATGCTATGAGCCTATAAAATTATTCAAACAAAGGGTTTCTGGCATATACACTGACACAATCAATATATTTAAGATCATTTGAGGGGGTGCTGTGGTTTTTAACTTTGAATATGTTTTAATGGTTTTTAACTGGGAATTTTTAATACTGTTTATATTTAATCCTGTTTTCATGTTTGCCTAATGGTATATTTTAAATTATATGCTACTGCTATTATATTAAGCTGCTTTGAGTCTCCTTTAGAGAAATAAAGTGGGGAATAATAATAATAATAATAATAAATTACTGTTCTGAAATCTAATTTCCATACTCCTTCACTTTTTCATGTAAGCTTGCATCCTTTAAAATGTCCACTCTAGTAATGAGTACCATATATTCTGGTGCATAAGACTACTTTTTAACACAAGAAAATCTTCTCAAAAGACAGGGGTCATCTTATACACAGGGTAGTCTTGTTAGATTGTGTTGTCTAGGGACCCAGTTTTAAAAGGTGCTGTAATGGGATGTTGAAACCCATCAGCTTAAAAATTGTCATATTTTCTTTTAGTATACATAATTTGCTCCACTGATTTGCCACCAATAAAGCTTAGCTTCTGGCAGTAATGTGTATCAGTTTTAGCATCAAATAAAATTTTGTGGAGACCCGAAATACAGCCAGTTTCAGCAAAAAAAAAAAAAACCAAAACCCATCAGATAACGCACGTACACATTCTGAGGAATGATGTCTAGTTAGCACATGCAGCTCAGTAGTTGTGTGGGGTAGACATTACCAAGTCAAAATATGTAAGGCTTGGGAGAGTTGAAATTATCCTTTAGTTTGCAATCTAATTTGTGCTAGCCATACAGATATATGAATATAGCTGGACTTCCAAATGTACACGTTTCTGAATGTTATGAATAGGTTTAGTTGTTCATGTGCATTACAATGAAAATGAGGAATACAAATTTTATGGGAAGGGTCCAAAAACACAATAGGAGAACATGTATATTTGTAAACAAATGCATGCACTAATAAAAATGTGTACAAAATGTATGAGTTTATTTATTTATTTAAAACTTTTATATCCCGGTCTTCTCTACCTCTGCAGAGGGACTCAGACCAGCTAACAGCAAAGATTCAATGCTAACACTGAAAATCTAAAACATAATACACAACATTAAGTTACCAATTACATAAATTACATAAAATTACATAAAAGCCGTTCACCAGGAGTTCTTACATACTTTTAAAAATAATTATATTTCTGCACAGGGGGCAAGAAATAAATTTAAGCATAGAAATCCAACAACAAAATAATAATAAAATTGATAGGACCTCCAATACTCCATAGAGGGCATTTAGGAGCAAAAAAACCCCAGGGGCTCTGAGGTAATACTTTGTACACCCAGATCTATAGAATTTCTGAATATTACAATTCTGTTTTTAAAGGAACAAAAGAAGTTCCACATGCATTCTACAATACTGAATTTCACTGAAAATTAACTTCACTCACTTTGTTAGTTCATGATCAGACAGAAGGTGTTTTAAGTGCCTAGAAAGTAATTTCTTCTCCATGGAGAGCCGGACCCAAGCTCTAGCCTTACCAACATCTGTTTTGATTTCACTAATATTCTGGATATGTCTGGAAAAAGGAATAAAAACAGATTATACTGTGACCATTCTACCTTTCCTTGGCTACCTGTACTATTGTTAAAGAAGATGATAAGGAGCAAAAGGAAGAAAAATATTCTTAAAATCAATCTAAGAGTATAACACATTCTACTATCTTGTTTGGACATACTTCAATTAAATAAGCTATTGTACAATACTAAGAATAAAAATCTATAAATAATAATGTTATGGTGCAGCTATGCATATTTTTGTTCATACAGTTCATCTAAACTGTACACACTGTCATATAGGTTTATATGAAATTACATGTGGGTAAGAAGCATTAAACCCCAAGCATCATATGTTGGCCTAGTTCATCCTTTGAACTGGATTTATCCTTGTTTCTGCAAAATGAGATGGCTGCAATGGCACATTTTTAATAATTTTTCAAAAATCTCATCACATAGGTAGTTTTTTGTTTTGTTTTTAATCAGTACTAAATTTATTTACTAGGAATTAAATCTCATGAACACGCGGGTTGTGCTTTTGAAAGAATATGTTCAGGATTTTATTACAAACATCAACTCAGGAGAAAGATATTAAAAGCTTTTCAAAGCTTATGGGAATTATTTTAAAATCAAGGAATCCTAAAATGTAGTGAAGTATTCATAGAAATCTTAAGGGTTTTATCAAATATAACCTCATGTCTTGGATGAGAGATACTCTTAAGGGGGACATTGCTGGGCTGGTATCTGATTTCCTTCGTTCTGTATCTAGAAGAATTCCTACAATAAAGACAACACAAAATTGTATTACTTCTTACCAATGTAAATGCTTTAATTTTTAGCCACATTTTAACAACATGTTCAGTCACCCAACTAAAATTGAGGTATAACTTCTAATACATTAGTATCTCCTATCTTACTTTTTCTGATGTATGCAAACTTTATTCTAGCATTATTTCAAATGATTTCAAATATCACTATCAGGAACAACAAGCTAATCAAGATAAACTCTGTGCATGCTTTTAACAAGAAGATTCCATTAACAGATAGTACAGAACAAAAGAGATTAGTAATCACAAGTACTGAAGCTGAAACAAAGTACACATAAGAGTAACTGAAATATATAATTTCAGAATCCTGATTCATTTTGAGAAATAGAGTTCTCCTTTAGAAAAATAATACCCTGTTGTTACTGTGTCTCTTCAAGTTTTTTTTTTTCAAATTATAGTGACTTGGAGATTAACCTATTATTGGATTTTCTTGGTAAGATTAGTCCAGAGGTAGATTTACTTTTACATTTCTCTGAGGCTGAGGAAGTGTAACTTGCTCAGGGTTAAGCAGTTAGGTTTCCAAGGCCAAGTGGGGTTTCCAACCCTGATCTCTAGAGTTGTAGCCCAACGTTCAAACTACTACACCACAATGACACTATTATATTACTAATAGTTATAAATATTTTATTTACTATCAGTGTTTCAAGTAAAAAATTGTTTACTTTGACCGAGGTACCGATTGTTAAATGTTTAAAGTAAATATTTAAGCTTTTTCCCCCAAGTTCTTTAATTGGCAGAATTTTATTGCATCCTTATTACAATATTTTAGAAAAAAACATATCGTAGAATCATAGAATCAAAGAGTTGAAAGAGACCTCATGGGCCATCCAGTCCAACCCCCTGCCAAGAAGCAGGAATATTGCATTCAAATCACCCCTGACAGATGGCCATCCAGCCTCTGTTTAAAAGCTTCCAAAGAAGGAGCCTCCACCACACTCCGGGGCAGAGAGTTCCACTGCTGAACGGCTCTCACAGTCAGGAAGTTCTTCCTATGTTCAGATGGAATCTCCTCTCTTGTAGTTTGAAGCCATTGTTCCGCGTCCTAGTCTGCAAGGAAGCAGAAAACAAGCTTGCTCCCTCCTCCCTGTGGATTCCTCTCACATATTTATACATGGCTATCATATCTCCTCTCAGCCTTCTCTTCTTCAGGCTAAACATGCCCAGCTCCTTAAGCCGCTCCTCATAGGGCTTGTTCTCCAGACCCTTGATCATTTTAGTCACCCTCCTCTGGACACATTCCAGCTTGTCAATATCTCTCTTGAATTGTGGTGCCCAGAATTGGACACAATATTCCAGGTGTGGTCTAACCAAAGCAGAATAGAGGGGTAGCATTACTTCCCTAGATCTAGACACTATGCTCCTATTGATGCAGGTCAAAATATAGGCAGACAAAGGGCTATATTTTTTTAAATGTTTGGAGAAAGTGAACCAACACAAGCAAAGAATTCATTAAATTTCAGACTGCATTTTTACGAGCAACATCTTATCTGGAATCTGCTACAATAATAGCCAATATATGTGGGTGCAAAGCAATGAACGTGTGTTACAGAGACTGTTAGGTAGGCAAATATATTTATCTTTCTTCTCCTCAAATGACAAAGCTACTTATAAACTTTATAGAAGCCAAGTATACCTGAGGTGCTGAAGCTTCCGGATGTAGGCTTCCGCTGTCTGTTTTCTTGGTAATGTAACAAATGTGACCACAAAGCAGATTTCCCCTAAGATGAAAAGGAAAGATTACCTGTCAAATGCAATACACATTTCTATTTGCAGCATTATATCTTTTTTAGTTTCATTTCTAAATCATATTAAAAATAATAATTAGATATATCTCAGTCAACATAAAACAATTTAGTCATAAAATATTAAAAGAAAAGTAGCTATTTTGAATAAAATCCAACTAATAAAATATATCTGGAAACATAGCTAAATTATCATGCATATATTCAAAGAAATTACAATGCACTCTCATCTGACTTCCAATGTTCTGGAATTATGTTACCAGCATTCCAAAACAACCAAGTTCAGCCTCATGGCTTCCAGCTTGAAGGAATTAACTTTCTGTCAACATGTTTAGGAATAAATATGCTAAGAGTTATAGTTTCAGAGAGGGCACTAGGTTGAGAAAAGTTGATTTTAAGCTACTTTATGTAATAGAATCAGTTCTTAATATTTTCCACTAGCTACAGAGATGTCTGATACAATTTTGCCACTGTCTAACTCCACTAAAGAGTTTCTAAATCCCTAGTCAGCATATATGTTTGGACCTTTTGAAAACTATCCATTGATGGTTAAGAACTTTTAAAATGTTGGGGGGGGGGCGGGTATCATATACTACTGCAGGGCACCACAGCAAGAATCAATGTTACCTCTGATCAGGTGATATAAGTGTAACATCAACTTCTTGCTCATAAAATAGTTTGCTACTCAAACAAAATACGAATCACAGAGACCATGAAAAGATACGGCGGGCTCCTTATTCCTAAAAACAAATTGCTTAGATGTAACTGTGAACTCATTCATATAGGTCTTGTGCCTATGCACAAGAAATCTGGGACTAAATATTTTTTGTGGGAACTCTGTCCCTATACCTCCTCAGTACATGCTCTTGTGTGCCAAATCTATTCTTTCCCAGCTTCTATTTCCTCCATAACAAGGGAAGAAGAAAAAAGGTGAAAGTGTGTTTAATGTGAATTCATAGAAGGCTACTCTATGAATCACATTTTATAGGTAAGCAATCTGTTATTCCTCAAGATGTAACTCATACATATGGTGATTAGCTAGCTGTCTTCCTAGAGAAGGGTGACATCAGCTCTAGATCAAAGAAAAGGACGTCTTTCAAGGAAAGCATCAGTTCTGACTCAAGTTTCCATTTTAGTGAGTTGTGGAGAGAACGCGTAGTTGTCCTGCACTGATTTGATAATGATGAATCATTTAACTGTTAACTGGAGCAAGTTGTTAACTGGAACGAGTTACAGGTAGCAGATGACACCTCTTCTGAAGCAGCTCCACTGGCTGTCGGTAAGTTTCCGGACCCAATTTAAAGTGCAGGTTACTAAACGGTTCAGGTCCTGCTTATCTTTGTGACACATCTCCCTTTATGAACCGATGTGAGCACTAAAATCTGCCGGGGAGGCCTTTCTCTCGCTTCCACCTCCATCAAAAGCGCAGTTGTTGGGGACAAGAGAGAGGGCCTTCTCGGTGGTGGTCCCTCAGCTCTGGAACTCTCTCCCCAGGGGGATTAGAATAGCCCCCACCCTGTCCATCTTCCGGAAAGACTTGAAGACTTGGTTGTTCCAATGTGCCTTTGAATAATGGTTTAGCTATTGATTAAGTCTGCCTAGCCCTAATCTTTTTGGTTGGATTCCAGTACTTTATTCCAAGCCCCAGCCCTACAGTTTGTGTTTGCAGAAACCCTTATCCTGTCCTATTAGTTTCAAATCTGAACATGCCACTTCTCTCGGCTAGTGGTTGTTTGATGTTTCGTTTGTTTTATGATGTCTTACATTTTATTGGTTTTTCTGTTCTAATAAATTTTACTGTATAAGTTTTTAATTGTGTTCTTTGCAACATTGTTTATATTGGGCTTGGTCCTTATGTGAGCCACCCTGAGTCCCTTTGGTGAGATGGAGGCGGGATACAAGAATAAAGTTGTTGTTATTATTATTACTGTTATATCGGTAGACTGATAGAATAAGGTAGTATAGTTTATATAGAAAGCCAGGGCTCTTTGAACATCCAAAGTATAGTAACACAAATTCTCAATAACAAACAGCAATCTTGAACAAAGTTAAGGAGAACTATATCTTGTAATAGGTGAAACTATGGCCCCTTCTACAATGCCCTATATCCCAGGATCTGACCCCAGATTATCTGTTTTAAACTGGATTATATGAGTTTCCACTGCCAGATAATATGGTGTAAGAAGATAATTTAGGATCAGATCTTGGGATATATGATCAGTGTAGAACAAAGAATGGACAATTCACTTAGGTCTGTTCTAATGCTTACCACAGACGACAATGCCATAAGAAAAATCCTGCAAAGATCCAGCCAGCATACTGTGCCTTCACCTTGTGTATGCGGGCGTGGTGAGCTTATAGAAGATTTCCCAAGATTTGTGAAACATGCTCGCCAGGCTATTGTTTTTGTTTATTTATTTATTTTATGCCCCACCTTGCTTACAGAATAAACTCCATGTCACAGTACACACAACATAATATTCAAGGTCTTGCAAAGAATTATTGCAGTACAGTATGAACTATACTGCAATGAAGATCAAAAGGTGTCAGATCATGTGAGCTATGGAAAAGGTGGGCACTGAGACCCGACAAGCTGTCTATGAACCATGAAGCTAATAAAAACGAATACCATCAAGACTGATACCAGTACAATACTCCAGCAGAAGAACAGTGTTTTTTCCCTATGTATACTATCTTGTATCAGGTTTGGAGAAGAGTATGACTCCTTGCACTGAGGATTTCTGGATGAAGTTTCTGCTGAGTCTTAGAGAAGGATTACAATGCCATACCATTACTTTCTAGCCATGTGATCAGCAATTTGCAGGATACTCTCCCAAGAATGGAAACAAAACTGTCAGCTTTTGTTTCATAGACCCTACTTCATACAATTCCTGAAAATTATACAATTATATTAAAGGAAAATCAGCATTCAGAATGGACGTTGGTGTGTGTGATCTTTTCCATCCAGGTATACTTGTTGAAAAGGGCAGGAATCTGACAAAACAGTAGGGGAAAAAGATATTATGAAAGGACAATCAATGAAGCAGAAACCAAGAGGAAAAAGAACAAGCGCTATTCAGCACGTGGCTTTATATCATATTGTCAGCAGAGAATTTTTTATGTTCTTGTGACAACTAAAAGGAATCGAGAAGACCAGCTATAGTGGGCGTGAGCCAGACACTGGGATGATGAGGAGTTTCCATCAAAAATCTACTTGGCTCTACAAGATTCTGTATTAGATTCAGAACAGGTTAAGATAGCATCACTCTTGCAAAAACTTTGTCCTTCCTCTAGAATGTTCTGATCAACGTTTTGCAGGTTTTTTTTAAACATGTCAGGAGCAACTTGAGAAACTGTAAGTCGCTTCTGGTGTGAGAGAACTGGCCAACTCCAAGGACATTGCCCAGGTGATGGCCAAATGTTTTACCAACCTCTGGGAGGCTTCTCTCATGTCCCCACATGAGAAGCCGGAGCTGACAACAAGAGCTCACCCCATTCCCCAGATTCAAACTGCCAACCTTTCAGTCAGCAGTCCTGCTGACACAAAGGTTTAACCCATTGCGCCACCAAAGACTGCTGTTTTGCACAGGTGAATAAAAAGGAAGAAAACAAATGGTCACCAATAGGATTAAAGTTACATATAGGAAATTTGTCCTTCCCTGAACAATAGTAGTAATAATTTAAAAGCTGACCTGGTATAGTTCACAAACTAAGTGCTCTTCTAACAAAAACTTATCTGGGGTTCATTTGTAATGTCCAGTGGACAAAAAAGAACTGAGGGGAAAAAGTGACAGCAATGTCTGTTGAAGGAGAGGCTGCAATAAAACTTTGAATGGCTCTAGAACATTCTGAATAAGACTTCTCATAGGTACAAAATTCAAGTATGGGAGTCATAGTGATCAAAAAGAAAAACATATCAAAAACTAAGTAAATCTATTTGCTATTTAAAAGGACCCCTGCTCTATTAAGATAATAGTAAACAAAATATCAATACTAGAGGCCTCTTTTATCAAGTGTTCCAGGGGAAACAGCTGTTTAAATCATAATGGGGCAATTGTAAGAAATTTGGTGAAAGCATTCTGTTTTATGCAGACAAATCTAATCTAAATGATGTGAGAAAACCATGAGTAATTGGAATACAAGTCTGTTGTAGAAAGACTAAGGATAGGTATAATTTAGAACATAACTGATTTTCTATATGGATGCCACCAATAATTAGAAAAATTACAGCATGACCTCTATCTGTGGGCGATATATTCCTGGACTTTGCATGGATACATGAAACTGTGGGAAATAGAAAACCACAGAATGGGTGAGAGGGGTTCTTTCTCCTCTTGCTTACCTGCCTGCCTACTCTCCTTTGTGGTGGAGATTGGCAAGTGCTCTGTGTTTCATTCTACATCCTCACCAGTTGCAGGACAAGAAAAAAGGAGTCTGCCACTTGCTACCATCGGCACCCCCCTCGCCCCCACTTTGCACAGCATTGACCCAGCCAGCTATGTCTGCCTCAGCCATGCCTAACTTACCGCTACCTCCACTTTAGGCTTTTTAGCCAAAGAAAGAGACAAAAATGTATTCATCAGCTGAGAGAGATGCAAGGGGCCTAGCTGCACAAAGTCAGTCAGCCAGCTAGACAATTGGTGGTCCCAATGTAAAGAGTGCAGCAACCAAGCAGCCAGCTAGCGAGCCTTTCTTCCCTATATCCTAATCTGGGAGTAGCGATTGACAGGCTCCCTGTGAGTCTCAATCCATTCTTGGCAATTGTGGGACAAAGAGGAAGCCAGCCAGCAAGTGGAAACAAAGGAAGCAGCAATTGAGTGGGTATAGGGGATACATTTTATAATTTTCTGTCTTTTAATCATCATCATCATCATTATCATCTTTATTTATACCCTGCCCCCTCTTCCCGAAGGGACTCAGGGTAGCTTACAACAATCAACAGATACAAAAATAATAAGTAATAACAATAGAAAAGGAACAATAACAAATTATTACTACATAGAAGTAAAACATATTAATAAAAACATTAATAATTAATTTGTAAGCCTTCGTAGATCCCAGTCTGGAGAAAGGGCATGATAGAAATGAAGTGATGTATTTATATACACTGGAGTATATAAATTAACATAACAGCTTAAGGATTCAAACCAACTGAATTATAAAGGAGAAAGTTTGATATTTACTTGTTTATAAGCCTAAAAAAAACCCCTCACTCACCAATACTTAAGAACATAAAGTTCTTTTAGTATTAAGTGCAATGGAAACAATTGAAGAAGATGATCCACCAGCAGAGTCGAAGATAGATAGTTTACTATCAACTATACATTACACATCTCAAAGCATAATAGACAGCTTACAGCGTATTACTATCTTATACAGTGCTCTTACATAGTAGTGATGGTTGTCAATCTGGATGGCTTTTAAAGAGGACTAGATGATTACATGAAGGATGGAACCAGCAATTGCTACTAGGCAGCCATCTTCATGCCTCTATGTATCAGCTGCTTGGAGGGTGATGAAAATTTTGGAAATTTCTAAGCAGCGGTTGGATGGGCATAATTCAGAATGCCTTTGTTGTGGATTACTGCACAAGATGACCTTTTCAATCTCTTGATAATCCCAAGAGTCAGATTTCTTAATCATTCTAAGACTCAGATTTAAACCACTAATATCCCAAAGTCTTAAAGCATTGTAGGAAACCAGCTTTATACAGAGTGAAAAAATGACAAAATACTTCATGAATGCTAAAGAATGACTCTGAGTAGGCCTTTCTGCTTTAATTTTTTTTCTCTAGGAAAAAAGTTAAACTAGCTGCTTCAAGTTCCTCTCCTCACTTCTTTTATTTCATGAGATAAGTCATCCACCCAGCTAAATGAAACAACTACATTTCAGTCACTGAGAGAAAGAACCTAACCCTAATCATAACACCTGTTGTGCTTTGGATTTTGTGAGGCTAAATATAGGGTTCATCTAGTAGTTTTATAAGGCTTTTAGTCTTCTCTACCCAAACTACAAGTCCCATAATTCCACAGCATTAAGCAGTTAATGCAGTTAATAGTAGTGTCAAACTGCATTAATTCTACAGTGTTGACGCACCTGTAGATATCATAGCAAATATATTTTATAATAACATCGGTATACTGGATAATATATACACTGGCTCCAGTGCTGGGACAGATCATGTTAGAACACAAACATCTAAGTGTGTGGACAAATTAAAATCACATTATGTGGATTTTTTTCTAAACAATTGACATATTATTCATATCTTTAAACTACAGACTGATATATGAACAAAGCCAAGGGAGAAGACTAATAACATGCCAACAAAGAGATAATAATAAATAAAAATTCCCTCGGAACTGACAGATAAAAACTATCATACTTATCCATGATTTCAATGAATGATCACTGATAAATATGAAGGTGAAATCACAAATGCAAAAAAGTAGTTTCAACTTAAGGGTCTACGGAAGTCTAGCAGAGGAGGAAGAGGGGAAAGCTGGATGGTGCTGGGAAGCTGTCTTCATACTGATTTATGAAGAAGCATAATCTTCTACTGAAGATTACTTTAAAAGGATTACTCTACCTTAGGCTTCTGTGACTGAACCTAAGGGTGATTTTAGACAGGGAAAGAAATAACTTTTTATATCTTTATTTAAAAAGACATCACTTCCTCCTTCTGATTCCTAAATACTCTACCACAACAGACCGTGCAGCACTGTTTGCCAACATCTTCAATCAATCCAAAGAATTAACCTTATGTAGGGTTGGCCGCTTGCTGGTCTGAAAGGCCCAAATCTGAGTTGTAGCAGAGTATATGGATGCTCTATCTTCTAGGATGAAAGTAGTACAGCTTCTATCCTATGTAGCATATAAGAGGGAAGGTAAGAATCAGAAAACAGATACCTTCACATACAGAAACTTGATACATTCTAAAGCACTTCTACTTAAGTGATCAGCAAAAAAAATCAGGAAGTAATTTCACAAGATATTTATGTCACAGTAACGATTTTCAGATACCAAAATTCATTTTTGTTGGGTTTTTTTGCATTCATACATGAGGTTAATGGAGGGAATATGTATTTTTTCTCTAAAAGATATTACAGCATTCATATATATTAAATAAACCCAAAGCTGTTTTCTAATTAAAGTTCACAGTAAACATAAAAGTGTAATAAAAACAGTTAGAATATCCTGGGTTTGGTGTCCAAGTAGAATTCTAGTCCTTGACTCTCTACTATTTTTTGTTCTCATAAACATCTCCCTTCAGTTACCTAATGACCCTCTAGTGTAGAACAAAACCGAGATTGTACATAGAAATTAATGGGGAATCTGAAAAGTCACTTTCACACATGGTAAACTTCATTGAGTAGCTCTATATAAAATAAACTCATTTATATTCTCATTTGTATTTAACATCCCAAATCCCATTCAACACATGTGAGCTCAAATCTTACAATTTACAATAATGATACAGAAAAGTATGGATTTTGAAAGATCAATTTATATTTGTAGCATTATAAAGCAACAATATACAGTAATTTCTTACCTGCTTCACCTGCAGACCATGACTCCATATCCTTTCTAAGAGATCACAAAGGCTTGCTATCAATGTATTTTCTTCTACACCGGTAATATTCACTTCCCCATGACCAAGTTCCACTGCTTCACGGCCCATTTTTTCCACTAACATCCTCTTTGTCTTTCGAGAAAGAAAGATGACAAAATGTCTGTTACTTTTGGACAGGTGACTCCACAAAGATACTAGATGGTTATTATATTATAATATTAATTACTTTGAAAACATCATTCCTACAGTGTAGTTTGGTGGTGGCAGTTTTATCTTGCATGGAAATCTTTCCTCAACAGGGACTGAGGAACTAGTTAGGAATGAGGGAAAGATGGATGGAGCAAAAAAGAGGGTAATTCTAGAGGAAAATCCATTTCAGATTGCAGGAAAACTGCGGCTTGAGTGGAGACCAGCTTCCCAGCAGGAGAATGTCCTAAACACACAGCCAAAGTAACACTGGGATGGCCTAAAACTAAGAACCTAAACATCTTAGAACAGTGGTTCTCAAGCTGTGGGTCACCAGGTGTTTTGGCCTACAACTTCCAGAAATCCCAGCCAGTTTACCAGCTGTTAGGATTTTGGGAGTTAAAGGCCAAAACATCTGTGGACCCACAGCTTGAGTACCACTGTCTTAGAATGACCCAGACCTCAATCCAATTAAGAATCTATGGCAAGACCTAAAAGTTCCTGTTCAGCCATGGTCCTCATCAAACTTGCAGCTAGAGTAATTTTGTCAAGAATGGGCAAAGATCAAATTAGCCAGATGTGTAAAGTGATAGAAACTTACCAAAAAAGACTGAAAGTTTAATTACAATTTAAGATTGTTTCTAACAAGTACTGATCCACATGAGTGAATACTATCCAACCAATCTTATAAAAGCATTAAAGGCATAAAACACCAGTAACTTCTTATTAGCTCATTTTCCAAAGAAATTGTCAAGCCGTTCCATGTTCATTCTTTCCTGGGTTCCATATTCATTTATTAATGTGTTTTCAAAGGCTTGTTCAAAAAGCCAGGTTTTTAATTTTTTTCAGAATGTTAGTAGGGAGGGGTCCGATCTAATATCCCTAGAGAGGGAGTTCCATAGCCGAGAAGAAGGCCCTGCCTCTCGCCGGAATTGTTTAGGGCTTTATAGGTTAAAGCCAGCACTTTGAATTGTGCCCAGTAGCAAACTGGCAGCCAGTGGACCTGGCGCAATAGAGGAGTTGTGCACTCCCTGAGCACTGCTCCCATTAGCAACCTGGCTGCCACCCACTGGACCATTTGAAGCTTCCGAACAGTCTTCAAAGGCAACCCCACGTAGAGCATGTTGTAGCAGTCTATACAGGATGTAACCAGAGCATGGACTACCGTGGCCAAGTCAAACTTCCCAAGGTACAGGTGTAACTGGCGCACAAGCTTAAACTGTGCAAATGCTCCCCTGGTAACCACAGAGACCTGAGGTCATCCTATACAAGAGACATTGCTCCCTCCATTCTTATATAAGAAAGTATCACAGCTCCACAGACAACTAAGATAAAGCATCTGTCTTATTCAACTTCTTTAAATAATATTATCCACTGAACCTGGGCCAAATGGGGAAACAATGGCAAGATACCTTATTTCGACATTCCTTCAGCAAACCTTCAACAAACTTCCAGTTGGTCTGAGCGATTACTGAAGGTGAGAGATTTGACAATTTGGGCTGACGGATACTGCTGCCCAGATTCCGAGCTTCTTGAATATACTTCTATAGAGAGATGGGAAAACACAAATGTATACAAAGACACAACTTTCAGCATGTATGCACTATTTGTACATTTTGGGTTCCTAAAGAGAAATTTCAATTTATACAATAATAGTGTATAAAATTTGGTTTTCTTTTCTTTTACATGAATTCAAAGTAAGCTTTAAATAACAAAACTGTGTTATACAACAAAAATATAGAATTTTATTGTGTGAATATTAAAACAATCTTTCTATAACATAATCATTGCACTAATTACGTAATCCAATATATTTGGAGCTGCACATTAATTAGATGTTTTGGAATTTATATTAAATAAAATACTGGACTAAATATAAAGTTCTGTCAGATCCTACCAGAAAGAAATCCTCCTTAGATGCCAAAATATATACTAAATCATATATGATTTTCAGCCCTTAGCTATAGACCATCCTTTCAAGTATCCGTAAATAGAAAGACAATGTTTTTCTCAGTGTGTGTCTTTCTGTCTAAGCTATAACTCTAACACCATGGACCCTAAATTCCTAAAACTCAGTATTCCCACTAAGTTATATGAACCTAGAATTTAAATGCATTTGTTACTTTTAATATGTCTGTATCATTCCCACTTACAAGATGGCAGACCTCCCCAACTGGGGGCAAAGATCTCTAGTCAACATATTTTAAAGAGAGGGCAATCCCTCCACTTGTTGTGGTACATGGTGTAGGCACACCACAACTTTAGGGAACTGCAAAAAAAGTAAAATTGCAAAACACAAGAGGCAACCCTAAGAGATGCAGTAATCATGCTTTATTCAGATGGGATGACAGTCTATCAAACTCAGACAGCTATATAATTTTGCTTGAAGTCTTTGGTTATTAAACAATAGACTATTTCAACCTATGCAAAACCAGGCATTTCTATTAGTGTTCTATGTAAATAAACTACATACACACATATACATATAAGGTATATATGCATCTATGTGCATATACAAACACAACATACCAGATAACGCTCTGAAACAGATTTAACAGAGTGCCTGAAAGGCCATTCATGCTGGTCCAAGACTAAACATAATTGTAACTGAAGCTCTGTCAAAGGGAAATCCCATTGCTGGCAATACAGGAGACATAGCAAAACAAAAGAAAAAAAAAACCAAAAAACAAACAGCTCACATTAGTTGAAAGCATGGTAGGCAAGCATGAAATCATAAAACACACATGCAATAACAGGTCAAATGACATTAAGACGATTTTTGACTTTCAAGGGACAAAAAGAATAGAGAAAGACTAAAAATTAGAACAACATAAATTTAATTAGAGAAAGGAATACAATTCATGCATCAACAAAAAAGCTTTTTAAGGGACTTCAAGCTAGGAAAGTAAAGATTTGTGTGTAATTTGCATATCTGAGGCTCCTTGGAATTTGTCAAAATCACTAGGATTATTTTCTCAATAATTGATAAACAGACAGTGACAGCAAAAAGTAACTGAGAGCTAATTTACAGAACAGGTTTGCACATCTGTATTCTGATATTTCCACTACTCAACTTTAGGGGAAATATCCTCCCAAAATTTAGAAGCTTCCCATGTATAGCAAATAAGAAACGCACACCTCTTCAAGAAAAGTTTCCACAAAACCAGGACCATGAGTGAAGTATACACTAGAGAAATTTCACTATACTCGACAGAGCTCTTCATTTCAGTAAGAACTGGGACTTCATTTTTGTTTGTTTTAGTGGGTGATTAACAATTAGATTAGTGTGGTCTAAATCAAATTGTTAAATTCAACTAAAGCAGATCTACTGAATAAACAGAACTTAAATACTTGTCAGCTTATCAATTTCCCCTTGATTTAATTTGTTTACCGTTTGTGAATTGTATTTAGGCCACAGAAATTAAAAATCAACATCCTTACAGAATAGTTGTTACCTCTCTCTGATCATTGTCAAGACGAAGATGCTCTGTGTGCTGTTTCTGTCTATCTTTCCGCCTCCATTGTGCAGGTGCATTTCGTTTGGTCCATCTAGAAAATAAAATGTCCTTAAATAAATACTAGATCAAAAACTGGCAGGAAAGTATACATTTTTATCCCAGATAGTAAATGGAACAAATGTAGAATGTAAAAAATGGAGCAACATACAGTTTTAAAAATCCATATACTAGGTCATAATCTGTTCAGCATTATTTTTGCCAGAATATCTGAAAACTATGGTGATAGATGATTCTTTGTGGAAATAGACATGAGAGTAGTTATAAGGTAAAAGTAGTGCTTAAATGTCTCATTTCTTCTTTAAAAACATACGTATGTGTAGTTTGAAGTTTCAAAATTTAGCTCTGGTACTGATAACAGATTGCCTATAATGTTTGACACAGCTGGCAGAACTGATGCTATGTGATATTTAAAGAAGGTAAGAGTTAATACTGTGCTCTAAACTTTTCTTCAGACAAAGCAACAATCTCTCATAGCTACAGCTAACAAAATATCAAACCTAAACGGTTTTAAAATTTTCTGGTTTTGTGAGTCTTGGGATCTTCCAAAAAACAGTATACAAGCAATCCCTGAATTACAGACATTCAACTTACAAATGACTCATAGTTAAGAATGGGGTGACAAAAGGAAGTGAAAGAAATATATTGCTAGAAAGAAAAAATCACTCCTAAAAGAGTTATTATGGGGAAAATGTGTCTCTACTGAAGCTTTATCACCAATACTTGTTTCCACAAGTCCAATTATCACAGGGACAGAAAGTGAGGGGAAATCTACTGAACAGGAGCACAGAAAGCAAAACAAACACCTTACTTAGGCGATCCCTCATTGGATGAGTAAGACAGTCTTCCATGATCAGTATTCTTGTGGATCCGTAGGTGGCTGTGGAGCCCAATTCTTGACCTGCATCTTGTCCTGCAATGAGGGCATTGGTTTCCAGGTGGAAGGCGGTCTTGGTCGAGGTTGGCTTGACGCACCTTCCTCCTGGCACGTTTCTCTCTTTCATCCTCCATTCATGCCTCTTCAAATTCTGCAGCACTGCTGGTCACAGCTGACCTCCAGCTGGAGCGCTCAAGGGCCAGGGCTTCCCAGTTCTCAGTGTCTATGCCAGAGTTTTTAAGGTTGGCTTTGAGCCCATCTTTAAATCTCTTTTCCTGTCCACCAACATTCCGTTTTCCATTCTTGAGTTCATTCTTGGTTTGATATCCAATAGTTTCTTCACAGGCTTGGATGATGGAGGTCTTCAGTTTGTTCCAATGTTCCTCAACATTTTCGGGGTATTCTGTGGGTAGATGGTCCTTGAGTGCTGTTTGGTGAAGGGCTCATCTGGAGGGCTCCTGAAGGGCTTGGGTGTTCATTTTGCGCCTTGTCTTTCTTCCTTGGAGTCTGTGCTTGGGGCGATCTTGATCCATCGTGGATCAGATTAGCCTGTAGTCTGTCCAGCAGTCGTCAGCACCTGTCATTGCTCTTGTGAGGTGCACGTCACAGCAGTCTCTGGCACGTGTGATTACGTAGTCTAAGAGGTGCCAATGCTTTGACCGGGTGTGCTTCCATGATGTCTTGAGCTTGTTTTTCTGGCGGAAGAGCGTGTTGGTGATGACAAGGTTGTGTTCCGCACATTTGGTGAGAAGCAGGATGCCATTCGAGTTGCTGTTTCCAACCCCGTCTTTTCCTTTGGTCCCTGGCCACAGGTCGAAGTCTCACCCGACTCTTCCGTTAAAGTCCCCCAGGAGGATGATTTTGTCCTCCTTAGGTATCTCCGATAGAACGGTGTCAAGCTGACAATAAAATGTTTCCTTGATGTTTTCATCAGCATCTAGTGTTGGTACATAGGCACTTATGATGGTTGCTTGTTGGTTTTTGGCAAGATCAATTCGGAGGGTTGAGAGTCGTTCGTTGATGCCAGTAGGTGCTTCGGTCAGATGTTTCACCAGATCATTTCTGATAGCAAAGCCAACTCTGTGCATTCTTTGGTCTTCTTCGGGCAGTCCCTTCCAGAAGAAGGTGTAGCCTCCCTTTTCTTCCTTCAGCTGTCCCTCTCCAGCTTTCCGGGTCTCCTGAAGTGCTGAAATGTCGATGTTAAAGCGCCCCAGCTCCCTTGCAATGATGGTAGTTCTGCGTTCGGGGCGTTCACTGTCAGTGTTGTCCATCAGTGTCCGTACGTTCCGTGTACCGAAGTTCATTTTTCTTTTTTGGCCCCAGGGTGGTGACCCCACTGGACACGGCAGTACAGTCAGGGGCACAGAAAGCAAAACAAACAGCACAGGGGTGTTAATTCTTCTGACCAAAGACAGATAGTTAGATAGATATTTGGCTGGATTCACACTTCAAAATGTACCTTTATGACTTACATACAAATTCAACTTAAGAACAAACCTACAGAACCTATCTTGTTTGCAGCTTGGGGACTGCCTGTATGTACTTAGAGCTGGAAGAGACCAAAAGGACCATCCAGTGCAACTCCCTGCCATACTTACTTATTGCTTGTTGGCCCTGTAGAAAGTACATCAGACTGAAGCTTGGGGAAAAATCCAGGTTCATATTTTCCTTGTCCAATCTTCATATCTAGCAAGTGAGGATGGATTGCAGTATGATCTATTTTTGCCAGCCTTAACTCAATGGCTTTCTCTGAAGAAAAGCAAAACCATTACATACATATATATCTTTAAAACATTTTTTTCTGAAAATATAGCCGCTTTTCAAGTTTAAAATTAAACAGAACCAATAGTAAATCTGAGCCAATGACCAGAGATTATGATTACAAATATGTATCCTACTTGCATTTCCAGCGGATTAGGAGGAAGGAAGAATCCCTTGAAATATTTCACAGTATTAGTATGTTGGCATGCATTAATCCAGCACCATACTTCTCAATGATAGCAAATTATTTGTCTTACATAGTGATGTTAATTATTATCTGTTTCAAAACATTGTATTTCTCAAAATTCTATTTTGTGTTTTTGTAACTGAGCACTCACACACTATTAATGGTAGGCAAATCATAGCCCCTTTAAAGATAATTTTGACAGCCCTTACCAGCTTCGTCAATGGTAGTGCATTTTTGATACATGGATGTGCGCAGAGTTGGTGTTCGAACATTTAACAATCTAATTTTATCCACTCTGGAATCAAACACTCTCAGAACAGGGTCTTTATCGTCATCATCATGACACATAATCTTGTTGTCAATAAAAGAAGCAAACATCTGTGTCTCCAAAAATCTTGAGAGGAAAGGCAAATAAGGTTCAGGCTGATCAGACAAGAATGACGCCTAATAAATGGAAAGAAAATGTATTTATATCTTCCAATGCCGAATATTTTCTAAAACAGATAGTTTTCAATTTTGATGCAAAATTTCAACTAGGGTGTTCTATACAGTTGCATGTTTTAAATGTACTTATTTTATTGTTTAATTTTAATATCTACTGCATATTGAAAGAGAGGCATACTGTCCTAGTGAAAAATATTTTTTACCAGATAAATCTTCATATCAATTAAACAAAGAAAAGTAAAGGAAATTGCTATAGTAGGCTAATCTACTACATTATATTTAGGATAAGCTTAGACATGAAATCTTTGTAAAGATATTTGCAAGGAAAGGACAAGCAGCATGCAACACATCAAGCTGCGTAGTACAGTCTTTATGCCAAGAAATTATTTAAATATAGCAATGTAACCAATTCCAAGATTCCTATAATTGGGTCGTTGTAGGTTTTTCGGCCTGTATGGCCATGTACTAGAAGCATTCTCTTCTGAAGTTTTGCTTGCATCTATGGCAGGCATCCTCAGAGATTATTAGGACCTCACAACCTCCAAGGGTGCCTGCCATTGATGCAGGTGAAAGGTCAGGAGAGAATGCTTCTAGAACATGGCCACACAGCCCAAAAAACCTACAAGAACCCAGTGATTTCGGCTATGAAAGCCTTCGACAATACATTCCTATAATTTTTGGGATGCTGATGATGTGGAAAGAAAACAATCCACAAAGACGGAGGACATGTAAACATTTACAATAACATGGTTATATGAGGGTATGAAGGCCCATGGGAGAAAAAAATCCAAAATATCTTAAGTACACCCAGTAGGGAAAGACAGAGATTGACAGTGCTCTTCAGGGTATCTATTTTTATCCAAACATCAACAATATCTCTAACATAAAATACAGTGCTAGTATTAGACCTATGACCTGTAATCAAGGCTAGACTTTGCATGCAGTTTTTATAACGTAGATAGTTACTAATATTCCTGAAAATGCTTTGCATGTTTCCATTATTTAATCACAATTAATGAATAAAACACCAGGACTCTACCATTGTTTTTATTTATTCTAGAATATAAAAGAATGTTGAATTGCAACACACTTTTCAACTAGCAGATATTGGTACTACCCATGTTCTAAAGTCAAATCAGGACAACAGAAGAGTGATGATGGGTGAGAGGAAATAATTTATACACCCATCACTTGGACCACAGACCTGATGGAAATTTCCCTTTCCTAAAGCCATTTACTGCACTGGGGAAACTGCTTTGGGGGTAAACAGCACCTATTCCACCAGAATAAAAAGCAGATTCATGATTATTTACATTGTGGCCATGGTCCCAATCCTAATTAGGGATTGTTATGCAACAGACTACACAGAGATATATAAAATATATAAACTACCACCATACATTTTATGTGCTTTCTGGTTTGGTCCTTTGAAGGCATCAGAACCAGGAAGAACCATACAAGAAATTATTCCTACATATAACAAGGAACCTCTAGGAGGATATAGGTAATACTTTTAATATTTAGTACACTAAGTTTTGTTTCGGCCCATTGGTTTTACAATTGCTGATTCACATCATTTGTGAAATATTCCAAGGTTTACACTATACTGTATTTTTCTGAAAACCTACCACATTGTTCATAATAACCTTTAACAGTTTAGGGCTATGCTGCAAATCAACAGTCTTTCTATGCTTAGTAGAACCTTTATGTTCCTAATTCTACAAATCATGATTTGGAAGACCTGAAATATACATGACCTTTCACACAAGCTCTTCTCCTTCCCTTCATGCATAAAGATTGAATTTCAATGTTTATGGTTAACACTTTGACACTCACTTTATCAAAGTTCTGCATCTGCTCTCTATTGGTAAACCACGACTCTTTGTCTTGGCTGGGCTGAATAACAAATACTTCATAATCTGCAAACATCTGTGTGAAGCGATTAGCAAAAACTTCTCGTATTTGAATATTGAGCTGGTACACTTTGAACTCTTCTTCATCACATTGTACTTTGATATTCTTTTTGACACCTATCTCCTCTCGAACTTCAACCTATGAGAGAAAGATACTCACATAAAAATATGTCATTTTATTTATGAGAGCTCAAGGCTATCAAAGATTTTGGCCAATTTAATGACAAACATTTGAAAAAGACCAGCATCTGGTATTTCTGAGGTATAGAGTAGACTCTTTAACTAGTATTTACAAACAAGCGAAGTATGTAATGCCCATTCTAAGAAAAGTTTAAAAACATTTGTGCTAAATCAAAGTTTTAGTTTGAAAAGACCCAATACATGAATGGAACTTGTTAATTCCAACACTTATCTACGCCCCACTGATCCAATAGGTCTGCTTCCCGATACTAATAATAGGATTCGTTTTTTTCTATGCAAATTTGTTTTTAACACACTAAAAAGAACCTATTGCTTGTATTTATCAAAAGGATAGCAGCTGCATAGTACTGGGGGCTGAAAACTTCCTTGTCTCATTATTAAATAATCCATTTAATTGGTAAAACCAATAAAGTTTAGGAAGATCAGATATTTATAAACAAATAGTGTTTGTTCTGTATATTTTAGAATAACATAATTCATGGCGATGCAATATTGGACATATTGGGTTTTTTGTTGTGGCTCATTTGCAACTATTGAAAGAAAAAAGAAGAGATAAATGTGCTTGAAAGCATAAAAATAGGTTTACTTCTATTGTACCCAGTATCCAATCAGGTTTGGTTCTGTGGATACCTATTTTTTAATATATTTTCAAGCCATGAATGGTTGAATCCATGGATGTTTAACCCACAGAAAAGAGGGTTGACTGTATTCTGTACTAAGTTTCAAAAATAAAACTTTAAAGAACTGATAAATTATTATATGGAACATTTCTATCAATCCAAAAACCAGAGAAAGCAAGACTAACTATCCACATAAAAGCATATTGATACTGGATGCATTAATGATTCAAACTCTATATTATCTCTGTATCAAGCAAATTTTTACCTAAATTGCACAGATTTAGTAGCCAGCACCTATAGAAAATGAGATCATAACGTCATATAAGTGACAGGTTTAAGCCAGAATCCCCAAACAATTCCATCTCAGTTACACACTGTTCAGTTAAGCATTATGGTAACTTGCCTTTTCTAGACTCACTCCTGTCCTTTTCACAAGTGCTTGAAGTCTTGCAATGGTTTCATTTTCTTTCAATAATTCATAAGAATTTAAAGTTGTTCCTCCTATATTCCCATTCCTCTTATCAGAGACTATGTCACATGTCCTGAGGTTCTTCATTTTGGAGGCAATTTCACTGCAATGTAAGTTTCCCTCAGGTGAAATCCCAAAACCCATAAGGACCTCAGAGACCTCCTGGATGAATTCAAGTTTATTTGGAAACTGTGGCAAATCTTCTGGTAACTCAACATAGTGGTTGTCTATATCAACAAAGCACAAATTTGCCTGTAGAGAAACAAGCCAAGAAAGAAATAAAAACAATAATGAACAAAAACAGGATTTCTGGACACACTACATGTTTAATATGATGGTAGTGTTTTATTTTTCACAGTTTTATTTTGAACAGACAATTTGTGTGTAATAATAATTATATGGCAATTTATAATAAAATTGAAAAATATGGTTACCGGTAAGCAACCTTTCCTTCTTTTTTGTGGCCTCTGTGAAAATCGCATTTGTAGTAGATTTAGCAAGCTAGTAACCTTGGATGGCAGGAGTCATGCCACCGAGGATATAAGGATCGCTCTGCAGAAGGCTGCATCTCTTTTGGAAATAGTGTCCAGTTCATAATGTGTAACAAACATAAGTGGGGAAGACCAAATGGCTGACCGAAACACATCTCTTCCAGGAGAACGCCCCTCAAGAAGGTAGTAGATGTGGCGACAGCTCTTGTGGAAGGGCCATAGACTGGCAAGGTAAGCCAGATGTATGGCCAACACAATCCACGAAAATAGCTTTTGGGAAGAGACTGGAAGGCCCTTAGCATCCTTTCAGTATTTCCTTATGCCCACTGTTGTCTGGATGTGGAATGCTAGAGCTCTGCATATCAAGGTGTAATGATCTCTCCAGTGGGGTTGTTGGCTTCTGAGAGGGGGCTGGCAAGACTATGTCCCTCGACATGTGAAATATAGATGCCATCTTAGGAAGAAAAGCAATGTCTGTGTGTAGGACAACCTTATCATTGTGGAAACGGAGGTACGGATCATCCACTTGGAGAGTGCATAATTCACTAGCCATGTGGGCTGATGTGATTGCTATTAGGAAGGCTATTTTTCAGGATACATAACACATATCAGTGGTTGCAAAGGGCTCAAAAGGAGACCTAATCAGTCCTGAAAGAACCAGGATGAAACTAGTGGTGCAACCTGCAGTCTAAGATTTTTGTATCCCTGGAGAAAAAGCTTCACCAAAGGCTCAGCAAAACAAGAGGAGAGTCCGTCTTTTTTCCTGTAAAAGGAGATAGCAGCAAAGTAGCATTTGAATGATGACAGCAAAAGGTTGGCCACTGAAAATGGAACAAGAAAATCAAAAAGAAGATGCAGTAAATGGGTCAGAGACTCAGATGCCTTGTGCTTCTCTCTCGCTTTGCAAGTTTTGGGGGGAGGGCAGAACTTCCCTCCCCCAAACACAGGAGGCACATATCCTGCCCTCCTCCCTCCTGCAACTTCCCCTCGCAAGAAGAACAAAATTTAACCAAGGGAGTAGCCATTGAGAACAGTCAAACAGTCTGCGTCAAGACAAGGAGGGAAGGGGGAAAGCCATAGCCAGTCCAATTCAACATGACAAAAGAAAACAAATTTAACTATGAGAACGAACCCCACAGAGCAATCTCACAGTTTAAAGTCACAAGATAAGTTGTCGAGATATCCCAAGCTGCTGCAATGTCACAGCGGATCACAAGAACTGAGGCCACAGCACCTCCCACTGGCTATATGCCTCCTGGGGAGGGTGGACAGGGCTGCGGCCAGAAGACTTTCAACTGTCTAAAAGTTTCCAAAGCTCACTGTGCAGACACATGAAGTTCCACGAGTGGGATTTTTACAGATACCACAAAGAAGAAACTATTCACTTCTGGAAAAATTCTACAAAATGTTTTATCAATTCTATACAACACCTGTCAAAATAGCCAAAATGCAGCCAAAATTGAAAAATATTTGTTGGAAATGCAAACAAACAACAGGATCATTTTTCCATATGTAGTGGTCCTGCAAGAAGGCAAAAAACTTTTGGATTGAGATCCATAAAACTATTGAAAAAGTACTAAAGTTTAAATACCCATGAACCCAGAGGCATTCTTACTAGGAATAACAAACAGATCACTTTTGAAGGCACATGACAAACTGTTCACCCTGATGCCAACTGCTGAGAGAATCGTTTATGTGCAGGCTTGGAAACTGGAGGAAACACCAAAGTGGAGGAATGGATCGTAAAAGTGGCAGAGGTGGCTGAAATGTATATTCCATTTATTTATTGAATTCTTTACCTACCCTATATCAAAAATCTCAGGGTGGCCTACAAAAAGCATTATAACAAGTTACACAACATAAATATATTACACAGTAGTAATACATTTAAAACAGATTTTAAAGATTTTAAAACAGGGGTCCTCAAACTAAGGCCCAGGGGCCAGATACGGCCCGCCAAGGTCGTTTATCTGGCCCTCGCTCAGGGTCAGCCTAAGTCTGAAACGGCTTGAAAGCACACAACAACAACAACAACAACAACAACAATCCTATCTCATCAGCCAAAAGAGGCCCACACTTCCTATTGAAATACTAATGTTTATATTTGTTAAAATTGTTCTTCATTTTAATTATTGTATTGTTTTTTGTGCTACAAGTAAGATATAGGCAGTGTGCGTAGGAATTCATTCATGCTTTTTGCAAATTATAACCCGGCCCTCCAACAGTTTGAGGGACTGTGACTTGGCTCTCTGTTTAAAAAGTTTGAGGACCCCTGTTTTAAAACATATAAAACTATGTACACACCTTTGGAATGAGTGAATGAGACTAAAAGCCTTCAATGAACACTTATGTTTTAACTTATCTCCGGAAGGACATGAGAATTCGTGCCAACCATGCCTTCAGAGCGAGGGCCTTCTACAATTGGTACTGAGCCAAGAAGCCCCTCTCATGTCCCTACTGATCTCATTGGTGGGACTTGGTGTAGCCTCCCTCACCCCAAGAGATATTAATCCTCAGACATGACCACAGTTTTATCTCAATTCTCAAGCAAAAAAAACCTCTTATACAATTAAATCAGTAAGATTGTTACAGTTTGTTTCAAACGGGAATTCAAAAGACAGAAAGAACAAAGTTAAAATGAGAAAGGTGAATGAGCAAAGGAGTAAAGGAATACAGGGTGGTTGTATACAATATCCTTCTTCTTTGTTCCCAGAAACAGGAAGTAGAAAATATGAATATAGAAAAGTATTCCCTTCCTGCTGGGTTACTTTTTAAATGAAGTACAAGCTACAAATTCTTGATTACTTTGATGATTATTCATGACCCACTTTTAACAAACAATAAAATAATAATTTAAAATTGTTAAGTCATCAGAGAGATATTTGCTCACTACTGTTTAATGTAAAAAATGACGACATCTTGTTCACATAGTGTGGCTACAAACTATTATATAAATTAGAATTTCCTGGGTATGCTCTGTTCCATTTTTGCAAATACACTTCAATGTTCCTACTGATATAATATTGTAGAATTTGGAAAGTTACTTTTTAAAAGTAACCCTGTTACAAAAACAAAGCCATGTTGGATCCAGGAAAATCCTTCCATGGACAGAAGACCTTCTTCCATTAGCAGGTTTTCATTCCAAATGAAGCTCACAAGGGCTTTAACAGTGAGGAAAGTGGTGCTAGGAGCTGAAAAGGGAGACAGGATGGGAGAAAAATACCTTCCCTCATCTCAGCTCTGCTTGGGAGTTCCATTTTTTAATGCTCACTCTGTAGAATAAAATACTAGATCCAAGTAGAATCTTAACTGGTTGACATAAACTGCACTTGACATTTGGCAAAAAGAATTAGAGAATTTATAGAATGAGTTTCTAGCCCTTACAATTTAATAGACTAAGAATAGTACAAACAGCATTTTTGTAAATAATTTTACTCCTTTACCAAAAACTGTTGGACACAAGTGGGAAATAAGTGTAGAATTGGTAAGGTTAAGAAAACAGGAGATATCGAATCGAGAGAAAATATAAGTGGAATATCATTATCTGTTTGTTCTATTCATTCTTGTGGGATTGTTATTGAGATATGTATCATTCTACTTGTGTTTACAATAATAACAATTTAAAAAATCCCAAATAACATACAAAATTTTAAAAATACTTCTTAATATAACAAGAATATTTTCTATAACAGAGAGTGCTTCATTCAGAAGTTTTTAGTGCTACTAATCTAGAAGAATTGTCCAGCTATTACACTTTGCTATTAGAGAGAACAGAAAGAAGCCATGGTGCAAAACCTCTGTGAATAAGACAGAGTGTCCTAATTTAAACTTCTCTGTAAGTTTTTTTTACAACAGTGAAATACTATACTAACCTCTTGAGGGAGCTCTAACTTAGACCTGTCATCTAGTCCATTGGAGTGCAAACCCATCAAATAAGGGACAGGAGCATCTAGAAAATGCAGAAGAGAGGCTGGAAGGATGGGAACATACACATGCTGCCACTGGAATGGAAACATCAGTGCTGTGATTGTCTCAGCCACAGTCATCAGTCTCTGGTAATCTGAAAGAAAAACAAGAAATCATTTCTCATAGAGTTAGAGAGCCTCCACAATAATGTAATCAATAGAAACAGTATTAATAAAAAATAGGCAACTAACCAAAACATAACACCAGGGGTGGGGAACCTTTGACCCTCCACATGTTGATAAACTACTATTCCCATCATGCCATATTATAGGCCACACTGTCTAATGTTACATTGTGCAATACAGACTCTAAAAGGAACAGCTGTCGAGAATGTATCTCTGGAGACTAAAAACAAAACATTTCTACAAAATGGCATGCATAGAACAAAGGGTTTTATTTTAAGACTACAACTGACTGAAGATTAAGGAGATGTGTGAAGTATACATCAATCTTTCATTCTCCCTAATGCCCCACAGTATTGCAAGTGAAGGGAAGAGGTGAAGCAAGCCTCTATTCCAGGCATGGGCAACCTTCGGCCCTCCAGGTGTTCTGGACTTCAACTCCCACAATTCCTAACAGCCTACTAGCTGTTAGGAATTGTGGGAGTTGAAGTCCAAAACATCTGGAGGGCCGAAGGTTGCCCATGCTTGCTCTATTCAGTATTCAAAAAATTAAATTGTGCCAATTGATTTTATTAAACACCCCCATATTATACTGAACCATTCCGCTAGAGAACAGTCAATTTATTTAGAGTCTTTTTTCCTGTACTGTAGCAGTACTTTTAGAATCTACTTACAACACAGCAGTTAAAATCGCGTCTTTACTTCTCACAAAATATTAATATGGGTTAGCTGACTCAGAAAGACCATAAATTCCCAAGCCTTAAGATATTTTTATTCCTTATGAGGGAAGGAATTAGTACAAGAACAAGCTAGATCCCAACTTTGTTTTGATGAGATACTTTAAAACAATATATAGAAAGAGGCTAGTCTTTTCTGCTCAACTGACAATTGAAATAAATCTTTTAGGCATATAAACACACATTATTATTTTAATCTGAATATTTTGGGGAAAGAAAATTTAATATATAAAGTGAAAAACATGTACAAGGATGCTTTTCTATGAATGTGTGAACCATCAACTATATTTTCAACATGCCACATTGTTTTGGCAACCTGATACATAAAAACAATTTTATTTATTTATTTATTTATTTATTTGACTTGTATACCGCCACTCCCAATTTGGCTCGGAGCGGTTTACAGCAGTAGATTAAAACAATACAACAACTTTAAAATACAATAAAAACGAGAACAGACATAGTCCCGAGTTATTCACCCATCGAAAGCTTGTCGGAAAAGAAAGGTTTTACAGGCTTTCCGAAAAGCAAGTAGCTCTCGGATGGTTCGGGTTTCAACTGGCAAGGCATTCCATAAATAAGGGGCCACAATCGAGAAGGCTCTCTGCCTAGTAGAGGACAGATGATAAGTCCGGATGTTGGGGACTTCAAGCAAATTTTGGTCCTCGGACCAAAGTAATCTCTGGGGTTGGTAGGGGCATAAGCGGGCCCTCAGGTATGCCGGCCCCAGACCATATAAGGCCTTAAAGGTTAGTACCAGCACCTTGAAAGTAATCCGGTACTCAATCGGAAGCCAGTGCAGCTGTTGTAGAATTGGGATGATATGACACCTCGCCGGCACCCCGGCGAGAAGACGAGCCGCCGCATTTTGCACCAGCTTCAGTTTCCGGATCACTGACAAAGGAAGGCCAATGTAGAGGGTGTTACAGTAGTCAAGCCTCAAGATGACCGTCGCCTGGATCTCCGTAGCCAGGTCGTTCCTAGATAGGAAGGGAGCCAGTCGCCTAGCCTGACGTAGGTGGAAAAACGCAGATCTGCTCACAGCAGAGACCTGGGCCTCCATTGTGAGCAGAGGGTCCAATAAGACACCAAGGCTTTTTACAGAAGATGACGGATGTAGTGTCTTGCCATCCAGGGTAGGCAGCTGGACCTCCCTCCCACCTCGACGGCCCAGCCAAAGGATCTCCGTCTTCGCTGGATTCACCCTCAACCTGCTGGCGTGCAACCATCCAGTAACGGCCTCAAGGCACTGATGGAAATTTTCGGGTACAGAGATCGGCCGGCCCTCCATCCTCAGAATGAGCTGAGTGTCATCAGCGTACTGGTGGCACTCAAGCCCAAAGCTCCGCACCAGTCGGACAAGCGGTCGCATATAGATGTTAAATAATAGAGGGGAGAGAATAGCTAAATATGGATTGTTGTGAAATGTTTCATGTATATGTAACCTCAATTCCAAATCCAAGCTAGTACTCATTTTAGAAAGTGCATTATTATTACTAATGCAATAAGAAATATGTATAGTAGAGTGGAAGTGGGACAGTTGCAATGCAGAAGACACAATGCAAGAGATAGGTAAAAGCCATACAATGTATAATAATGATATCCTCAAGTAAAAGGTAAGCTTATAACGTAGGTCAATACATATGGAACACATTCCTCCTGTTACAAATATGTGTCTGAAAGAATAAATGCACAAATCAGTATGGGGCAAATGAAAAGATATTCTGTTGCTCATGCAGCCTACCAACACTATTCCAAGTGTCTTGGATTCTTGGCCTCAACAGGCTACACCTGGCATAGGACCTTCAGAGAGTTTATGGTTTAAGGACCTAAAGCCACAAGCCAAACAGATGTGGGAGAACTAACGTCTTTGGTCAAGTAGGGGTCCAGGTTGAAAAACAAGGTAGGGCTGGGCCTTGATGAAGTGGTGGCCCTTGAGTAACAAGCCTTGTTAAGGTCAGTCCCAGGGGTGATACTGGGCTGGTGGAAATAAGTAATGAGTGACTGCTGTACTAATTCATTTTTCATTCCCTTGAATCTGGCTCCTTGGAAACAAGGCGGATTGTTTGTCCAAGTCCTGACCGACCTACCTGACTCTGCTCCCCTTGTCTCAGGTATAACTGCGGGGTCTTACCTTGGTCACAGAGAGAAGGAAATTGGATATGGAGAATATTTTGGAGAATGGAAATAAGAGATTGATTTCCGGGTTATACAAATATATTCTAGAGTATAATCTAGAAGATAAGTGAATAAAAACTGTAATGATCACCTGGGCTAGAAATTTAGGGAAAAATATAGATCTGAATACTTGGGAATACTTATGGAAAAAGGGATTCAAAATTTTAAAGCAGGGTGCATTAAAGAAAACATGTTCAAAATGTTCTATAGTTACATAGTGCCTGAATTAATGGCTAAAATTGACAAAACCCAAAGAAGAGAATCCTGGAAATTTAAAGTGCAGAAAAGCACCTTTTTCCATGCCTGTTTGACATGCAAGTAAGTTAAAAATTTCTGGGTGATGAAAGAAACCAATAAAATTATTGCTAAAAAGATCAAGAAAAACCCAGAAAGATGCCTACTGGGTTTGTTTCAAGAGAAAATCAGTATAGAATTTTGCCAATATAGTTTCATGGCTGTGAGAATTACAATAGTAAAGTCATGGGAGGGATGAAATAAACTACTTATTAAAGATTAGAAAATAAAATTAGTCGAATATATCCAAGTGGCCAAGCTCGCCAAAGGTTTAAGGGGAAGGAACAATGATGAGCTTATTAAAAAAACAGAGTCTTGCCTTTGGGTATTTAAAAAAGAAGACAAAAATAGATTTTGAAATAGTCGCATGAGGAATTTATTAATGGAATGATAAGGATAAAGTTTTATTAGATACTAGTTCCAAAGGGTGTGGTGTCTGAAGTCATGGGTGGGGGTTCACGGGTTCTTTTTTTGGTATAAAATTTTTAATGTGTTAAATGAAGAAAAACAAAAAGTGTATAGTTTTTCAAATTTCATCTATCAAAATACACACATTATGGATTGGGAAAACTTTTTGTTTTTCTTCATTTAACACAATAAAATTTTTATACCAAAAAAAGAACCAGAGAAGAGCCAATGGGTTCCTCTTAACCATGGCCTGGCTGCTGGTTTCCCAACCGTCTCCATGGAGAGACATCCCTGCCAGCAGCTGGATTTGTCTTAGGACTTGTCTACACTGGCAGAAAAAAATGAACTCTTTTCATAGTCATTTGCAGTGGGCTTTTTTATTTCTGAAGACTTAAATACAGCCCCACAGTTTCTCTGAAAATCCACTGGGGAGCACAGAGTCAGTTCTCCAAGGGGGTATTGCTATTGGGGGGGGGGGGGGATTTAGCACTGGAAAGAACTGACTGGTGGGAGGTGCACAAGCCATTTTATCCTATGGGAAAGCAGGTGCATGGCTCCTTACACTTAAAGCAGAAAAATATATATTTACATGCAGGACTGGGAGTGGGAGGTGATGTGACTATGGCCAAAAATAATGCAAAAGACTGGAGACTGGAGATGTAGACCACTCCCTTACACCCAAATTATGTCAATCTCTTGGCAATGTGTGGTGTTGACAGGATCACTGTGGGGCCACTAAGGAAAAAATTGATGTGAAACAAGTTTTTTGGTCAGTGTTGACATGTTCTAAGATGAACCAGCTACTTTTTCCTTTGCAGAGGCCCTGTCACACTCGCTCCGCTTCCCCCAAGCCTTCATTCATCTGTCCCTGAGGCTTTTAACTTCCCTTGGCTCCCTCCTGGGCAGCTGTGCTTGAAAGCTGAGGTGTTCCAGGCAACCAGCCACTCTCCAGCCCTGCTGCAGGCATCTCTCTCCTTTAATGAGGCCACAGCATCCATGGGGTCTGCTCTACTCCACTCTGCTTTCAAAATTGCCTGCTGATTTATGGTGACTTCATCAATTTCACAGGCAAGAAATCCTCAAAAGTTGCTTGCCATTGCCTTCCTCTGAATTACAATCTACAGCACCTAGTATTATTTGGCAGTTCCACATCCAAATACAAACCAGCCTCACCCAGGTTAGTTTCCAGGATCGGGCAATTTCTATTGCTATTGAGGACTCCATTGTATTTACATTGCATATTCATAAATAGGATTTTGATATTGATAGGTATAAAGAAATAACAGGTCACACACAGTCCATCCTTATCTTGATAACCAAAACACCTAGCTTTTTAAAAGCAGTTATATCTTGGTATTTTGTCTGGGAGTATCTGTTTCTGCCTATGAGGGAACCGGATGTTTTCCTAGAAAGCAAGGACATGGTTATTTCAGAAGGCTAGGTGCTGTGGGTGTTAATCAAGGAAGGATAGATAAGTATTTCTAGCAACAGCGACTGAACTTTTGCCTCAGCATGCAGCAAGGTATGCACTGAATAAATCGGTAGCTCCAAGCCTTTGCATTTCTATCACACTGCACTGGAAATATGCATGAGTCTCTTCCCTCCCAATATGAGAGGTTTCTAATATTCACTTTGTAACATATGCAACAGCTCTGAGTCAAGATGAAATCTCAGCTTCATAAGGTAGTGTTGGAAAGAGGCCTATAACCCATCCCGAGAAAAGTATAGAAGCAGGGTCTGGCCATAGAATCATAGAATTGGAAGATACCACAAAGGCCATCCAGTCCAACCCCCTGCCATGCAGGAAAATATCATCAAAGATTCCCAACAGATGGCCATCCAGTCTCTGCTTAAAAAACCTCCAGAAAATGAGTCTACCTTGCTCCGAGGCAACATATTTCATTGCCAAACAGTTCTTATCATCAGAAGATTCTTCCTAATGTTTAGGTGGAATCTCTTTTCTTACCATTTGAATCAATTGCTCCATGCCCAAGTATCCAGAGCAGCAGAAAACAAACCCACCCCTCCTCAATGTGACATCCTTTTAAGTATTTAAACATGGTTATCATGTTCCTTATAACCATTATTTTCCCCAGGCTAAACATACGCACTCTCTAAGCCACTATTCATAGGGCTTGGCTTTCAAACCTTTATTCATTGGTTGCCCTTCTCTGGTCTTTAGCCCTCTCTTAGCCAAGGCTAAACCAAATCACCCTCAGACATGCCTTTCAACATACCTAATTAGGTGCTTTTAGCTCACTTTTATTCCATTAGCTAGGACACCTTCAAGAGATATTTAAATATTTCTTTTTCTTATGGAATCATGCAAATGTGTACCAGTGACAACTTAATCTTTATTTTGACACTGACCATCATTCCTAAAAACCTGTATTATACTCACGCTGTGAATAAAGCAGTATCTGAAATTCCAGGAGGGCACAGGTAAAGAGTTGGATCATATTCTCTACTCCAAGTAGCTCAAAGACTTCTTTAACTGGAAAGTCAAATAATGGCAGTTCGTTGGTGCTTGGCCTCTGGCATATAATTGGCCCATAAACTCCTGAAAATTTTAGAGATCTCCCTGCTGGAGGAAGAGGAACTTCATAGAGTATGTTGTAAATAAAGCTTTCCAAAGGTAATGGTGGTGGTTGAGGTGATGTTACAGCTTGGTGGAGTTGCTCAAGAGCTTTCCTACATGCCTTCATAAAAGACATTGGAGTTATCAGACAAATGCACTTGGAAACATAGAGGGTGTCTCTACTAATGTCATACGAATTAAATCGCTGTAGTTTTGATACGGAGGATCCATTACAGTCTTCTATAGTGCTACAGTTGTCTTTATGATTTGTAGGAGGAGTATGAAGAATATCATATTCCGCGTTGTGCATGTGATACAATGTCTGCATTGCACTACAGATTTGTTTGCTGGTAACTTCCTCATAAAATGTCAACGAAAATCCAAAAGTCCGAGACCCATCTTCACGAGTAATGATGAACGAATGAAACTGAGGTTCTCTGGCATCTGCTTGTGTCTTGAAAGATAGACCCTTAGGCATACATAACTGAGAGTGGGGGAATAAAAGAAAAGGTATCACATTAATAATTTCTCACTCTTAGTTACTAGGACTTGGAACCTAACTTCTTTCCATTAGCAAAACCAAGTTGGCAGTCATAAAAAATTGTCATTCCTGTCTTCTTCATTTGATAGTATTATGTATCTCCCAAAATCTGTTACTGGCAGTTAGGGTGCATTTCAGAAAATGATAAGAGGAAATGAGATTGAGTTGTTAATCATTCACTCTTGTGAATGGCAAAACAATTTAGGATCTAAGACACTGTGCCTTGTTTTTATATATGCCATGAGAACAATTTTTAAAGTTTAAAACTGTTTACATTTTTGATAAACCAAAAGAATAAAAAACCACCCAAGTTAGTAAAAATTACTTATAAAATGATCAAGAATATGAAAAGCAAATGTACAATTGTATATTATCTGTTTAAAAGAGTTGATTGTGTATATGATTTATAAATGGATTTTACTTAACATGTTAAATTGAACTTGGCATTTTTGATAACCTATGATATTAATTAAAAGCACTGGGTTTGATATATTTTATAGCATCACTCTTTTGAAGGAATGTGTGCTTTCTAATGCCAAGATAAACTAATCTAATGTCAAATTTATACAGTATTTTATGTTGCACAGAATTAAGCAAAATTTCTTAACAGCTGTACAGAAAGCTCCCAGAATATAAAATAATAAAAAGCAAAGAACATATGGACAACACAATAAATACGACACGCTGACATATCAATAGATGTGGGGTAATAGTATACTTAGTATCCCTGGTATGGTCTCCATTACTATTTTCCATACATCCTTTGCATAATAAAGTTGGCAGTCTTTGGAAAATAATAATTGAGATGATGCTGTAACAAAATTAAAAGGCAGCTTTGTAACAAAAATAACTACTACTAGTATTGCTATTGCGTGATTGCACTTGTCTGTATTTTCTATGTTGCACTATTGAGTTCTTTTGTGAGCCACCTCAAGTCCCTTCGGGGAGATTATGGTGGGGTATAAATAATAATAATAATTATTATTATTATTATTACTACTACTACTACTACTACTATCCTCTTAGGTTCAAATTAATTATAAACTGAGATGCTGACAAATCATAAGGCTGAATTCTACATTACTGTTACCAATTATTAACCTATCCATCATGTAGTCCTTAAGGCTCATTTTCCCAGTCAAATACATCCCAGGATTAGAATTCTGCTGAAGATAAAAACAAGTGGGAAAAAAGAACATAAGGAAAATATGAAGCGAACTAGAAATTGTGGTTTTCCACTACTTATCCACATGCCCCTTCTGTTTTTCAAACCGCCATCATCTATGTTTAAACTGATAAATTTGCTACCAAAACATGTAGACTAAACTTCACATCAAAGGAATTCACTTCTAGGTCAATAGGCTGAGATATATTTCAACTTATAACAAACTGACAGATAGACACATTGCCCTTATTACAAATACATACACTTGGAGAGAGACAGCTGGGCATGAAAGGTATAGAGGCTTTCTCCAATGTTAAGAGATTGGGAAATATTATACCAATGTGATAATATGAGTATCTTTAAGAAACCCACATCTTGCCTTTCTGGGATTTCTCTAGATATGAACATGTGCCCTTCCCTCTCATCTATGGTTTAGCCTCAGTCAGCCATGTTCAGGACGAGTTGTAGATTGAATAACACAATGTTTTCTATTATGACTTTTTTGCCCAATCCCAGGAAACTGGGGGGGAGGGGGGACTCATGCAAGTTAGTTGACATAAATATGATTGCCTCCTGGAGCAGCATCTAAGCAATGGTGCAAGTGAATCAGTGAACATTAGAAACGTAACGAACTACCAACCATTCCCACTGCATCTTGATCAAAAGGATTCCATTCAACATTTTCAGGATAATGAGCAAGAACTTTGGACTTGAATGTGCGTTTCAATGGAGTTTGTTCAAAATTTTCACCTGAAAATGAAGAACAAAAAGTTAATCTCAGTATTTGCATCCTAAGAGTATGGGCAGAGATACCAGAAGCACATGAAGAAGTAATATGATTAACGTCAATTATTTCCTTTGAGAGAAACAGGAAATATAAAATAGTGATTAGCAAAAGAGAATAAGTAGAATGAGTTAGAGCACAGGTAAAACCTCTGCATACAATTATCCATCTGTGACTTTCCATAAATAAGCACAATCAAGCTCAATTGTTTAAGAAACTTCATTTATTTAAACAATGGATGTGACACATGCATGTTTACTTGTTCACCAACGCAAACCTCATTTTAAAAGTAATCTAAGAAATGCCCAAACAGATAAAAGATGCAGAGGTTAAGCTAAAAGTTTAAATGCAACAGATATAGTGAATGGCTTTATTTAATAGGTAAGCCTGGAATCCATCATCAATAAAACTGCTGTGAAGGAAAATCTAGAAGGCACAGAATGGTCGAAGGACAGAAACACTAGAAAAGAAATGTTAATGTGAATAATGTTTTTTTTATTATTATTTTCCTCTTCCTTTCGTTTTACCTTCTGCTGTACTTGAAATGAAACGGCCACCACCATCTCGGGCTTTAGAGGCCTGTATATACTGGCATAATGCTATATAACAAATAAAAAGAACATGGCATTATAATTTAATACGTTAAATTCTTTTAATAGCAAACTCTGTTTCTACACAATGTTTTCAAACATAAATTCTACAAAACCAGTGCCTGAATGGCTGCAGTGTTAATTAATGAACCTGAAGCATGCACAATGCTGTATTCCTATACAGTGCAATCATACACCCTTACTTTGAAGTATATACAGCATTTCTATCTCAGACAGCAGTCACTTTTTAACACAAAATAACTGTCTGCCTTAAATGAGTAGTCTAATTGAATAAAGACAATTTACATACATATTGATTTACCAAACAATTATTGTTTTATCATTGTTCTAGTTGGTATTCACAACTAGAGTTAGATCTCCACATTTAATTATTTGTTCTGAAATCATCTGAATACCATGTGCACAGAACAGTGAGGATACTGCTACATAAATTCTAGGTGTAACTTTTATGCAATATTCAAGTAACTATCCACTGATGTTCCCGAACAGCAACTGCTCACTTGTGTTCTAAAACATAATTTAATATGGATCCTTGAATAAAAACAACTTCTTTTGACATTTGTCATTCTCAATCTCCCTTTTTTAACTCTTCTAATAGAAAACGTTACTGAATAACTCTTCCAGTCTTTGGAATGCCCATGAGAAAGAGTCCTCCCTCACTGCACCCAACTCCTTATCCTCACCTACATTACCACTGCTCATGTATTTGTCTATCATTCTTCTCGGTGTTAGCTTGCTGTGTGAGAAGGCAGGTGAACAAGCAGTAAAAACAAGAAATAGAATCAGTAATGTCCTAAGAGTAATGTATACCTAAGTAGGTGCTTGACAATGCCTCTGGCCCTGCTTGCCTTGAATACTTAACAAATCAAAATATTCTGTTTAATTAAAATTCAAATACTAAACTTTTTGGAAGCTGGTTTGCTATGCTACACCACACATTTTTCATACAGCCAATAGCTATGCCATTTGGCAAACCTTACCTACAATACACTATGGAGACAACCACTCTCTTTGCTCTCAGTATTGGGTAAATTAACAAAAGTATACAGGAATACCTACAATAACAAAGAACCTACTTTTTATTACCCTAAAAAACTTTCTCTTCTTGTTTTTTGTCTAGTTCGATGGTTTTTAGAAGCATTAGCATTAGGAAGATGGTAAAGGATAGCTTCAGAGACAAAGACTTTGATGCCAGATTATAGCAATCGGTCAGCAAGTGCCCTTCTTTTGTATGGTTCAGGAATAACATTCCTTTCGTGTTATTTCTGCTGCTGGTATTAAATTTTCTGTTAAAGAAGTAACACCCAGAAACACACCTACTTCACGAACTGAGGCATTCCTGTGCTGACATTGAAAACGATGGATTTCATGTTGGAAGATCTGGAAATATACCCATGGAGTATTTAATATAGTTGAATGCCCAAGAATGATGTCTCAACAGGATTTTATAGCAGTAGCCTTCCAACTTTGCTTAGTAAGTATATAGATGCTTTCTAAATAAAGAATTTCTCCTACAAAATTAAACTTTGTCACCTTCATCAGATAAATGGGAAAATAAGTAGGCAGTGGATGACAGCTGCTACAACAATAAAGCAAAATTACATAAAGCAACATACTTCAAACAAACACAAAGCTTTATCAACACCTGCAAAATACGTTAATGGGGGAAGTTGTTTCAATACTTCATTTATTCTGCCAATACATCATAATTATGCAACAGAAGATGCTGATTTGGGGATTGTTTCGGTGTTCTCTTCTCTTTTAATTCAAACACATTACAGATTACACTTCTATATTCATTCAAAATGCTCACAGAATCATCAGAGCATAAACTGATTTTGACAAAATATTCTGTCATACTAGCTTTCCTTTTAAGATTTTTATAATTTCTTCTTGACAAAGTTTCCAAGCTTCACTTTGAGTTAGGGTATACAAATATGATCTGGAACAAAATGTTAGCAGTATAGAATGTTATCACACAGTGCAGCTATCAGCTTTTCTCCAAGATACTCTCTATCCTCTCTTATTCCTCTTTAAATCACCTGGAATGCTACCAAATTGGATACTGATGATGCAAGCAGTCTGTCTTATTAATAAGAACGTGCAGTGTATCTATACTTTTTCTACTTATAAAACCATCTGTTTTCCTGCCATTTCACCTGACCTTTTCTCTCTCCCCAAAAGACGTATTCTCAGGAAATATATGACTGCTATCTATGAATGAAATAAATATTTGCAAATTTGTAAATGACTAAATAAAGAATGTCAAAAATATTGTCGATGGCCACCATTTCTTTTTGCATACTGGGATTTTTTTTTTTACAAAAATATCATTTGTGTAAAAAAATAACAATTTTGCAAAACCTATGGTATTTCTATAATTTAGAAAATTATAAAGATTAAGATTACAAGATATTAGAGTTGAGGTCTGAACATAATACTAATTCTGCTGGAGTGCCTATAATTAAAGGTGACAATTATCTTTTTCTATTAAAAAAAACATTCAAAACTTACTGGTAACATTTCACTTGGTTATCATTCCTGAACAAAAGAATACTAAAGGAGTGAACTGGAACTCATGCAATCTGAGACTTATTGATTACAGAGAAACACAGTCAACAGAAACCCCATAGGGAAGGTAAGAAACAATTGGCAGCCAGCAATTATTGTTTGGCAAACTGACTTTTTAAAGTGGGTACAAACAAACAAACAAAAGGATATACCTATGATAAGCCATCTTTGGAAGAAACAGACTTCTATGTTATTTATAGACAATTCTACTTCGCTTATTTTATTTTGGGAGTATCTATTTGCCTTATTTTACCTTTTAAAATGAAATACATTACAACTGAACACATGGCAAATGGTCATTTGTACATTGCGGCTTTCCTACCATCTTCCCACTGTATCTCTCCACTAAAGAAATCTCCCAAAGTCTCTCCAGGTAACAGCTTCCATTCATGAATGAAACACCATCCATCCAAAGCAGTTTCATGAGCTAACATCATGTATGGTAGCTCATGAAATATAGGTTGCTTACCTGTAAACGTACTTTGTACTTTGTAAAAGTACTTTGGTCACATCATGAGGAGACAGCAAAGCCTAGAGAAGACAATTATGCTGGGGAAAGTGGAAGGCAAAAGGAAGAGGGGCCGACCAAGGGCAAGATGGATGGATGGCATCCTTGAAGTGAGTGGACTGACCTTGAGGGTGCTGGGGGTGGTAACGGCCGACAGGGAGCTCTGGCGTGGGCTGGTCCATGAGGTCACGAAGAGTCGGAGACGACTGAACGAATGAACAACAACACCTGTAAACGTAGTTTCCCGAGTGGTCACCTGTGTATTTGCACCTATGGTATAATCCTGCGCGCTCGCGCAGGCAACGGAAAGGTCTCGAGACTAGTACGACAGTTAAAGCAGCCCCGCCCTCCTCAATCCCCTCTATAAATAGCCCTCATAAGGGGCTGCGCTCAGTTCTTCTGCCGCTAAAAATGCAGCCATGAAGCCCTGAGGCATGACAATTTAAACTTGAGGGGAGGATGGGCGGGTTGTGCAAATACACAGGTGACCACTCGGGAAACTATGTTTACAGGTAAGCAACCTATATTTTCTCCTCGTGGTCACCGTGATTTGCACCTATGGTAGACTAGCGAGCTGCTAACCTTGGACGGTGGGCGTCACGCCACAGCAGAAAATAACACAGCTCTACCAAAGGCCGCGTCTTTCTTTGACATCACATCCAATTTGTAATGCTTCACAAAAGTAGTGGGTCTGGACCAAGTAGCAGCCCTGCAAATAGCATCAAGTGGGACTCCTCTCATAAACGCCGTTGATGTCGCCACCGCCCTTGTGGAATGTGCCTTGACCTGTAAAGGTAAGTCTTTCCCACACAAGCGATAAGCAAGTTTAATAGTTGAAACAACCCAAGAAGAGAATCTCTGTGAAGATACAGGAAGACCCATGGCATCTTTCCTGTACTTCAAAAATAGTCTTGAGGATTTCCTATACTGTTTGGTTCTGTCTACATAGTAAACAAGAGCCCTACGCACATCTAATAAATGTAATCTTTTCTCTAAAGGGGAAATAGGATTCTRGAAAAATGCAGGCAATACTATTTCCTGAGATGTATGGAAAATACTTGAGGCTTTGGGAAGAAAGGAGATATCAGTCCTTAGAACTACCCTATCCTTATGAATCCTCATATAAGGGTCATCACACCTCAAAGCACACAATTCCCCTGCCCTGCGYGCTGAAGTAACAGCRACTAGGAAAGCRGTCTTCCAGGACAARTGGGTTATGTCCACCGACACTAATGGTTCAAAAGGAGGYTTTGTCAAGGCATTGAGCACTACGTCTAAGCTCCATGGGGCGATGACTGGYRCCACTGGTGGCTTTAAATTYTTTAGACCCTTCATAAARAGGGACACCATTGGGTCACTGAAACAAGACGGCAAATTCACCTTTCTTCTAAACCAAGATAGAGCCGCCAGGTAACACTTTAATGATGACCAGGATAACCCTAATCCTACYAAATGAGCTAAGAAGTCCARAATCAAGGAGATTGGGGCTTCAAGGGAATCAACACCTTTCCCTAAAGYATATTTYGAAAATCTCTTCCATTTGTAWATATATGATCTTTTCGTCGATTGTCTTTGGGCTGCCTCTATGATCGTCTTCACTGGCGTAGAAAGGGATGTTAGTCGGTTTTCTGGACTGGGAATATGCGCCAAGCTGTCAGCCTCAACATGTGGACATCCGGATACAGCACCCGGCCGTCCTGCTCCGATAACAGATCCTCTCTCTTTGGAAGCGGCTTGAAAATCCCCCTGGACATCTGAAGGGCCAGGGAGAACCACGGCTGCCTTGGCCACCATGGAGTTATTAAGATACCTCGAGCCTGATCGTGAAGTAGCTTCGACACCACTCGTAATATGATGGGAAATGGGGGAAACGCATAGATTTCTCTCTCTCCCCAATGCATCAGAAATG